TCTTAATATTATACTATATATTCTTCATTAATTGTTTATGCAGTAATTAATTATTTAAGTGTTTAACAAAACATTTTCAAGCAATAATTCTAAATAGTGTCAACAAGTAATGGTTTTTAAAAAATATAATATATGTACAATATATATGTGTGTGTGTGTGTAAGAGAGAAGGAGAGAATAAAAAAAAAAGTAGAGCAGAAATAGAAAAATGAGATGAGGTAGATCATATAGAAACAAACTAAAGATGAAGAGATGATATATGTCTTGGATAGGTTTCTTTCTAACTACTTTTAAGAGAAAATGATAATACTAATAATAATAATAGAATAACTTTTTTGTAAGTTAAATCTCTATCTATCTATAATATATATATATATATATATATATATATATATATATATATTACAAGAAAATTAAAATAATTTAAACACAAGTTAAACAAAAATTAATGTAAAATATTATTATTTTTTATTTTTTGTGTATCAAATTAAGTTTTTTTTTTTTGTCATCTCCAAAACTTAAGGTATTTTTTCAATAAAGAGAAAAATGTAGATTTAATAGGTGGATTGAATTGTTAGTATAACATTGGTGCTGAGTATTATATTGGAATAATTATTAAATCGATCATCTCCAATCATATGAATAATAATAAATAATAGTGAGAGGAAAAATAGTGAATGAGAACAGGACTATTTGTAAAAACCGGGAATGTTTAGGCTAATAAAATAATTTTACGAACAAAATAAGGAAAGAGGAAGTGAATTTAGCGTGTAGATGAAATGTAAATAGCAAAAGCCTTACCTGTAGTTTATTGGGCTTGGGCTAGATGGTAGCAATGAGTTTTGTATTAAAATGGTGTATTTTTTTAAAAAAGTTATTAAAATAAGATAAATTTAAAAATAAAAAATACAGACTTGAGTAACTCATATTAGGAATTCAATCTAAAGAAGTTTAGTGTTACGATTTTAATTTTTGTTAGATTTAGGAAGATATATAAATTTTATATAAAAGTCTTCTATTATTATATTATAATAATAATTATTATATTATTATATATAATAATAATTATTATATTACTGTATTATTAATATCATTATTATATTAATAATGTAAATATTTTAATTATTATAATTATTTAATTTGTTTTAAATTGTAATAATAATTCGATTATATAATAAAAATTTGTTATTATTATTATAACAAAAATAATAAGAATATATTAGTTTAATTATTGTATTTGAATAATTATTAGAATTATATTATAAAAATTTATTATTATTATAATTTATGATAATAATAATTTTAATATAATTATTGTCTATTTATATATATATATATATATATATATATATAATAAAATTATACGTGACAGTTTAATGTAACCTATTCCAAACCAGGTAAGCATATGGAATATTAAGTCCTTCCATACAATTACATAAAAAACTAAAGCCCATATCATAAATTTATGGAATAAATGGAAACTCTAAAAAGGTAAATATATTAATAAAAACTTAAAAGAACATCAGCATATCAGTTTATTTTATTCATATTATTTTAATTACAATTAATAATAAAATAAATAATGATAATATATTATTTTATTATTAATAACAAAATAATAATATTATTATCTTATTGTTAGGTAATAATAATTAATAATATTATTAATAATGATTATAAATAATAATAACCTTTTTATCATAAAATTTTATTATTATTATTATTATTATTATTATTCAAATATAATAAATACTACTACTAATAATAAGAATATTTATATTATTAATATAGTAATATTATTAATAATTATACTTATATATATATTTTAATAATATTAAAATAATATAATAATTATTGATTTTAATAATAATATAAATTTATTATTATTATTTATTTTACTAATAATATAAAAATATTATTATTAATGATAATAATATAATAATAATTACGTATAATAATAAAAATAGTACATAATTTTATATTGAATTCGTAATATTTAATACAACTTCTTCATAAATAAATAAAATGGATTTTTTCACATAAAAATCGTATTTTTAAGTATAACTTGTTTAAATTCATAATTTTTTGAAAACTTACTCTTTACATAGATTAAAAAAAATAAGTACACCCTATCCCCGAAAAAACTGCTAGCAATTGCACACTGATGGCATATTCTAACGGGCTGACCACAGAGGAATAAATGCCTTTTCTTTCATTTTATAGAAGTGAAATAATTATAATTATAAAAAAAAAGGTTAAATTTTAGATTGTTCATTTAATTATAAAGATTTATTAAATTATATTTTAAGTTTTATTAAATTATATGATTTTATTATAATTAATATATGTTACAATCTTTTAACTCTTTAGTATATCTACTCTCTAACTATGGATGCAAATAGACTATGCTTTGTAGGTTTATACATGATTTAATTCTATTGTAGGTCATTCATATATATTTGGTAGCTCAATTTAATTTCACCCCTAATAACAATTATTTAATTCTATTCAAAGTTTTTTTTGCTCACAAAACTAAAATAATAAAAAATCTTAATTCAAATATTAATATTCCTCTAAATTCAGTACCTATGATTACATCGACAAATTAACGTATGTTCCAAATCTTCGTAGCTACTATTTATTGTTCTGGTGGAACCTACCTGTTCAGGGAATCCCTTTGTCATATCTTAACTTGAGTAGTTCCTCTATTAAGTTGAAAATGTCTTTAAATGTTTTATTTAATTTTATTTGTACAATATATGTTCTTAATTAAGTTATATTATTATTAGTATAAAAATATAGTATATATTACTTTAGATATTTTGTTGTATTTTAGTGTATATGAGTATATAGGTATGTAAACATAAATTAATGATTTTTTTTTAAAATATACCCATGTTATGTTATGTCATGCTCAGTGTCATTCTCGTATTCAATGTTTTAAAAATTGAATTAGTGTTCCATTCAGTTAAAATATTAATTGACTAAGTTAATGATTAAACTAAGGAATTACTAATTAAATCAATACATAGTGCCACAAGAATTGTATATAATATCCATATCAATATCATGTATTTAACTTGACTTAGTGATTAAGTATACTTGAGTTATATTTGAAACATTGAATGTCATTTTTATTAATTACAACTTTTTCTTTCTCGTTAATGGAAGATTTGACTAGCATCTTATTTTGTGATAATATTATTCTTTTACTATATAAGTTTTAATTAAAAAAAACTAATTTTAATTTGTATGTAATTTATTTTTGTCTTTTCTTTTGCATTTTTTTAGATAAAATTATTTAAATAAATTATAATTTTTGTGACTCAAATCTATTCACATTTTTTTATTAAATTTGAATCAGTTCAAAGTTAATTTTTAAATATAACTCATTAATCTAACATTTTGTGTGCTTAAAATTGTATTTTCTAAATACGTCATAAAACTCATCGTTAATTGTAATTTTGTTAATCAACATGAACCGTGAGAATCAAAATAATTATTTTTCTAGTAAAAAAATAATTAAAGAGAATTATTAAAATTTTATTTTAAAATAAAATTTATTATTTAAAACTTTAACAAAATTATTTATATAAATATTTATTATTATTATTCATAAATAAACCATGTTGAAGAGAATCATTAAAAAAACTAAAAAATATTCTTAAATAAACTATTAAAATATTTATTTTAGATTTTGAGAAAAAAAAAACATGAACAATTTGTCAAAGCAGTGAATAGCGAGCAATTTTTTTTTTTAATTAGTAAATAAAACACTAGTTTGTCATTTCTATATAAAAAAATTATGAAATATCCATAAACTAAAAACACAATTAAGCCACACGTCATATATTAAAGTAATATACTCACAATCTTGCATTGTAATTGATTTGTTTAATTAGAAACTAAGTCGGTTTATGTATAATAATAATATTACTCCAATTAATATAATTATTTGCATATAAATGTAGTTACAATGTATACATTAAATTTAATTAAATATAAATTTAAAATAATTTTATGAAAGACACGGTAATATTGTTTCAATAAAATTACATTTATAAAGATTTTTTTTATGTTTTCTTTAAAAAAAATTATTACTCTTTTTTAGCGATGATAGCAAAGTGATTATTAAAAATTATTATTTATTATTACTTTTTTGAGAAAGGAAATATATAATAGGAATATTTTTTTCAGAAATAATATGAAAAATAATTAATTATTTAAACTAATCATTCATAACATGTTTCTATCATGTACGACGTTGAAACTTGTCTATGATATTGGCTGTGTTTTTTTGTTTTTTAAAGATAAAATTTGGATCAAACACTCTTTATATTAAAGGTATTAAATTCAAATAGTTTTTTATTTAAGAAAACAATAAAAACAATGAAATTTCATGAAAGATAAAGAAACAAACTTTAGAGGAAGTTGTGAAGAGTTTTTATTTATTTTTATTTTATTACATATATAAAGATTTCACTTTATTATTTTCTATACATATTTTATGTTGTTTTTCTTGTTACATAATCATATTATGCTATATACATACATTTTAACAATATAAAAAGTTGTTTTTATTGATTACTTTGTGTTGTTTTTCAATGGCTATTTTTAATGATTTTTAAAATTTTAAAAAAATATCATTAAACATTATTATAAAATAAGTTAACCATTTAATCATTTGTAATAACTACTGAAATATAGGACTAGTATTATATAATAAATTATATATAGTTTAAAATATATATAAAAAAAAAACTTGTATCCTAAGTGATAACATCTATGTTGAATAATAAGGAGTGTAATTAATATATCTCATAACAAAACACAGGAATAAGTTTGGATAAGAAAAGAAGAATAAGATGAAAGATGCTAAGAAAACAAAGCAAATGCAAGTGTATTTGATAGATTATTAGGAAGAGAAGAGAAGAAATGGAAGCATGAGAGTCCCATTAAATGATGAATGTTAATGGAGTGTTTCTTTATTGTCTTCAAAAATGAAATCAGAAATGAAAATGCTCATCTCATCAAGACAAGACATCATCCTTTGGTTGGTTCCCATTTTCACCACTTTTGTAGACGCAAAAAGAGACAGCAACCACTAAGCACCCTTTTTCAAACTCAACACGCCGAACCAGAGTTTTAAATTCAAAATAATAAAATAAATACAAATAAATAAACAATAAATATCGGGTTAAACGCCGTCGTCTGCATCGCGTAACCTCTGATTAGTAAACTACCTTTCCGCAACGAAGAGAAAGAAACACAACACTTGAGAGGAACCAAAATCGCAACATCCTATCCGATCGGATCCATTCATTCGTACCCTCTTGTGTGTGTTCGATTTCCACATTTTGTGGAGCAAAGAAAGAAACTCTTGGTCTGTTCAAACCAGTTTCGTCCTAGGGTTTCTCGCGAAATGTGCGCGATCCAGACCTAGGGTTTATGATGTGTTAGCTTTTGGTGCTGCATAAAGTTCGAGCGTCTTCGTTTGTTCTGTGGGGGAGCCATTTTACGGAACCGCGATTTCATTGTGTCGATTGGGGAATGGAGAGGATTTTGTCCAACCGGCGTCGTTCCGATGGAGAGAGTAGTTCCGCTTCCGCCGAGGACACCCGCCGGAAACGCGCCAGAGTTTATATTGATTACGAGTGAGTTTGAGTGGGAGACGTTGGCATTGGGCATTCGTTAAGATGTGGTGTTTTTCGCTAGGGTTATGTTACGATTAATGTTCATTTCTGAATTGGGATTATTGGAAAATGTATGCGGGATAAGGACGTTGTCATGTTATCGAGGAATGTGGTGTATTGATGTTCGTTTTGTTTTGCAGTGGCGCTGACTGTACAATTGCAATGTTTTTGAATGCTGGTAAATCCAAGGCATCTGATGACGAACATGGGGATTATGACGATCTTCAATATTCGTCTATTCGATCCAACGATGATACTTTGAGGTTGATGTCTTCTGGTGAGGAGAGTAACTTTGATGAAGGAGACCACAATAACAACGCAAATGTAGATGATCTAGTCAGCAAGATGGATCTTACGGATGATTTATTGCACATGGTATTTCCTATTTGTTGCTATTTTAATTTTTAATGGTCGGACAATTGGAAGTTTATCCTTACCCGTCCCCCTTGTAATTTAGGTTTTCTCCTTTTTGGATCATTCCAATCTCTCCAAAGCTGCCAGGGTTTGTAAGCAGTGGCGAGCTGCTAGTGCTCATGAAGACTTCTGGAAGAGTTTGAATTTTGAAGATCGTAACATATCTGTTGAGCAATGTGAGCCTGAGAATATATTTCTTAAGAGATTGTTATTTGTAAATATTTCGTGCCTTTTAACATTCAAATATGGGTAGTGGAAATAGTGCTGTGTACCCCTCGTAAATCTGTAAATGTGCTAATATAAGGCTTGTGCGTTTGTAGTCGAGGACATCTGCAGGCGTTATCCTAATATCACAGCCCTCCGCATTTCCGGTCCTTCCTCTAACCAGCTTGTCATGAAGGCAGTCTCTTCGTTAAGGTTGGTAGCTTCTGCGGTATTTGGGTTAATCAAGTTACATGTGATTCATGCTCATTCTGTATAACTGTTTTCAGAAATCTTGAGGCTTTAACATTGGGAAGAGGAAATATAATGGATAGTTTTTTCCATGCTTTGGCTGATTGTTCTATGTTGAAGAGACTGAGCATCAATGAAGCTGTACTTGGCAGTGGTATTCAGGAAATAACAGTTAATCACGACAGGCTGTGTCATCTCCGGTTGACAAAGTGCCGCATGATGCGCTTAGCAGTCAGGTGAATAATATGTTTTAGTGCTTCGCTCACATTTAGCTGTGAACTCAAATGTGATTATTCTCTTCCAGGTGCCCACAACTTGAAACTATGTCCTTGAAGCGCAGTAACATGGCTCAGACTGTACTCAACTGCCCCTTGTTGCAAGAGCTTGATTTAGGCTCTTGCCACAAACTTCCTGATTCTGCTATTCGTTCAGCTGTTACTTCATGCCCGCAATTAGTTTCTTTGGATATGTCCAATTGCTCGTGTGTTAGTGACGAAACATTAAGGGAAATAGCCCTGAATTGTGCCAACCTTAGTTTTCTTGATGCATCTTACTGCCCAAATGTATCCTTGGAGGTATATTTTGATTCTTTAACAAATTTTTGCATATGTAAATTTTCAATCTGCCTTATTTTGACATGCTTTTCCCCCCCTTTGAAGACTGTTAGACTGCCAATGTTAACAGTTCTGAAGCTTCACAGTTGTGAGGGCATCACTTCAGCTTCAATGGCTGCGATAGCTTATAGTTACATGTTGGAGGTGTGCAATTTGTCCATGATGCTGATATTAATTTCCTAATTCCTGGGCAAGACTTGCGCATGAGAAATGATGTTACTGCTTTTGTAGGTTTTGGAGCTTGATAATTGTAGCCTATTGACATCAGTGTCTTTGGAGCTTCCCCGCTTGCAGAACATTAGATTGGTTCATTGTCGCAAGTATGGCCACCTATGCTTCTTGTCACATGTATTTTAATGCTTCTTTGCGCTATATTATTAGTGCATCCTTTTTTAATTTCTTTTTTTTGTCTTGTCAGATTTGCCGATTTGAACTTGATGACCCTAATGCTGTCTTCTATTCTGGTGTCCAATTGCCCTGTGCTCCATCGTATCAACATCACATCAAATTCACTTCAAGTATGTATAATTATGTCTGTCATTTTCTGTTTTTATATTTATCTATACTATAGTCGGTTAAAGGGCAGAATTTGCGGCAATGCAGAAATTAACAATACCAAAGCAGGACAGTTTAACAACATTGGCGTTGCAATGCGAATCTTTACAAGAAGTGGATCTCTCCGAGTGTGAATCTTTGAATAACTCTGTATGCAATGTCTTTAATGATGGTGGAGGCTGTCCAGTGTTGAAATCGTTAGTTCTTGATAATTGTGAGGTATATTTTACCATTTGGTGTTCATTTTCTCTAATTTGCTTGTGCATAATCTACACCACTAGTTTCAACTAATGAGGGTCATGTATTTTATATATTTTTCTTGTAATCTTTTCCAGAATATCTCCATAACCCCATATTGTGAATTACCTATCGAGTTGTTGCCTGCAATCTTGTTAATCATTTTTTAAAACTCTAACCTATGGTGTTTTGATGAATTCAGAGTTTGACATCGGTTCAATTCATCAGTACCTCTTTAATCTGCCTTTCACTTGGTGGCTGTCGGGCAATAACTAATCTTGATCTCACATGCCCTAATCTAGAGAAACTTATGTTGGATGGTTGTGATCATTTGGAGAGAGCGTCATTTTGTCCTGTAAGTAGTATTGGTTGCTTTATTCTTACTGCATATGATTAAACCTGTTAATTCTTTATGACTTTTGATTTGATTATTTGGCATATTGCCAAATCAATAATCAAGGTTTCTGAATATTGGGATGAAATGTGAAGTTTTCCGCTTGTTTGTTTTCCTGACCATGTTCTTTAATTCAAGCTATTAACTTTATACGTTACAATGTAAGACATCTGGGTTTTTCTTCCTCCTACAAAGCAAAATGACATGAATTTACTGTTAATGTGATTTACATTATGTAGAGGCTAAGTATTTTCTTTTCCTCAGGTTGGTCTTTCATCCCTCAATTTAGGAATATGTCCAAAATTGAGCACACTCAGCATCGAAGCACCTTATATGGTTTCACTTGAGTTGAAAGGATGTGGTGTACTATCCGAAGCATTCATTAATTGTCCACTCTTAACATCTCTCGATGCTTCCTTTTGCAGGTTATCTGTACATTATTTCCTATATATCCCTTCTAAAGCATTCATTATTTTTTTCTCTGAACATCTCCAGACTCTTCCTTCTGCAATGCTTACTGACTTTTACTGTTTGGAATTACAGCCAACTAACTGATGACTGCTTGTATGCTACAACGGTCTCATGCCCACTAATTGAATCATTGATATTGATGTCATGCTCATCAATTGGTTCAGATGGTCTTCGATCTCTATATTGCCTTCCAAATTTGACTGTTCTTGACTTATCATACACTTTCTTGGTGAACTTGCAGCCTGTTTTTGATTATTGTTTACAACTAAAGGTTAGAGTTAACATAGCATGGTTTGTTCTTGTCCTTTTTTTTAATCATGAGTAGTGCTAATGAGCTGTTATTTTTACTAGTTGTACTATTCTAGTACTAGAGTAATCCTACTTTTGTTTATAGTTAGTATTGTGTGCTCATCATAATATCATATTCTTATAATTTCAATCTGTCTTACTCTTTCCACCTTATTCTTGATAATTTGGCAATTTATATTAGTATTATTCTTTTATTAACTTCATCTTTGCTGATAGTGCTACATTTGTTTCTCCTGTTTCATGAAGGTGTTAAAGCTGCAAGCATGCAAATATCTCACTGGCACATCACTTGAACCTCTTTACAAAGGAGGTGCTTTACCAGCACTTCAGGAGTTGGATTTGTCTTATGGAACTTTCTGTCAGTCAGCCATAGACGAGCTTCTTGCATGCTGCACAAACCTCACTCATGTGAGCTTGAATGGCTGTTTGAATATGCATGATTTGAATTGGGGATGCAATTGCGGGCAGAGTACCAACTTACCTACTGTAGACACCTTATCCAGGGCAAGTTCTAATGAGAATGTCCCTGAATCAAGTGAGCAATCTGCTCGCGTATTGCAAAACCTCAATTGTGTTGGATGTCCGAATATTAGGAAGGTTATCATTCCATTGAGGGCAAATTGTTGTCATTTGTTATTTTTAAACCTTTCGCTCTCTGCAAATTTGAAAGAGGTTGATGTTACTTGTCTCAATCTATGCTTTCTTAATTTAAGGTATGGTTGGGTCTGCGAATAATATATGTTGGTTTCTATCCATCTCATATCAGATATATGGTAATGTTTAAACTTCTCTGTTCAGCAATTGTTCCTCTTTGGAAATTTTGAAGCTAGAGTGTCCAAGATTGACTAGTCTATTCCTTCAGGTATTAAGTCTTCCCTGCTAATTTTAATCTGTTGATGCACTTGTAAGTTTTGAATATTGATACTTCAGTGTTGTCTGATATTGTTATTTTAGATATACTTTATTATTTATAGTATATTACGTAATATGGAGGTTATCTTTTCTGCATTACAGTTTTTATCAGCCATCATTTTTACCTTGTGAAATTTACTGAATGTTTGAATGGTTCCCCTGGTTTGTATTTTATCTATTTCACATTTACTTAATTCTCTTGTCTTGGATTGTCTCGGCTCCTTTCAAACCTTGTATAATCGAATTTTCCCTGTTTAAAGGTTTCTTACGAACTCTAGAGGGGGGGTAGCGCATAAGCCTTTTATGGAATCATCTTCGGATATGAGATTTTCTTTGTGTTACACCAGAAATTTAACTTGGTATGTATTTAGGATATTGTGTTAGGATCCAATTGCAAGGTATTTGACGTGAGTCCAACCTTGGAAGTATAAGATTCTAGTGTAGGGTTTATAGGTTGTTGGACTTTCTTAATTAGATAACTAATTTTTGTAGTGTGGTTCTTATGTAGTATCAAAATGTTGCAGCTCACCGCCATATCAGTTTGTGTCAAACCTTCGTTACATTAAATTTTTTATCTTTGATATTTTGGGTTTTCAGTCTTGCAATGTTGACGAGGAAGCTGTTGAAGCTGCTATATCAAAATGCACTATATTGGAGACTCTTGATGTTCGCTTTTGTCCAAAGGTGATAGCGAACTCAATTTTTTGTGATATTCCCTTCATCACTTTGCGTGTTGTCTGAGGCTTTAGCTATTTTATCTTTTCATACGTAATGATGGAATAATGCTTAAACTATTGTTTTTTTTTTTTTCATGATCTTCAACTAATTATTTTTTTTAACTAAATGGTGCTTCATAGATAAGTTCAATGAGCATGGGAAGATTACGTACAATTTGTTCGAGTTTGAAGCGTATATTCAGCAGTTCGTCAAGTCTGTTACCTTGATCAAGGATGTCAAATTTTTTCCTAGTGCATTTTTGTTCGCTTGGTAATAAATCTGTTATTTCATCGTCTATTGTAAATGCCCAAATTTTAAATTTGCTTGTTTGTCTGACGTGGAAATCCGTCCTATATTTGATGCAATAATTTATCTTTATTCTACTTTCTATTATTGTAAACCAACATTTTAAATTTCAGCGTTTATATTCCATATCTTGATTCTTGTCTTTTATTTTAAATTTTGTTTTCTTAAATAGTTTCATTATTTTCAACTATCAATTTCTCATCTTATATTCTGTTGCAAATTTATTTTCAAAATAAGTATTTTAAGAAAAAAAGAAACTGAAAGGTGCTATTGTTTTCTTAAAAGTACAAATACTCGCAAATGAGTAGAGGTTCGAGTAGTTTTCTTTTTTACTAGATTGAAGGTTTACAACTTCAAACTCTGAATTTTGAAAACTATTCCAAAATATGGATTTTGGAAGTTTAGAATTATTAAAAAATATATTTAAAACTTGTTAGAAAATATATTTATAAATCGTAGAGATTAGGACTTTAAAAAATATATTTAAATTCGGGAGATAAAACATGTATCTTTAAATGAGATTAAAAATTTAAATCTGAAAAAAATTTTTTTTTTGAGTGATAGAAAAATCAATTTTAAATTTGAAAAGTAGAGGGACTAATAAATATTTAATCGGATTGTTTTTGTTGAAAAATAAATTTAATGACTTGACTTGCATGACAAGTACGTCATTTAGCTCGCGTCAACTGTTTGATTAACCCGCTTAACTTGGTTTGTCAGTAGAGACTGGAAACTTTTTTTTTTTTTTTTCTAAATTTGGAAATCAAAACAGTTTTACAACAAATATAATAACTAAAATATGATAAATCCTCCTAATTTTTTAAATGATATATATATATATATATATATATATATATATATATAATTTATGTTTAACTTATACACTAAATAAAAAGAATCTTTTAGAAAAGTTAATAAAAGAGTTTTATAAACTAATATTAACTTATAATTTTTCATTTTAATAATATTAGTGAAATAGTTATTTAAATAGATCTCTAATCTCATATTTACTTATCCCCTCAATGCCACGATAACATGTTGTGTGGATCAACCTCTGTTGCCCCAAGTTTATGTTGAAGCTTTTGCATATCAGGAGTTGTATTTTGGTGGAACCTATGAGAGATGTCAACGTTACCTAACAATTAACTGCCAATACTGCTTGTTTAGACGGGAGTAAAAAAATATAAGATAGGAAATACAGAAAATATTGTCATTTTTTGAAAGAAAATAAAGTCAAAAGGTATTGTCTAGCAGAATACATCTTTAGTTCGTATTCTCATTCTATGGATGGGGCTGAAAAGTTCGTTTGCACCATTCTTCTTACAAATATAACCACCCTTTAAATTCATAATATAATTTTTCACAAAGCAACACACTTATAACAATTAAGACTAGGCATTCACATGTGTCTCGGGATAAACAATTAGTTATTGTTTAAAAAGCAGATAAATAATTCAAAACCTTTTTCATATTTTAAAAAGCAGATAAACAATTATGTTGACTGTGTTTTAAGGTTCTGCCTTCGGAACATTGGTTCCATAATCTTATGTTCTCAAGTAAGCTGGCTAATACTGAAAAGGCGAATAAGCATGTTAGATATTCATAGTATTGATTCTAGTTGCTTTAATTCAGGGTCCAAATTCTCTGTTTCCTCGCCTTCCGGTTCCCTGTATAAATCAGCTATAACCTTTCCTTTACTTAGCACGTCTGAAGGCACAGTTTTTAAGAGACTGAAACACAAAGCTGAGAGAATCACATCTTTTTCAATCATGAAAGGTTATGTTTGGATAAAAGTTGGAAAAGTAATTTTAGAATTTTCAATACTCGTTTCTGATTTTCAAGACGAAGGAAAATTTGTTACTTTTGATTTCCTAACTTATATCCAAACGTAACTCAGTTAGGGAAAATATGTGCAAGAGGAAAAAGAGATAATATGGAAAGAAAAACTACACAAATCACCTGTCTAGAGCATTAAGGGCGGAATTGATTTTTGCCTTCATTGATTTGACTGAGGCTTCAGGATCATTTCTTATTGCATGAAGAAGCAAGGAATCAAGTTCTTCTAGTGACCTTCAAAAGCAGAATTCTTTCATTGGGTTTGAATTTTTCATATTGAAAGAATTTAATTCTATACAATATATAATAGCTCAATGGCTAGTTATGACAGTTAATTCATGCAATTGTTTTTTCGAAAGTTGATTACATTTACCTCAAACATTCATCAACAGCATTGAAAGCAGTTTTTCCATTGCCACTGTCGGATGCATACTGTGCCACCTACAAAAAGATCGTGACGCTATAATTAACTTTCATTATAAATATAGCATGATAGGAGAGTGGCTTTAGACATGCAGAAGGAGAAATAGATCATCCAAAGATTGATATCAGCAATGGCATGAGCTTTGAACAACACTCATTGAAGCTGTTGGTTGTTCTATGTTGTTTAGGAGTCTTATGAAATTTGCTTGATCACAAAGGCTAGTAATGTTATAAATATGAAGCACTTTCCAATGCTCTCTCTCTTTTTATTTCACTCCGAAATGGAGACATTAACATCCAAAGAGAGTAGTTTTCGTAGCAAATAGAAGCCTGGTGTCACAATTTAAAGTTTTGAGGAACTGTGTATTAGAAAAGACTCGGTGTAATTATACGAATACTTATACTCAATCACAAAATTGAAGCCTCATAAAGCTTTCAACTGACTCAAGCGGGATGGAGGGGCTGGGGACTCAACAGATAATTCTATCTTTTCTTTGTTAAGAGAAATATTGGTTTCATATCTAAAAGAACAACTAATATAAGTCGAAGGAAGCCTTTACTTACTGCTCTTATATTCATTCGAAGTGATGCTGCGGGTCCAGAACGAAGTAGAGACCGACAGAAGTCATATTGGGGTTCATCACCCTCTAATGTTTTTTCTGCAGTAGTAGAAAACAAAGCCTAAATAAATTTTATATTACCTTCAGATTACGATTGTCGCAAACTTTGTCACATCAACACCAACGGCAATACTAATAGCGAGGATGCAAAAAGGAAAGGAATGACAAGAAGACTAGTAATGTGAATTGAGAGAATGTATATGTCAAATTTTTGAGTCAGAAATAAAAGAAAATAGATCTCATTAAATTTCCTTATGTAAGGCGCTTATTCGTTTTTTAATAGCTACATTAGCAAATGTGACCAGCCAAGAGAGATAATGAGGAAACGTTGGAAACCTAGAAAAAGAAAAATACCAACTACGAAGTATGGAATAAAAAAATAACTTCAAATCGTCTAAATCACAGAGATTCTCTACTATCTGGATTCTAGCACGACAAGGCATTACCTAAGTCCTTGATCTGAAACTCCGTAAGTATGACAGCTGGTACATAAGCCTCCAGAGGATCAAGCTTTTTTCTACAGCATTTCAGACCAAATTAGTTTTAACTATTCTTCAGATGCACATAAACATATTGCTTTAGCCATAAATTACAAAAAAGCAAATCTAATTCAAAGAAATAAATTAAACATCCCCCTCCCCCTTATAATGTAAAGCAGAAATAAATATAATGAATCAACAATACATGCATTCACAATGTAAAGAGTTTTTACAAGATCAACCAATCATAAGTAGTTATATTTGTCAAAAATAATAAATTTCATGATTTCAAACTGGTTAACAGTGTAAAACCACTGTAATTAGATATAAATGAAACTCGAGTCAATTAATAGTTAGTCTAGCAAAATTCAAAGAGTATGTATGTATAATGTAAGGAGACTAAAACCTTGAGACGCTAAACTAATTATCGACTAACTAAATTATAATTAAAGGAAAAACTAACTGATATACACAGAGTATAAGAAAAAAATATGCATGACATGATGATCAGTAATAATCCATACCTCTTAATATAATTATCGAAAGGACTTGCTTGAACAGCACCACCTGCACGTGAAAATAGCAGTATCATGAAACCGATCCAACGTGTGAAGAGGATGATTGAAACGATAAAACAAGCACTTACGGTGAGGAATGAGAAGGAGGTGGGAGAGAAGGAGAGAGAACGACACCGTGCGCCGCCCCTCTCGCCACGTTGGGGGCGACACTGCGCACCTCACTCGCTTCGCCTTCCAAGTGGAACACTGCAAGGCCGTGTTGCTGCTAACATGCGCAGGGGTGCCAAGTGACGCCATGCCCACACAACACAATAGTGTGGCGGAGTTATGGTTGGCGATAACGTAACCGATTCGGTGGGCCCCACTCTTATCTTTTTTGTTCTCACTTCTCTTTCACTGACCACTCCTCTTCCTCTCCTCCCACACTTTTTGTAATTTGCAGATATATCCTTCCCAATTGCCATAATCATTCTATCTACCCTCATTTTCAAAATTTCTTTACGTAAAATTAAAGCATTTTATTGTTATTAGTTTGTGGAATTAAATGATGATAATTTTTTTTATTCAATTTTCAATGTAGTAATTTATTTGAAACACATTATATAATTAGTTGTTAAAGAAATTGTTCTTGGTTTTAAAATAAATTGGATTAAACATATATTTAAAACGAAATCATTTAGCAAATATAATTAACACAACTAATTAAAATAGTTGTAAAAGAAATTCTTTTTGGTTTTACAATATTGTTAACTTACAATTAAAAATTTTATTTTACTACTATTAAATCAAATTTAACTTATAAAATGTATACACTTCTATTGAATATTAGAATCTCAACGATTATATCATCAAATAGAAAATGAATTTTGCTTCGGTGTTTGTTACAGTTACAACTAAAATCGTGGACGCATCATAACTTGAAAAAAGAGACAGCTTGCATTATTTAACATTTTTTAAACAATATAATATGATAATAATTTCTTTGGTCTCTCGTCCTTTTCGAACAAATATTATGAATTTTATTTGCCAATTTGAACAACTAAATATATCTCACCGACAGAAAAGGATGTAATTTGATTGGCAATACCAACTTCAATTTATTTCTTTAATGGAAATTAACTTGTTTTAATCTTATAAAATTTCCAGAATCTTAAAGAGCTGTGAAGGTGCCAAAAAATAGGTAAAATATTAAAGTTGGTAAGTACCACTCGGTTGGTGGAATTTTTTGCAGTTTATTTTGAAGTTTGAACCTGAAGGCATCGGTTCGAGGCAGACACAACATAGATCTGTCTTGAACTTCTCTGTGTTCTGAAACAGCAACAATGGCAAAAACCATGACTTTGTGGTATCTTTTGCTCGCCCTTTCCTTCGTTTATGCTGCCACTGCTGATACTCAAAGTAAGTCCAGAACAAGTTTTTTTTTTTTTTTTTTGAGATTTGGAATGCTACTGTTAGTGTCTGGGGTACTCTAAGTTTGATCTGCCGTGCAATCTCTTTTAAGATGTAATTTTTATTAAATATTTTGAATTAAGCTTTTTTTATGCATCTCATTTGTAGTTTTTTCTCATTCTGGATTGTATTTTTTATATTTTAAATGAATCTAGTGTCTGTCTACAATGCCAGTGATGCTGTAAGCTATTCTGTGAGTAGATCTCAGTTTCTTAAAGCTTTCGTGTGTATGTTCGGGAAATGATTTCATTTTGGCATAGAAATTGATGGCATTTTGGATCCTGGACTATAATGGTGGAAAATGGTGAATGGGACATAAGGAAATTATGTTAAGAACGTCCCCTGATTCTTGTTTCCGACGACCAACCATGTTTTTCTTCCTTTTCAGCGTTAACTATAACTCGTTAAAGATCATGCTTCAATTTCCTCGTAGTGGATATTGCATTCGAGGATGTGCATCTTCAGCGTATAATAGCAATGACCCATTTGAGGCTTACTGTTTTGGAGCTAATACAGTTATTTCCCCTAGATTGATTTCATTAGAATATAAGTTTTGCTCTAGCTTTAGTTCTATGAAAGAAATCCAAGTGTTGATATGATTGTGAAACGATGAAGTTGTAATACATGACAATCAGATGGCTTCGTTTGACACTGAAACATTTTGTGTGGTATAAAGAGCAAACAAGGTTTTAAAAAATGGTCTGCAACCATACTTGTAGTTTCAATAAGGTCTTCGGAGTGTACGCAACCACAGTAGTTGAGTTTGTCCTTGATTTTTCGCATTGTCAAGGATTGTAGCAAAACTATAATCGTGACTGCAATTGCTGTTTAAAATCTTGGGAGGAAAATGAGTTGACCTCTGTAAAAAATGACTTTACTTTGGAGGCTCAAACTTTTGTGCTCCTTCCTCCATCCTATCCAATTTCACTCCATTCCAGTATCATTAGAAACCCAAACAAAGCCTTAGCAAGTCATTTTCTTTCTTCCATGAGCTACAGGGCTTTTGAGAAGTGATGCCCATGGAAATGTCATTAGGACTTAATTTATGGAGCCCTCAAATGCTGACGCGGACTGCTTTAGGAATTAGGAATTTGGAATGAAATTTGATATGGGTTCATAGTTGGAGAACAAGTTTAGGAAAACAAATGTCTTGCGTTTACAATGGCTACTGTAAATCTGCAATTATCAGAGATGGATTGGTTGTTTAAGCCCTACTTTAGTTATTTAGGAAAATGTCAAAAGAAAAAGAAAACTGCTGCTTTAAAAAAAATCCTGTGTGATGTATTATTGGTAAGCTACATGATTGGCAACCTACATTATATTTGTCTTAATTAGCATGTGTTTGCCAAATGGTTGGTTCTTCTGCGGGGGAATACATTAATATTAAGCAAGGCATAATTTATTAATTGAAGTTTTCTAGTTCATTTTTCTTTGGATTTGTCATTAAATCATACATCCATACGTGTTTGAGATGTTGGTTCATGTTTAACTACTTGTTTTTGTTTTTGACAAAGTCAGATATGGTTTAGAAAAGCTATTTTTTTCCCCTGCTTTGCTTTCTTACCCTCAGCTTGAGACTACATATAGACATACATGACTACTTTCCTCAATACAAAGCCTCCTTACTTCGCAGTTGTATTTATATCCTTAGATATGATTTCATTTCTCTAAATCCAATTTTCATTTACTAGTATTTTCCCCATTTAGGTGTTCTTTAATTTCCCTTTTCTTACACAATAAGCAAAACTTTGTTGCAGTCAAAGTTACTAACAACCCTGCTGACAAGTTGGTAGCTGCAATAAACGAAAACAGAACTGCTCACAAGGTATCAACCTTAACTGACAACCCGGGTCTTGCATGTATTGCTCTACAATACATTAAGGCATACCAAGGTGATTGTAATGCTGTGGGTGGACCTGATGGCAAGAAACCTCCGGAATCTCAATTTGCCGAAGTTTTTGCTCCAAACTGCGGTGTTGAGGCATCAAGTCTTGCTCCTATAACTGGTCGTTTTCTGGGGTGCCAGACTAAATATGTACATGCACCTGAGGCATTTTCTGAAATCCTCATAAGGAACCAAAAGAGCCTAGACATACTCTACAGTAAGAATCACACTCAGGTTGGTGCTGCTGTGACAGGTACTGATGGAGGGTCTCCTTATTTTTGGTGTGTGCTGTTTAGCAGTGGCAAACTTAACAATACCTTTACTTTTGAGGGTGGTGTAGCTAAAATAACAAAGCCTGGTTGCTTTAGTGGAGCGAATGATGAGTGCAGCGGGGCCAGTGATTGGTCACCACCCAATGGGATGTGGGTATTCGCCACTTCAGTTCTGATTGCAACGGGGTTTGGTTTAGCATTATGAGCATAAACTGAGATAAATTGTACGGTTTCTACATGATTTGGAGGTAAGGTAGTCTTTGTTGTATATGAAAGGCTTGGCCTCAGCTATTCTTTCCCCCCTTGTTTGATATTGTAATTTGTTGAGAGATTCATTTTCCCAACTTTCTTGTTTCCATATAAATTTTGTGGTATTGGCTCTTGAACATTCTCTCATGTAGTAGGCCTACAAGTTTCATTTTCCCTTCTGAAAAAAAGAAGATAAATTAAGCTACATAAGAAGATTTCTGTCGTTTTAATAGGGATTTGGATCTTTGAGAATATACCCTAGCCCTTAAAAAGTAGGGATTTAAGGAAACTACTGCATATAATTTTTAAGAAATATTTACGTTTAACACATTCTTTATAATCGACTGAGAAATTGAGGAAAAATTATAAATTTTGTAGATCTTATTCAATATTTGATGAGTTTCATATTTTGTGGATTGCATTAAACTTAAATAATACCTGAGAAATGTGTGGTCTTAGTTGTCCTTACTAATATATGATGTTTCTCTTTTCTCTGATACATCAGTTACCAAAGGATCTTCTATTAAACAAAGTATGCCACAGAAAAATGCCGATAGTTAATTTTAGAAAAAACTATTATTGAGATAATCACTTTACATGTTTGCAAGTGCCTTATTTTATGTAACGCGTTTTTGGGAAGATAAGTGCGTAGTTTATAGTTAGTGAATTAATTAAGCTAAAAAAAGTTACTAGAGGTGTTTAGTAAGTGACTAATGACAAGAATCTGATCCATAACGGTACCACACTCAGAATGAAATTGTAATGATATCAACTCTACACTTACAATCTATTTCAAAAATCGCATTGGTAACCATGTTGGACAATCCATAGCATAGAGAAGAGCCAGAGCCTCCACTCATGAATATCCAACACCAATTTAAACATGCAGATTTGGCCAAAATAAATTATCCAGAATCATTCCTTATGCAACAACCAAACCCCGTTTTCATTTGGGCAATAAAAATTGTTGCATCAGAATTACATCTTAGAACACCAGCAGGTGGTTTGGCCCAAGAAACAACTAAGGTTGTACCAGATGAAAGTTGAAACCAAAAATCAAAAGAATGAACCAATCTCCAATCCTCTACCACCTGTTTTGATCTATAAATCGCCCAAATCCTGTCCATCCACAGAATTCCACAGCATTACAAATTACATTTCTTCTCATCCAAATTCTGCCTCAACTTTAAAAGTTCTTATTTGATATATTGGTAGAATTTTTATAAACAAATATAAATAAAATTTGATATATTTTTATAAAATATATATATTTTTATAAAATATAAAAATATAAACAAAAGTATAAAAATATAAATATAATAATTTTATAAAATATAAACAAAAGTATAAAATATAAAAATATTTATATTTGAGTAGTTGAAACTTACTGAAAATTGTAAAAATTAACTATTGTTATATCTTATTTAGTAATCATCCTTCATATTATTTATCATAACCACTTGAAGTAACGTGTTAATAAGAATATATTGAAGAGTTTCTAGCTAGCATTCTCCTTGGACCAAGTAAACCTTGACAATCATCTTTGGTTCCCCAAATTAAGATCACAAATTGAGTCTGTGCATAAGAAGATGGGAAAATAATTTCTTACGCAATAATTCTCAACATCTTAGAAACAGCAAACTAGAATTAGAGCGTGTTTCCATGAGAGTCAGAGAGAGGATTTAAGATTCAAAATAACAAAAAGAAGAGTAAGAATGGCAAGAATACCGCCAGAAGAACCAATAACCCTATAAATCCAGTAACGATCGAAGCCGGCTAGGGTGCGATCCAGAAAAGCCGATAAAGCTATGCAGGAAATCAGTAGAATGAGGAGAAAAGGCAAGAAGACTTCACCGTTGATGGGTTGCTCCTCGTCTTCCAACTCACACTCCGCTTTGCGATCTATGTAGATAGGAGAAGCCACAGCCAGAAGCACCAACCCTATGGCAGCCAATCTCTCGTACGATGAAAATTTGCTGCCCCTTCTGCAACCTCCAACTTCCATTCATTAGATTCTCTCTCTCTGCCTAACTTTGTTTCTGTTAGAGAGGTGCAACTGTTCCAACTCTCAATTTTAACTTTAATTTTAAAAAGCTTCAGCTACACTCACCTTTTCTTTTACGATTCAAGTAATAGTAGTAATTGTGAATTGAATTCAGATGTTTTTTTTTTTTTAATAAACTTTTTAGGTTATTTAATACACAAATTTAAAGTTATTATTACCTCGGATACTGATCGGAAAAACACTGCAACTTTTTTGTATGCTAAAAGATGACCAAGATATAAAGTGGAGCCGTACCAGAAATGGTTTGTTACTGATAAAGCTCCGTTATTAGAATTGTAATATTGTATAAATATGAATAGGATTCGCCATTAATAAAGCATAATATTCGCTGCGCTGATTAAATTTCGTATGGAATCTGATGCCATTTCTGCAGTGGATGGATGTCCGTGCAAGATCAGTGTAAAGAAATGCAGAAGCTTCTCGAATGTTTGCACTAACATCACATATTCGAACCAATTTGTGTTGAGGTGAAAGAAATATCGCCAGGGTCAAAGAAATGTTTGGCTCAAGTAAAGAAAACTGGACAAAAGTTCTAGGAGGGAATCACAAAGATGTGAATTTAATAAGAAACGTATTGATGTGATTTTAACGTAGATTTACAAATTTTGATGGGAATTTTCCAAGGTTTACGAGAAAGTAATAATGAGGGCCAGTATTGATTTAAAATTTATCTTAATTATTTTGTCATGTCTCATCTTTTTGTATATCACCCACCACGCATTATTTATTTTTGTTTATGTTTCGGGACGTGAAATGATTAGTTTTCCTTTTAAATTCAATGTAATGTCCTGAAGTTGCTGAAAGAGTCTTCCCTGATTGTGACTTCCACTTTAACAAGTTGGATCCTTTATCCTTCACATCACCCGTCAACAAAGAAGAAAATAGTGAAAAGAAAATGATGTTATCATGAAAAGATTGGAACTGAAGGATATAAAGGATGAAAATATACAGAGGGGTGACATATATTGACATTTATACATCAATAAAAATATTTATTATATAATATTATTTATTAATTCTATATTTATAAAGTGTTTAATTTAAAATAAAATTAATTAAAATTAATTATTTTATTAATAAATTAAATTATTAAATAGATGTTTGTTCCGATTGGATTCTCAATCGATCTCTTTCTACACAAATATTATCCTTATTCTTCATTTATCCATGTGATCTTTATGGATTTCCAATTGCATACTTCATTTTAACTAAATAACATTATTATTATTATTTTATCCTTTAACTAATTCTCAAAAATCATCCCTTGATCACAAAAGTTATTACTTTAATTAAAAACAAGTCCTCTATTTTTTTTTCTAAGCAAAGGAATATGTCATCTCTCATAATATATTATTTAACCGTTTTTTTCATTAAAAACTAAATTAAATGTAGAACTAAATCTAACTCTAAAATTACATACTTATTATCAATAATAGATTTTCCGTGAACATCTTATGGGGATTGATTCTTAATGTGAAAAAAAAAAAAACTATGCCCATTTCAGTAGTTTGTATACTCTATTTAACCAGGCATTGCATTTTTAAAACATTTGACTAGAAATTGTGAGTACACATGCATAAGTTAGAGGCAATCAACCATGCAACATGAATTGCATTTATTTATTTTTGGTTTGTGTATATTTAGGCGTCAAATAAGTGAATCTAATAATGGTAAACGTTAAACTAACACATGCAATTTATAAAATGATACATTAATCTTTTAAAATTGAGTTTAATCCCTTCAATGGTGGGATATAGAAGTGCATACATAGCCACTGTAAAAATGATGACGGGAATTTGATTCCCATTTCAGCAAAGATCCTGTGGTAGGTTATTATTTACTTTTTACTTCTCGGTAAGAAAAAAAATTCCATGAAAAAGTATCACTGTGTTTCATAAAAAAACGGAGATCAATATTTTTTAAATCAAATCCGTAAATATATATATATATATATATATATATATATATATATATTCAGAATTTAAAAATTGAAGTGAAATTGAATTTAATAATTATATTTTTTAATATCATAAATTTATTAATAATAATAACTTTTATAAAAAAATAATAAAAATTATCGTTATGATTATTATAAATTTTAATGAAAATTATAAAATATATTTTAAAATACAAAATTATTAAAATAAAATAAAACCATAATAAAAAACTATTATTTAAAATCCATATAATTAAATTAAGATTAACAAAATTTAAATACATTATATTTTTATAAAAAAAATTATATTAAAAAATTTTGATCTAAATTTTTTTCAAAATCGATTAAGCTTATAAATTCAACCGGATATCATGATTCAATTAAAGTCTAATCATTTCGAAGCCAACCGCATAAATTTTTAGTCTTTGAACCGGAATCAGTGGAGAATGAAGAGAAGAGAATGAATTTTAAGTCGCATGATTACTGAAAAAGGAAAACAATCAGATGTGTGTACTAAAAAAAAAAATAACATACAAATAAATTGTGAGTGTGGTAGCTTGATTTTTCCACAGTAAACTCCATAACTCTGCAATCATTGGAATCATAAGGTGGAAAATTGTGTTGCCTAGGAACTATCATAATTGGATGGAATTAACAATCGCAACTTGTATAAACTACTAATAAACAGTTTGAGGCACAAATAAATTCTACCATGTTCTATTTAGCACCACCCAATGTCCTTGACCTGTTCCCTAGAAGCCGTCTCATCCATTTCTTCTGTGAAGTAGTAACATTAGAAGCTTGTAATGGTGGTGCAAGACCTTGTTGGGATTGTTCTGGGGCTGGAAGCTCAGCAGGGAGTGCAGCAGCAGTGCTTGTGAATGCATTTAAGACCAAGAATGCTAGAATGGGGGAGAGATCCAGTGTTCCTCCCAGCGGGGGAATAAGTCCACGGAATATGTTAAGGTATGGGTCACATATTGTGCTGAATGAAACAATCATCATTATATTTCACACTTCAAAATCCTTGAAATTAAATCTGTTGTACTATCATTAAGCATGTAACTGTGAAATGTCAATGCATCCTACACTATTCCCATCCCCAAAAACAAAATGTTGAATCATATTATGGTCCAGCTATACTTTTGGTCCCAGCTACACATTAAAATAACAAACCAGTCTTTGCATAAAATTAATTGTTCAGTTCAATCCTCATCATCCTGTATAGAGACAAAATTTCAGTGGCTATAAAAATTGTAGAGATCAAGAATGCCTTTTACTAATATAGATAATTTTGAAATGTTTCAATAAGAATCAAATTAAAAATAATTTTTTTATATTGATTACTCATAAAACTTATTATTGGTATTACTTTAAAGGTAATTGTTATAAATATGCTAGAACATGGCTTTATCTAGCAATAAAATTGGGCGTGTGAGAACAATCCAATTGAACAATGAATGGTATTCTTAGGAACAAAATAAATATGTAATTATGAAACCCCAAAAATAATAATACTGCTAAAGAAGCTGACTCACCTGAGGGGACTAACAATGGAAGGAGGAGTGTTGGGAAACCATGTCAAAACAAGCCTAACTATGAGCAAGGTGTTGTAAATGTTCAAGAAATTCAGAATCCCATTAGCCACAACCAACCCTGCCACCGAATCCCCAGGCAAAACGGCAGCAAAATTGTGACTACCCACTGACCTCACGTTTCCGTGCTTCCGAATCTGAACCCAAAGAAAACAAAGGCTTCATATTATTTTTCCCACATATAAACACTACAAAAAAAAAAAAGAAAGGAAAAGTTTAGAAATACCTGGACGCATAAGGTGTGAAATTGGGAGGGGAGAGAGAGAATTTTGTTGATGAAAGGGTTCTGAGAAGCGATGGAGTGCAGAAGGGTGAAAAAATGGTCAGCGGCAGTGGTGAATGATGTGTGGAGTTGAGGTGGAGAGAGAAAAGTGGTGAAGTTGGAATTGGGGAGTGTGAGAAAGGGAAGTGCAAAGGGTATTTGAGCATTTCCCCAACAATTTGAAACCTTCTTCTTAGTCTTCTCTATCTCATTGGAGGAGTCATTAGTGGTGTTGGCACCCATTTTAGTTGGGTTCATCTGAGGAAAGGAAACTCAAAGGTGCTTCTGTTCTATCCTACAACAGCAACCTCTGGAGTACAAAGTGGATAACGTTAGCGCATGATAGGGATTGAGTGAATAAGGAGGTAATCCGCTGAATATCTTCTCTCTTATATTAAAAATTATTCTTAAAAAATTATTTGTGATAAATTTAGATTTAGTTATATGTTTTATCACTCTATAAAATTTAAGAAAATATAAATGGAGTAGGAAGTTAAATAAACTAGTTTAATAATAACTATAAAAGTGTACACCAAACTAGATTTCCCCCTCTATTGCAGCCATTGATACCATAACTTATTTTTCGGGAAAGCACTTATCTTTTTCTTGTGCCACATCACTTATCTTTAATGGTAAAAGTCAAATAAGATACGCGAGTTTATAACTCTAATGACCTAATAATATTATGAATAAATATGGTTTGTTGACGAAATTTGTTCACGCAATTAATAAATTTGGTGTAATGACGATTTTCACACGTTCACGCAATTCATTAAGTCTTATTTGATAATAGGAAAAGGGTGAACAACTCAAATTTTAATACTGTAATATTTTGTGTTTCAGGTTTGTTTTTATGAAATTAAAATTTGATTCATCCATTATTCATACAGCAGATTATATATTATATATCAATTAATGACTATTTCATATAAATTATTATTTAAGCAAAAAGGATTTTTGTTTTTTCACTCCTCTAGCTTCAATCTCACTGTAATTAATGAGCGGTAGTTACCGTTGGTAGCCGCCAGTGGCGTAGCGAAATGGACGTGTCAAATATTCAACGAAGGCCTCTAGCGTGCGAAATGAGCAGGTAACATGAAAAATTGGTGGTTCACAACGCCTTCTTCTGTCTCCGATTATGGCTACTCGTCTCTTCAGTCTCCCTCTATCCTCGCCATCCAAGCTCTGTTTCAATTACAGGCCCAATCATGATGTCCAGTTCATTTCTCCCACGAAATCACGTCGGAACCGCTACCGCCACCGCAACCGCTATGAGATTCTCCCTCCACTATTCGCGGTATCGAGCTCCTTCCGGACCGAGATTGGCTCGCCGGAATCAGCTCTTCTCCGAGGCCAGAGAGAGACGAAGGACTCGCCGGTTCTGCTCGACGTCACCGGCATGATGTGCGGCGCCTGCGTCTCCCGGGTTAAAAACATCCTATCCGCCGACGAACGAGTCGACTCTGTCGTGGTTAACATGTTGACCGAGACCGCCGCTGTTAAGCTGCGCCGCATCGAGGAGGAACCGGAGAGCGTCGTGGAGAGCCTCGCTAGGAGACTGAGTGACTGCGGATTTCCGACGAAGCGTAGAGCGTCGAGTTCGGGAGTGACGGAAAACGTGAGGAAGTGGAAGGAATTGGTGAAGAAGAAGGAGGAATTGGTCGCTAAGAGTCGAAGCCGCGTCGCGTTCGCTTGGACATTGGTCGCATTGTGCTGTGGATCGCACGCTTCGCATATCTTTCACTCCTTGGGAATCCACATTGCTCATGGTAGTACTCGAATGGAACATTCAAAGCTTGTTATTCGCTATTCAGTTGCAAATTCCTTAAATGCAGATAAACCGAACGGGAACCGCAATGTGTAAACGCTTTCTAGTAGTCAAACCTCACCTGTTTTCCTATTTGCAGGACCGCTTTGGGAGATTCTTCATAGTTCCTACTTGAAAGGTGGTTTAGCTTTGGGGGCTCTATTGGGACCAGGACGAGGTTAGTCGTCTTTCTTTTCCCTTCTTGATACATAGCAGCAACTTCTTTTGAAGAACCACGTCTTGAAGTATTTATGAGAATCTTTACAATTTTCTTATAGTGTTTGATTCATGAAAATGCTGCAGAGTTACTCTTTGACGGCCTAAATGCATTTAAGAAGGGGTCGCCTAATATGAACTCTCTCGTTGGATTTGGTTCTATAGCTGCATTCATCATTAGTTCCGTGAGATTCTATCTGGAATTTGAGTTTTCCATTAAATTGCTAAACAATAGAATTTCTGATTTTGTTTTAATTTGAACTTGTCTTTGCTGTAGATCTCGCTACTTAACCCCGGCCTAGCATGGGATGCATCCTTCTTTGATGAACCGGTGACTTTCTTTACTTTTATTTGTCCTGATAGTTGTCATTTGAGAATCTGCCACCTTTTGTTTTATCTCGGCTCGGGGTATTGTTTTTGTAGATTAATAACCTCTCACCTCTGTGAAATATGTTATTTCTTGTCTTGTTGACACTTTTTATGTTCATGTTGGTATAAGCTCCTCATGTGAGTATCGAATCTCGTAGCGTGCAGGTCATGCTTCTTGGTTTCGTGCTTCTGGGACGTTCTCTGGAAGAAAAGGCTAGGATCCAAGCATCTAGCGATATGAATGAACTGCTTGTAAGTTGAAGCGTGATTCACATCTTTCATCTGATAACATTCCAGTAAAGTAAGATTTATATAACCTGCTATTTGCTATCTGGAATCAATAATGTGTTTTATAAGAACAAGTTAGTACACATTTTGTAGGGTTCTTTTAATAATACATCATCAAAGGATTCTATTAACAATACATCATCAGCATGGCTTCAGCGTTTGGAAGCCTAACTGCTTCAATGTCATTGGAACAGACTTTGGATTATGAATATATTCCACTGGAACTGACTTTTGATTTATGAATATGTTCCTTTTGATGATTAAATGGCATTTGTAGGTTACAGAATAAATGAGACAATATGTTGGTTTTCCATATAAAAGTCCAATCTTATTTAAAATTCCATTCCATTTCTGATCAATTATTTCTGAGAAAAATGAAAAATCCAAAAACTGGAACTTTAGTTATAAAAAGTGGCTTCTATGAAATTTAAGCATCAAATTATAGTTTTGCTTTTCTGAATGCCATTTCTTTAGAGTCGTATTTTACTGTAGGTTTAATTATTTTATCTTACATGATTACGCTGTGGTGAATGTTTTGCCAGTCACTGATATCTACTCAGTCAAGACTTGTGATTACTTCAACAGAAGGTCCACCTTCCACTGAAACTGTGCTTTGCTCTGATGCAATTTGTGTTGAAGTCCCAACTGATGATATTCGAGTAGGTGATTCTGTGCTGGTGTTTCCTGGAGAAACTATTCCTATAGATGTAAGCCTTTCTGATTTCTATTGATATTCTGTTTATCTTAATTTAATTTTGTGGTACCTGAATTGGTGACTGTGCACAAATATCATTGCATTAAGTTTATAGTCCCTAGGACCAAATGCTTAGTTAATAGGATGAACCTCATGCCAACAATGTCCTATGATAATAACATTGTTACGGAAATAGTCATTAAAAATTTTACACTTAAAATTGGAGGCCTACCTGCATGATTTCAGATGGAAAGAGGCGGAGGCAGAAGGAACAGTTGAGGGGGCCCACTTTAATTTTCTTGAAGAAAAAAGTTTATATATATATAATTTTAAAAGTGAAACTAAAATTTTGGGTGTGGGCATGGCATTCCCATGATCGCTCCGCCCTTCGATGGAATATTGAGAAACTTGTTGGTTCATATGGTATTACATACTAACTAGTAAAATACACGAGCAGGGAAAGGTTATTTCAGGAAGAAGTGTTGTAGATGAATCCATGCTTACAGGGGAATCACTTCCTGTATTTAAGGAGGAAGGCCTCACAGTTTCTGCAGGAACTATAAATTGGGTCAGTCTTGAAATTTGTTGTCTAACTAAACTCACATGTGATGTGGGGGTACATTTGTGATTTCAATTCATCTACCTTGCTTGCGAGCAAACTTATTGATCTATTTCTTTGGCCAAACAAATTTCTATTTCAGGATGGTCCTTTAAGGATTGAAGCTTCTTCAACTGGTTCCAACACTATGATATCAAAGATTGTACGCATGGTTAGTATCTCATCTTCCGTACTGACTTGGTCATAAGATGCTGTATAATTTAAATGATATGATAATGATTTCTGAGTTAAAAATGCAATTTCATGCATCCTAATTGTTATAGGTTTTATAGGAGAATGTGATACTGAACACATTGTATAACTGTTTTGCTTAATTTAAGTCTTAGAACCATGCATCAAATGATGATATTAATTTGGAATATTTTGAGCTAGAATTGTTGATAAGTCCATTGATCTGCGATGTGTGGAAATCAAACAATTATAGTGTTGCCGCAATATTACATCTTTATCTTGTGAAATTTAGGTTGAGGATGCACAATCACGTGAAGCACCTGTACAGAGGCTTGCAGATTCAATAGCAGGCCCATTTGTATACAGTGTGATGACTCTGTCAGCAGCAACATTTGCATTTTGGTAAGTATTTATATTTTCACACAAGTTTTTTAGTTGATAATTTTAGGATTTGCTTCACTGATCAAAACGGCAGTAGGGTTTGTCAAAACTACTATTAATTTACTATGACATATTGATGTTATTATTATCCAGCCTATGTGGCTCTCCATGACACTTCAACACGATTATAGTTGGTTCCTTTTGTGTCCCTTGCGAACATCAGTGTCTAATCTTCTTAGAATCTTGCAAGATTTATGATGGTCATACAAATTTAACTTTCCCGAGTAAAAAAAAAGACTTGGTGTATACAGTTCAACTTGCCCCTTATCTTTGACAAATTTGTTGCCCATATCTCCAGGTATTTTTTTGGAACACACATATTTCCTGATGTTTTGCTCAATGATATTGCGGGCCCAGAAGGAGATCCTTTGCTTTTGAGTTTAAAACTTTCTGTGGATGTTTTGGTGAGCCATTTTAAACTCTAGGTTCACTTGTAGTTGGTGCTTCAAGTTCGCTACTAAAATTAGATGTATTTCCGTATTCACTTTTCTTTTGGTATCTCCTTTGAAGCACCCTCTTTTACTGGCTTTCTGCATCTGTTGTTGATCAGGACGTGCGTGACAAAATCCTGCATGTCCTTTATACGAGTCCTCAGAGTTGCACACAGCCTTTCATTTGGACTAACATTAGTCACATCTAAAACTTGGTGCAAGCTAGTAGTTGTGGGCTTATCTATCTGGAACTGATTGCAACATTGTGAATAAACAGAAAGAAAAAATGGAGTGAATGGAATTATTCCTGATAAAAGAAAATTTTCAGGCAGGACACGAATGTAGGTGTTTGTAATTTACTTATGGTTTTATTTAAAAGTAATCTTTGCCCCCACTTTGTAGGTCGTTTCTTGTCCTTGTGCATTGGGTCTTGCTACGCCCACAGCAATCCTGGTTGGCACCTCACTTGGTACGAAGCTTATGCTTTCTGTATTTAGAAACTTAGACAACTGTCACTTAAAGTTACTTGAACAGTACACTGCACTTATAGTTACTCTTTAACACACCATTTACTATTGGTTGAGATTCACTTTAGACCCATAAACGTGGTGGTTTCAACTTTCATATCTTGTTTAATGGGACCTATATAGATTTCTTCCAATAGTAAAAAGGCTGCGTTGACAAGAATATAATAAAGAGTGTGCATTCCTCATTTCTCAAATATTGACTCATTTTATCTGATACCAAGGTTTTCCAATTTTTATTCCTTGAAAATTGATTGGCACTGAGTAATGTAATATCAATCACTTTTTTTTTTCATTTATACTCGTAATAATACTAATGATGGATAACAAAGACTACTAATGAATTAATGATGATAGGTTGATTTTGTAAAATTGTTGTACTCTTTCACCGATTATGTAAGACGACACTTATTATGAGATAGAAGAAGTATTTGTTTCATAATTTGTTGTTCTTCCATTTAATGATTTACCACTCTTGATCAATTATGGTTCTATAAATATATATTAACGAACAAGACACAAAACTATTGCACTACAAAGTAACCATGCCTTTGTCAGGCTGGGATAAGGTGTCTTATCTAGTTTTTCTTGTGCACTTTAATTTGTCAACTTTTATTGTGTAAAACATGCTGCCCAGAAAACTGCTCAGGTATTTTTAGTATCTTCAGTTTTTTTTGTAATTAACTCTCACAATAGGCACGTTTGACAATGACCAGGAGCAAGAAAAGGACTTCTTATTAGGGGAGGAGATGTGCTAGAACGCTTGGCCGGAATAAATTATATTGCTCTAGACAAGGTAATTCCATGTCCATACACAATATTATCCGTCTTTCCTCAATCCTCCCCATTCACCATATACAAACATTCATATGCTAACATGCATATATATGTGTAATAGGGACTTATTCAGTAGGATGAATGTCTAAAGAAAACATTATTAAGTTTGTCTTGCGTATATCTAATTTCACATCGAGAGAGAAACTCAAAAAAGTATGTGGTGACTTATGTTCTGCTTTATTGATTCTAAGTAGATGGGAACCCATATAATATAATGTACTATGTTGTAGAACTAAAATATAGTATACATAGTTAATAAACAAAAATTAATTAATTTGAAAGGGAAAAAAAAAAAAACTAATCTATATACTACTGCAAATTTTTAGACCGGCTATAATTTCTCATGAAAATGAATAAAAGGAAGAAGATTCACTAGCACTGTATTTTCAGACAGGAACCCTGACGAAAGGGAAACCAGTTGTGTCGGCCATAGGCTCTATCCATTATGGAGAGTCTGACATTCTTCGGATTGCTGCTGCAGTGGAGAAGACTGCACCTCACCCAATAGCAAAGGCTATTCTCAATGAAGCTGAGTCATTGGAGTTGATCCTTCCTGTCACAAAGCGACAGTTAGTTGAACCAGGTTTTGGTACTTTAGCAGAAGTAAATGGACATTTGATTGCAGTTGGATCTTTGGAATGGGTTCATGAACGTTTCCAAACAAGAGTGAACCCGTCTGATTTGACAAATCTGGAACATAGTTTGATGAATCATTCATCAAATACAATATCTTCTAAGTATTCGAAAACTGTTGTCTATGTTGGACGTGAAGGAGAGGGCATCATTGGTGCTATTGCCATATCTGACACTGTGCGTGAAGATGCTGAATCTACTGTAATGAGGTATGTTTACTTAGCTTATGTATCCTCGGAATATTCTACCCAGTATCCGCTCATTTTAGGCAAATAATACCAGTGCTGCTCCTGACCAAATGTGAAGTTGGTTCACTTCAACTTCTTCAGAAAAAAGGGGCAGTTTTTTTTTTGTTCCACGAGCTTAGCATGCATTTCAAGCTCAAAACTAACACAGAGCTGCACCGTTTTCTTACCCACTGTAATGTACTCAATATACTGGATTTAACATATTTCCTGCATTCATTGTTAGTATTTGCCAAATCCAAATATGCTTGTCTTTTTAATTCTTCATGTGTGCATTTTCCGGCTGACTTTGTTGCATTTATTGTTAGGCTCAAGCAGAAGGGGATTAAAACGGTCCTCTTGTCAGGAGACAGGGAAGAGGCAGTTGCAACAGTAGCAGATACAGTTGGAATTGAAAATGATTTTGTCAAAGCATCTTTGTCTCCACAACAGAAATCTAGATTTATTTCCTCTCTAAAAGCTGCCGGACATCATGTTGCAATGGTATGTTGATTGATGACAGCTGTACTTAATGAAGTTCTCTTCCTCTCCCGCTTGCTCTCTATGTAATTTTCTTTATCTTGGGTTTTGGCCTTGGCTCAATAGAGAATTATATGGGTTTTGGCCTTGGCTCAATAGAGAATTATATTATGATAAAAGGTCTACTGAGCTTATCGTTAGGTGATAATGCAGGGACCAAGAGTAGAGAGATATTCTTCACCCAAGCCAAATAAAAGAACATTAATAATGGGCCACAAACCAAACACATAAGAGATCATTATCTTAAGGTTTTGGGTTGAAAGTAAATTTTATGTTCTTTTATTTGGTTTGGTGAACATCTTCCTACTCTTGTTCCTCTCGTAATTATTCAACACTTATAACGTGATCCTGGTCAAAATGGTCAGAAATTTAGCACATATTAGTATTATTAGTAGCTATAAAGAATTGGATTTTGTTTTTTGTTTTCAAAGTTGTTGAGATATTTATGGTTGCTCTTAATTGAAGAACATGACCATGGAACAGCTCCACACCAAAATGCTTTTGCTGTAAGCATCATGCTGTGGAATTGCACACAACTATTGCATCGATCTATCTATCAACAAACAGAAAAATGGCATTTTTACTAAGACAGTTTTTTCTCCCCTTCTCTAAGGTAGGTGATGGGATAAATGATGCACCCTCTTTGGCTATAGCGGATGTTGGGATTGCTCTGCAGAATGAAGCTCAAGAGAATGCTGCCTCGGATGCAGCATCTATTATACTTCTAGGGAACAAAATTTCACAAGTATGTCTTTTATGATATTCCAAACTTTTTGTTTCACCTATATGCATTCCCCAAGCTATTGTTTTTTTTTTTTTCTCTTTTGCCCAAATGGGTTGCAGATGGTGAAATTTTGAAATACTTGAAATTTTCATCGCTTGTGGCAACTCTAAATGTTTTTTCATTGCTTGGAATGTTCACCATGATACAAGTGACCTGTTTAAACAATCATCTGTTTCATACCATAGTGATGTAATGTATAGTTTTTTTTTCTTTCTTTTAATGAATGGAGTAATTTCTTCTTGATTTTTAGCTTGTTACCTTTTATTACGGGAGAGAGAATAAAATAGAAGGGTTATCTTTCAAACTTCTAATTTGACAGGTTGTCGATGCGCTAGACCTAGCACAGGCAACAATGGCAAAAGTGTACCAAAATTTGTCTTGGGCGGTCGCCTATAATGCTGTTGCCATTCCCATTGCTGCCGGTGTGCTACTTCCCCAATTTGACTTTGCTATGACACCCTCACTTTCAGGTGAGCAGCATTTAACCGTTCCATTCTTCTCATATATTTCATCCGGCTATTTGAGAAGTTATAATTAATCCACACTTATTAAGAAAGATAATTAATAATTAGTAGTATCAAAGTCGTTTCTAATTGTAAGAATTTTAAAAATATCTTTAAATAATTAATGTATGGAAAAATAATAACAGTAGTGTAATTTTAATTTTTAAAACTAAACACTTTAATTCTCTAGTATACTTCAAAGAGAGACAGTTGATGGCATTTCTTATTTGTAAGAAAATAATCAAGGTATTTTGATTAATAAATAATCAAGGAACAATCAAAGCAAAGTTTTATAAGTAGGGATAAAAGAATTTCAACAGAATATCTTATAATTAGGAACAAAGAGATTATAACACACATAAGACCGTATTTTTTATAATAAAAGAAATAGGACTCTTGCTTTCTGCCTATGGTGTTTTGAGTGAATATTCTTTATCGGCAAAAAAATGGTTATTTTCTGTTTGTCACCCTTAATATTTAATCGCAGGAGGACTGATGGCTCTGAGCTCCATCTTCGTGGTTGGCAACTCACTGCTTCTACAGCTTCATGGGTCTCAGATCTCTAGAAAGGGCTAAATTCTTGACAGCATATCTTCCCATCGCATCACAGATATGCTTAAAAAAATAAGCATAGAGTTTTATAGAGTAACCTGCAATATATTTGTATCTATTAAAAGATGAGAGTGCATATTTTAATAAAAATGGAAAAACAATACCTAGCGAATGATAACGTAAAATATATTTGGGAATAGTTTTCTTAACAATAATGAAGCAATAACGAAATAAAAAGAAAAAAAATCATATATTCACATCCACTAAGAAAGAAAAATGTATATTTTCATACAATGGGAGAATGGCTCTCAATTTGAAAAATCATTTTTTTTATAGAAACTAAAATCCAAATTTATTAATTTTACAAACAAGCCTACAGAATTATTCAAGAAGGTTAAACTTCAAAATCATAACCATAATATATAGATAATTTTATATTTTCTGGCCACTTTAAAAAAGGTGATACTAATTGTTTAATATGATCTAATTAAAGAATATGTGTTAGTTCAAGTGCTGAATTGGTATTAGACTCACTTTTCAACTAGATTTCAGGTTTTGTTTGACCTTAGGTAATTGTTAATCATCTTATTTAATCTATTTTTATTAAGTCTTTTTGCATTATATGCGGAGATTGTATTATTGTATTGTCAGTGTTTCAGTACTTATTTCTGTTCGTTGGGACTGGAGATTGTGCGTCCTCGTAGGATTATACCAATCTAAGGACTTGGTGGTCTCCACTACCATAAGTACTTATAGTAAGTTATTAAAGTGTTACTCGCAAAGGGAGAGTGATATATAAATGAGAGAAATGTGTAGTAGTGTGGGGAGAGAACATTGGACTTAAAGGAAATTTTTCATAAGTTAATCAACAGATCATCGTCGAATAGAGATCGAGGAGTAGAGAACAATGACAAATAAATTTGGGTGCTCTCGCTAGAGTTTATGAAATTATCGCAACAAAACACTAACTGAAACATGTTCAAACTCTGTTGATAGAAAAACCAAATTAAAAGAGAATGTCCTACAAAATATAGATACAATAATATATATATTAGTAATTTTCTTAAATAATATGTTTATTGTGTTAATATTTATTTATTTTACCAAATAGATCAAAATTAATAATAACTATTAGATAAAATAATATTTTAATTTAAAAATAACACCAACTACCTCCATAGTGTTGTCTATAAAATTGTCGGCTGGAAAAATACGATTATTTTTAATCCATATAGATGGATACTAATTTAACTTGAGCATTGTACACTGAAAATGTTTAATGATATATAAATAAAGTTCACGATAATTATTTTTAAGTTTATAAATTATGTTATAATTAAAAAAGTAATAGTTTAAATATTTAAATTTCATTCTAATTTTTAAGGAATAATTTTTATGCCTATGACTATTTTTATAATTAAAATGAACATATAGTTAATAAATTTAATTATGCAAATAAAGAACAAAAATTATATTATTTTGAAATGATTGAGAAATTTTTTATTAATTACTTATGATAATAGTATGTGAACAGGGAACTACATTTTCACGGAGAAAATAGAGAAGGAAAGTATAAGTTTGAATAGCTTTTATAAAATGATTAAAATTAATTGTTATATAATAAATAGAGAAGGAAATTTTAACGTTTTACTATTTGATCTACAAATACTTATTTGTCATAAAAAAAATGTAATTTCAATTTATGTCTCTATGTATTTATTTATACACTTTGTTAAGTGAGAATTTTTATTATTGTGAGATATAATTTTGGGATCCATAAAACAATTGTTGGTAGCACAATTTTTAATATATTATTGATCTATTTATTATTGACTGCAAAGAAATTATCTTCGTCTCTATCGTAAGACTTTATATATATATAACTCCTTTCTTGATTATTTTACATGACACTGGTTATTGTACTATATATAATAAATTAATAAGAAAAGTAATTATATCTTAGGATAATTGGAAAATATGACCAATACACATTAATTGATTAATTGAAAAGAGTGAGATCATGAATTTTAATAAACTTAGAGCGTCATTCTGGAAAATATTTAACACAATTTGTTAGCAAATTAATATTACTAAGTTAACCGAATTTCTTAAAAATGTGAATTAACTAAACAGATAATCATATTATTTGAGAGCGAGTATAATCTTGAAATTCACAAAATTTAGTAGGTTTCACTTTATACTCTCTCCATCTTAAAATGACTGTGCTTTTAAAAAAATAAATAAAAAAAAATTAATGATATTTATAATATGCAATGCAGTATTAATTATTGCACTTCTAATATTATTTCCAAATAAATTTGATCAATGTTTGTATTTGAGTAAAAATATAAGTAACATATTTATGGAGAGAGAACAAATATTTTATTAAGGTGATATGTGTATTCTTATTTAAAACCTGTATAAAATAACTTTTTAGTTATCTTGAAATGAAAAAAAAATTATAAATCTCACACATGATTTTATAATTGTTAATAAATTTTAACAGATGGCACGTGATCTCTAACAATTGTAGGGGACCTTCACTCTTGCATGTGATTGTTGGGCCATAGCCACATCCATTGCAACGGGTCCCTAACCTTCTTCTCTACCTGGATAATATCCCATTGGAATTTATACATAAGGTAGGAATTCATATCAAATCCCTACTTGTGTGTACAACTTGTCCGTAGAACTTTAATGGAACATCTTCCGATTAAAGAAAAATATATTATCCTATTTAAAGTATTATTATTTTGCAGTTTTTATTTCTCATAATCTTATTTTTTAAATTTTGACGAATAAAAATATATATTTTACCTATCTTTAATTTTAACTTTTAATATTATAAAACTCACGAAAATATCAAACATAACAAGAACATATAAATTAAAAATAAAAACACATGTAAAAAACACACACAACCTTTTGTAAAAACACCCACCTCACAATGTATATAATATATTTTTCTTTCTGTTTTTTTTTTTAACGAATTACATTCTATTTGTAAGACTTGTATTTATCCCGTTTTAATAATTAAAATAGATAAAGTAATTGATAGAGATATTAGACGTTATCGAATATATCAGATACATGAAAGTTATAGTAAGTGTTATTCTATAAAATATCTGTTTTTTTTTTTTAACATAAAATTTTAGAGTTCAAAATGATATCGTCAAGCCTCTAAATACTGGTCAAATAAAATAATAAAATGTATGAGAGAAATGTGGTGATTACCTTTCGAACGAGAAGTTGGCATGTGACCAAAGCAGAGGAAGCAAGGAAGACAGAAGTTTGTCTTAACCCCTTGTTTGTGTGTTGTAGGGTAGAGAGGACCTAATAATCTGAATAATGAGAGACCAAGAGAGGTTTGTTCCTAAATCAGGAGCACCACCCACTCTACCAAACAGTACACAATACACATACTACTATTACTACTAAATAATTATACTCATTTACACTATGTTCATTTGGACCAGAAGATTAATTCAGCATTTTAATAAATAATTTTCTTTGCTTTTTATAGATATCATATAGGGTTTGTGAGATGTTACAAATTCTCTAGTGCTTCTTTTATATGTCAAATCTTCACATTATTATTGTATTTTATCACGTTAAACGTTATTTGTAAGGGATAAATAATTCAATTCACAATTTTTTTATAAATATTTTACCTCCTATTTAATCGATCAAACCATATAACTATAACAAAATTATTTATATCAAACTACTCTACGTTGAACATTATTCATCATATATTTATATATTTTCTCTTTAAACAGAAGATAAATGTTAATATAAATGAAAAAAATATATAAAATCAATTATAGTACAAATAAAAACATGTAAAAAATAAAATGAAATTAACTTGTGTGATTTGAAATAAATGAAAACATATATATAATAAAGTTAGCAAATATTATAAAGATAAAATAAAAATAACTAATAAGTCTCGTATGAATAAAGATAAAATGTATACGAAATATAATGATGGTCAAATATACTGTTTAATCATTAATTATGTGAAAAAAAAAACTGTTAAGAGGCTAAAAAAAGTGTGTTTCCATAAAAAAAAAAAAAGATTTGCGTGGGATTTGTTTTTCATTTCTATTTTACTGAACTATTAATAATTTTTTTAAAGTTTTACCATGCATAATAGAAGTGATGTAAATTTTAAATTACCATGTGTTAAATTTTGAATTGCGTGAGATTTTTTTGGGGTGAATAATGCGTGTAAGGTTGTTGAAATAGGAAAAAAAAATGATGTTGAAAATAAGTAATTTTGAAATTGCGACAGGGTAACGTGGTTGGGTAAATAGTTAAATAAAAGAAAAAAAATGAAGAGTAAATAATTCATTTTTATTAATATAATAATCTATAGATTGATTTAAAAAAAATAAAAATAAAATAAAACTATTATTATAATATTAAAATAGAATTATTTATCGAGTGGTCAAAAGTATCATTTTCCAAAAATAAAATAGGACAGAGCAGAGATGAATATTAAGGGGGTGAAAAAGGAGCAATATAGTGTAGGGTAGAGGATGGTCCTATTTACCAAAATAGAATAGAGTCTAGGGTCCTGCCCTATTCAACATGACACCAAGTACCAACACGAGTCGTCATCGTCATCATCTTCCTTCAATCAAAGTACTTATTTCCACTTCCCATTCCCAAGGTTATTAGGGTAACTTTATTTCCTCTTCTTGCAAATTCATCATATTAGGACACACACAACTTGGAACCTACTTTGCCACTTCTCCTTACCCCACCATAATATGTTAAATAAAAACCAATTGAAAATTTTAAAGATGTAAGAAAAGTATTTTCAATATAACCAAATTGTAAGAAAATATTATCGGTTTCTTTTATATTCCTAACAAATTAAAAGCTAATATTTCTCACAGCATTTAATAAGATTGGATAAACCTTATTTATAAACAACAACAGTTGCGTCTATATGGCAAAACGACTCCGTCCATTTGGGCTGTTCCACGATTCTTATGAGAGTGGTTCATCATAGTCAAAATACACTATAAATCTCAGCTAATTTTATTAATAATTTTTTTAAAAATTTATTTTTGATTATATAAATATTGTTTATACGAAAATTAAATTATCAATTTATTATTTTATCCATAATTAAGAGAGGATTTAACATTTTTAAACAAATTATTTTATTTGAATATAATATTGATACTATTACATCAGATATAATCGTCACAAATGTAACATAAGTTTTTTAATTAAAAAAAATAAAAGAAAGTTTAAATTATCTATTAATTATGTGAATATATTATTAATTACAATTTGTATTTATCTTTTAAAAGGAAGTTCTCTCTCCTTCTTAATTATTGATACTAACAAATATCTGTTAGCGTCTGTTTTTGAATTATTTGTCCGTGACGTATTCTTTTATTGAAACGATTTTGAAACAAAATAGTAACAATTATTGGAACATCAAGACATGTTCTCTTATTTTACGGACAGCCCAGTTACATCATCAAATCACCACCAATGTTTGGAAGTTGAATATATTTTCTTTTAGTAAAATAAATTATTTATTTCAAAAAATAAAAGTGCCAACAAATGATAAAATAAAAAACTATGCATTTATTTAAAAAATATTGTATAATTTTATTTCTCAATATCAATTTTATGATTAATGTTTTTTTATATATTTTTATAATTATTTATGTGATTTATTTTAGCAATAAAAATATTTTATTATATATTAATTACTTCATTTAGTAAGTGTTAATGAAAATTTCATAACTATCTAATAGATAACATTTATATATTTTAAAATATTTAAATATAAAAAAAAACTGTATTTATTTTGTCCCAAATCCATAAAAAGCAATGAAGTTTAAATTCTCATCCTCCTCTTAGCTCTACAAAAGATAAGACCTCTGAAATTAAAAAGACAAATCTCATTGGGCATGGTTACCCACAGAATTTGTGCATATAAAGAAAGACTCGTATTTTCACTTTCATGGGATCCTTGCAAATCAAAGAAGCCATTAAGATCGAGAGAGATGTCACTGTCGCCATAGTATAATTTACGTACTCCAACTCCTACAATCATTTACGTTGTACGTTGCTATATTGCAAAAATACTATGATTTCTTTTAAATCTTAGAACATGTACCTTTTAAAACAAATAATAATTACACTTCCTCATTAATAATTTCACCCTTCTCCAATTAATTTTTATAAATGTTGACAATAAATAGTTTTACACGTTATTTATTATCAGTTAAATTTAAGGAAAATAACAAGATTAAGTTGCTATTAATTAATACTATGTATTTGAGGGGGTGAAAATGAAAAGAAAAAGAGTAAAAAGTAAAAAAAATATATAACTAAATAAATTATTAAAAATTATCTTTTTAATAACAAATAAAGTGTATTAATATTTATTATGCATGAGTATGGTAGTTACGTGATTATGGTTTAATATTTAGTTGAATAATATTCCATGTATAGGTAAGGAATAATAGGTAATAGAATTATGAGAATGAAATGGAGATGTGTCAGGATAAAATAATATTTTATCTGGTTTTTTAACTATTTCGGAAAAAAGATACAAGATAAATGCGTATTTTAATATATTTTTCTTTAAATCAATGCTAATTTATAGAAATAAACGTTATAAATCATTGCATTTTGCTATTTTTTTTTTCATCATAACAGTACAAAACTTATTATTGATAATAACATGTCTTACATATGTGTTTGTTATTTTTTAACACAAGCATGTAATGATCATTTAAACGTGAGTTTGCATGTATTTAACAAGAACATTAAGAAGATCAAGAAAAAGATATTAGATTAGGGTAGTATTTAAGAAAGAGAGGAAAAACATAACTACCAAATATAGTTCCCTCCAAATAATAAACAACAAACAACAAAGCATTGAAGGGAGAAACAGACAAAGTCAAATAATCATAGAAAGAGGCAGTGTTAGGAGATTGAGAGAGAAAGAGTGAACGGTAAAGAGAAAGGTGTCTTTGTCACCTCATCTCAAATGGATCTCCTTGCCTTGCATTACTCTCACAAACACATGAACGCATACTGATAGAGACTATGCCATGTCAATTAAAATCATGCCATGCCATGGCACAATTTGCAATGGCTCAACAAGATCCCCACTTCAGCTACCACCACAAAGTGTAGTTAAGTTATGAGAGAGAAAACAAGCAAAGAGAAAGAGAAAGCTGGGCCTCCCTGCAGGGTACGTAGATAGAGACTATGGTACAGTGTTGCAGGTTGTAGCAGAACCGCTGCCAGATAGTTTTAACTTTATTATTCTCTCTCTCTATATATGCCATTAGTCTACTAGTATTAGTTTTATCACCACTCCTAATTCTGCTCAGCAATGTATTACAGAGAGAGATAGAGTGGTCTATCTGCCAGGGTGATGTGACGTGATTGCACAAACAAAGCACTGCTTATTCTGTAACTCACCCTTCAAAAACCAGAAAAAAGCATGTCATCCCATCACATCATTTGAATGAGTTATAGTCTAAACAACACAAAACCTTCCTTTTCATCGTGCTTGCCTTTCATGCTGTTATGGCGTTTTGGTTTGGACTCCTTCTTCTTGTTCTGCTCCTTTGTTTGGATTCGGTGAATTCTCACGACGGTGAGGGCTTCTCTCTAACCCAACACGGTGTTGTTTTCTTTTGTTTTTACAAGCTTAATGTGGATGTTTGTATTGAAGGATCAACGTTGTTGGAGATGAAGAAGTCGTTGAGGGATATGGATAACGTTCTGTTAGACTGGACTGACTCACCTTCTTCTGATTATTGTGGCTGGAGAGGAGTTACGTGTGATAATGTCACTTTCAATGTGGTTGCATTGTAAGCAACACTCTTCTTGTTCTTGAGTAGTGTATGCGCAATGATAAAGATCTTCTTTTCATTTTGTCTCTTTTTTTGCAGGAATCTTTCAGGATTGAATCTTGAGGGCGAAATCTCACCTGCATTAGGGAGGCTTAGCAGCTTGGTCTCTATGTACTTACTACTTCACATTTTAACTTCATTTAGATTCTTAGTTTCACTGACATTTCTCTTACTCGAGGTTATGTAAACCAAGGCCTATGTATGTATGTATTGTTTAAACAGTGATCTCAAGGAAAACCGTTTATCTGGTCAGATACCTGACGAGCTTGGTGACTGTTCCTCTTTGAAAAACATGTATGTTTCATACCTTGAAGAACTGAATTCTATTGATAGTTAGATTCCACTGTCGAGTGAAAATGTCATAAGGGGGAACTTTTACCTTTTACTGTGTTGTCAGAGACTTGTCCTTTAATGAGATTCGGGGAGATATCCCGTTTTCAATTTCAAAGATGAAAAAGCTGGAAAATCTGTGAGTTCTTGTGAGGGTGTCTCTTTCATTGAGGTTTATTTTTGCCTAGGCTATTTATATGGTTATGATAAATATTTCCCCCCCTTTTTAATCTGCTCACAGAATCTTGAAAAATAATCAGCTAATTGGACCAATTCCTTCAACTCTCTCTCAGATTCCTAACTTGAAGATTCTGTAAGTTATTTTTCCATATTCTCACTGTCGTCCTAAGCATGACTTTAGTATCTATCAAGATTTTGAAAATTGGTTCTGTTCCAGAGACCTGGCACAAAATAACCTCAGTGGGGAGATACCAAGACTTATATACTGGAATGAAGTTTTGCAATATCTGTGAGTATCACTATATTTATGAGAATGTTTTTGCGAATTTTGCAGGAAATAAGTTTCTTACAAATTTAAATAATTTTCTACAAGAAAATTTACAGAAATTATCTTATTTTTAATAGTGTACATTGTATATTTAATGAAATTCATCATGTAATTGACTTATGCAATGAAATCTGTGATGCGATCTTGATATCAATCTTTGTGTCTTTTTTGTCTATGATAGTGGCTTGCGAGGTAACAAGTTGGTGGGTTCACTTTCTCCAGACATATGCCAGTTAACTGGATTGTGGTATTTGTAAGTTACAACACTGGCTATCTTTTTATTTGATGTCCTAAAAGTGATGTGAACATGACCTATGATAAGGGTTAGAAAATGAAGCTCTTCAGTAAGTATTGTTGGTTGACCAAATTGTGTTTTGGATTAATCAATTAATGGGCTTTAGTTTAGTTTTATTGTAAGTTGTAATAAGGGCCCAATTGGAAATTTAGTTATCAGTCTTTGGGAGACCAAGAGGGTGCATAGCTGATTAACTTTTAGATGCCACAATTTCAATTACAATCAATCATTAAGTAGTTTTCAATTCCTAGGTTAGTAAATCATTATTAGCATTTATTTTCTTTTAATGAATATTTGTAATTCTGATGACAAAACTTCTTTATAAGCTGAACCATTTTTATCAGAAATAACAAGTTGAGTTTATTTTTAGAAATATTAGAGTTTATTTCTTTTATCTTAGTGAGAGTGATTCTCCTAAGTTCTTGAGTGATTCAAGAATATTTGGCTGTATCAAAGGACTTTCACATCCTTTGTATGTTGCCTTCCTTGGAAAGAATTATTCTTTCCTTCCACCTTATCACTAAATTCCTAAATTTTCTATAAGGTTCTAACCTTAAAGATCCTAAATTACCCCTTGTGATTCATATCAAAAAGTATACATTTACTTGCTTTGGTAGAGAAGTAATTATTTTCATCCTTCTATTTTGCAGTGACGTGAGAAACAATAGCTTGACAGGCGATATTCCTGAAAACATAGGCAATTGTACTGCTTTCCAGGTCTTGTATGTATATCTAACTGTATCTGTATCACAGACCTTGCTTCACCATATTTTTTCTTTTCTTTTTCATATGTTCTATTCATGTCAGGGATTTATCCTACAACGAGCTATCCGGAGAGATACCATTCAATATTGGTTTCCTGCAAGTAGCAACTCTGTATGTATTTTGTTATCCATCAGATATTTTTAACAAGAATGATGTAGTCTTCCACTTTGCTTATTTAGGAAGCTCCTAAAAACTTGTTGTACTTGGTAGGTCATTGCAAAGCAATAAACTCTCAGGTCATATTCCATCAGTTATTGGTCTGATGCAAGCTCTTGCTGTCTTGTAAGCATTGAGTTAACAAACTTTATGAAGGTTCTATGCTGACTTGATATTTTTGCTCTTTACTAATCTTTCTTTCAACATCCCTATAGAGATTTGAGTTGTAATATGCTAAGTGGGCCAATACCTCCTATATTGGGAAATTTGACCTACACAGAAAAATTGTGAGTATATGTTAGTAATTTGAAATTTATATCATAAGTTTGATTTTGCACTAATGTATATGTAAAAGTCAGAAAATATTTAGACTAATTGTATAAGTTTATGTAATTTTTGAAGGTATTTGCATGGAAACAAGCTGACTGGGCTTATCCCTCCAGAGCTGGGAAATATGACAAAGCTTCACTATTTGTAAGATGCTTAAGTCATCACTTGACCATGTGCATTTTATATTTCTTATACGGACTCTTGAAATCAACAGTAGTGGCTTCCTGTCTATAGTTTATCATTTCACTTTGAATTTTACAACTAGAAATTGCCCCTTCTCAGTTGCCCTTTTACAAATATTTTAAGCTTAGGGTTTTGTTTTTTAACAAAGATCAGTTACCAAGAGGCGCAACTTGGTTTAAATTTGTCCTTTAATGATTCAACTTCCTGTGCAGGGAATTGAATGACAACCATTTAAGTGGACATATCCCGCCTGAGCTTGGAAAGCTTACTGATCTGTTTGACTTGTAAGTGTTGTTTCTATGAAGTATATATTTTGTTGGTTTTTAAGTCACTTTACCGGTCACACATTGTTCTTGCAGAAATGTTGCCAATAACAACCTTGAGGGTCCAATTCCTGGTAATCTCAGTTCATGTAAAAACCTCAACAGCTTGTAAGCAATAACCCTTGTATATTACTCTGTAAGAAGGAATTTTTAGTTACGTTAAGGTGATGAATTTTCTGATTGTTATGGATCAGCAATGTGCATGGAAATAAGCTCAGTGGAACAATTCCATCAGCTTTTCAAAGCTTGGAGAGTATGACCTATCTGTACGTTTTACCTTGACTTCATGGGACAATTGTTTCATTTTTATCCACAGTTAATTCTGCTATGATTAGTTCTGTGGGCCCTAAACATGTGGTACCCATGAACTTCTATAAATGCTTATTTGGAGTCCTAATGAAGTTGGCCAATACTTAATTAACAGTTCAAAGTAAAAAGTATACTCCTTTTCTTAATTAATTCTGATTCCTTCATGACATTGTGATGACCATTATTAGGAATCTTTCTTCAAACAATCTTCAAGGGTCTATTCCAATTGAACTTTCACGGATTGGTAATTTGGATACTCTGTAAGTATGAGTAGTCTAGGATGTCTCCTTATATCTATATCTCTGATTTTATTCTAATAGATTTTACCTTCCAGGGATATATCAAATAATAATATAGTTGGCTCAATTCCTTCTCCCATTGGTGATTTGGAACATCTTCTGAAGTTGTGAGCTTTTTAGCTAGTTACTTTTTAAAATCTTGAATGTTGCTTCTTACTGATTGTGAGTAATACTTTTGCTAGGAATCTGAGCAGAAACCATTTAACAGGCATTATTCCAGCAGAATTTGGTAATCTAAGAAGTGTCATGGATATGTAAGTCCATTAACTTTTAGATGAAAATAAAACAAAAGTCTTTCGTTTTTTTACTGACTATTATTCCTACTAAATAATATCCCCGAGAATTGGTTAACTGATCAAATAACTGCCATTCTCCCTTAGTGGGTAAGGGTAAGATTGATGGTTTTTACTGACTATTTTCACGATTCTGTTATTCAGCGATATTTCCAATAATCAACTCTCTGGCTTGATCCCTCAAGAACTTAGTCAGCTTCAGAATATGATATCTTTGTAAGCTCCTATTTGTCCTTATTCAGTGTTTGTTATATATCACTTCTTTAGTTTTGTTAATGTAAGTTGATGATATTTTATGGACTTGGCAAATCTCATTTGGCAGTGAACTGCCTTCCTAACTCTACTGATTTATTAGCTGGTAGAAATACATACAATTGTTGTAATATTTCATGTATGCCATCTTTTTGGGCGAATTGCTAAAAATATTTCCTTAGCAATCTTATATTCATTAGAATTTATTGAGTATTGAGATCGGCTCCTTAATTGCTTGAATAGACTCAGAACTAACTTGTTTGTTCCTGTGTTTATTTTGTGAATTTTTGTTGAAAAATCATGATAGACCAATAATTTTACTGCAGTTCTTATCATGTCTTAATCACGTCTCTTGGTTTGAAATTCTATAGGAGACTAGAAAAGAACAAATTATCTGGGGATGTGTCTTCACTTGTAAATTGCCTTAGTCTTTCTCTGATGTAAGTTTTGTCTCATGTGATTTTGTTTTTCGAACATATAACTTTTGGCATTATAATTCTCTGAAAAGATCATATAAATTTTACCTAACAAATTGGTTATTCACTAAAAATTTTGTAGTAATGTATCTTACAACAATTTAGTCGGTGTCATTCCCACAAGCAACAATTTTTCCAGGTTTTCCCCTGACAGGTTAGGTCATTTTCTGCTAAACCTTTTGTCTCTATTGCTTCTCTTTCTCAACTCGATGTAGTTTTCCATCAGCATGTTGTCTTGGATGCTTTGATTGATTGATCTCACATTTTATTAGCAGTTTCATTGGAAACCCTGGTCTATGTGGCTATTGGCTGGACTCATCTTGTCGAGGGTCTCACCATACTGAGCGAGGTCAGCTGAACTTTCTAGCAGAAATACCATGTTACCCCCCTCCCATCTATGTCTTGTTGTATGGTTTTATAAGAACCCAAATTCTCCAGTTCCTCCCCCCAAAAGATCTTCCCATGTTACTTTCGGTTGTCAATGCTTAGGGGAATATGTTCGGGAAGATAAGGGATTGTTGATGTTCTATGATGGGAGAATATGTTTCCTTCCATCTATGTTTTGTTGTATGGTCTTATAAGCACCCACAAATCGCTAGTTCCGCCCCCCAAAAGATCTTCCCATATATATGTTCTTTGTATGGTTTTAAGTTTGGGGTTATCTGGGTTGTTACTTTTGTTTGATACAATTCTCTGTTAGATTCCTGACATGTGATATTGTTTTTGTTTTAACTGATGTGATACCACGTCATGGCGATTTAGGTGGTTTACTTTTGTATGGCACTAAAGATAGTACGTAAACAAAAGTTTATTTTTTCAAGTTATTTTTCTTGTTATTTACTGTTTCACGGTTGCCTTTTCTTATGTAATTTTCCTTCATTAAATAAAAAGAATACCCTGTTTAGAACTTGGGTCCTCCAAACTTGACTTCTAAACAGATCATTTGTAAAAATATATATACACTAAGAAATTGGGTCTCCCATATCCGAGTTTCCACTGCTGCCAAATCATTAGCGCTTGCACAAATAATATGCAAATTTTATCATTTTAAAAAAGAGGTGGTTATGACACAAATTTCTGCTTATGTTGAACTTGTTAAAATAGCAGCATTTGAAGAATATAACAGGGTTTCGCATGCTTGTTTTTATTTTCCAATTATAATGTAATTCATTCAAAATGATTGGTGAGGAGGTTACAGTAGGCGCATTGTTCTTCCAATGACATCATTCCTTCTATAGCAGTAATGGTTTTTTGGATGATGAGCAGAAGTTAATGCGTTTTTGTGATCATGCAGTTAACTTATCAAAGGCAGCTATCCTAGGAATTGCTCTAGGTGCCCTTGTGATTGTTGTCATGGTATTTTTAGCAATTTGTCGACCACACAATCCAGCCCCTTTCTCTGATGGATCTTTTGACAAACCAGGTACTTTATCTTAACAATGCTTATAAAAAAATGAATATGATAATCTACTGATTTTTCCTGCTTGGCAGTTAATTACTCACCTCCGAAGCTAGTGATTCTTCACATGAATATGGCACTTCATGTATATGATGATATAATGAGGATGACTGAAAACTTGAGTGAGAAGTATATAATTGGGTATGGTGCATCAAGTACAGTTTACAAATGTGTTCTTAAGAATTGCAAGCCAGTGGCTATCAAGAAGCTCTATTCCCACTACCCCCAATGCTTGAAAGAGTTTGAGACTGAGCTTGAGACAGTCGGCAGCATTAAGCATAGGAATCTGGTCAGTCTCCAAGGCTACTCTTTGTCTCCATATGGAAACCTCCTCTTTTATGACTACATGGAAAATGGCAGTCTGTGGGATCTTTTGCATGGTAAGTTGAAGCTTTTGCTCGAAAGATGTTGATAATGTTGCATGTTTTGCTGTACAAAGTATCTACTATAGCACATTAAACCCTGTATTTAGTAATGTTGTCCAATTTTCCACATTCTCCACTGCCAAATAAGTAATGTATTAATAATGCAAGCAATTGTTTTAAGGTGGTGCAAGACTCCTTTAATAAGGTTTCTACTTTCTAGTTGCAATTATGCCCCTCTTTGTTGTGTCTTCATCCAGTTTCCCTTATGTGAATGTGAAAGAAAAAGAGTTAGCCTAATCCATTACTTCGATAGGGTGTCCTGACAAAAGTCAAGAGAGGGAAGGGATACAATCATATCCCTATGCATAATCGGTACATTTATGATCTGGAGCTGCATTCTGCACTAGCCTGCATGTGAACCTAACCAATGCATTATCATGTTTCAGCAAAACATCGAAAAACACTTTCAAGCCAAGCAACGGTTTTTATTTATACACATTTTTTCAGGACCTACCAAGAAGAAAAAGCTTGATTGGGATGTTCGTCTAAAAATAGCACTTGGATCAGCTCAAGGGCTGGCATATCTACACCATGATTGCTGTCCACGTATCATTCACAGGGATGTGAAATCATCTAATATATTACTAGACAAAGACTTTGAGCCTCATCTCACTGATTTTGGCATTGCAAAGAGTCTATGCCCCTCTAAGTCCCACACTTCAACTTACATAATGGGTACAATTGGCTACATTGACCCCGAGTATGCTAGAACTTCCCGGCTCACCGAGAAGTCTGATGTGTATAGCTACGGTATTGTATTACTCGAGCTGCTAACTGGGAGAAAAGCTGTTGACAACGAATCAAACCTTCATCATCTGGTGACTCTTCTATTCATTTTAAACACTTTCATCTTTTTTGTCCCCATCATGATGCTTTGATGTAGTTAAATAGAAAAAATAGGTAGTTCTTTTTTTTTATATATTTGACGTAAAGCCATAGTATTGTATGGTCCTACACACACAGCTGAACAAGATTTTACCTTTAAAAAGATATGATATATCCTAGCACTAACAATTTTGCTAACACAATTCTCCTATATTAACCTCTATACGTCCCTTTATTTGCATAGATTTTGTCCAAGACAGCTAATGATGCCGTAATGGAAACCGTTGATCCTGATATTACTGCCACATGCAAGGACATGGGAGCAGTGAAAAAGGTTTTTCAGCTTGCTCTTTTATGCACCAAGAAGCAACCAGTGGATAGACCCACAATGCACGAGGTTACACGCGTGCTGGGAAGTCTTGTGCCACCAAAAGAATCCGTCCCAATGCAAGTACTCTTACCTGATTCACAGCCATCTGCTATAATGCAATGCTACAAGGATGAATATGCAAATCTCAAAACTCCACACTTGGTCAACTGTCCCTCCATGAGCACCTCTGATGCCCAACTCTTCCTCAAATTTGGAGAATTAATATCTCAAAACAGTGCGGGAGCAGTTTCAGAATCTATGTATATTTAAGCCACAAACGAACTATGTCAAATATTTTTATGCAGTACGATCCATGTGGATAAACTGGCAGAAATTCACTCGAGTAATTTTTTGCTGTATTGCCTATCATTTGTCACTTCATCAATTGTACTACTTATATTAAAGGTCATTTTAAAAGATAACTAACTACTAGGTTTTGGCCTCACGTCTTGCACTTGTCAGAAAGTTGAAGGAAAATACTATTATGTCAATGGAAAAAGAATTTTCAATGGTCTACATTGCAATTAGCTCAAATACTTTGTACCTCATGTGTAATCTTGAAGTAATAATGATTAAAGGACTACACACTGTTCACATTTTATTCTTTAATTTGGATGTTGATGTTACTGATTCTTTCTTTGGTAAGCGATGATGTAACTATGTCTTTTATTAACGCTTAAGGGTATGGATAGATCTTTCTCTAAGTAATTTTTAAATAAAATACAATGAAAGAAAATAAAATCAATTTTTTTAAAGCTAAAAGTAGCATTTTGCAAGTTAAATTGTAATTGTTATTCCTAATTATATTTTTTAAAATATGATAAACTAAATTGAAAACGTTATTTTTATTCATTTTTCCGAAATTTATTTTTTAAATTTGTATAAGTTAATTTTTAATTTATAGAAAAAATCAGTTCATTTTATTTTATTTTTATAAATTCTTATGAAGGTTTCCTCTTGAGGCCCTAAGCTAAATGCATTTTTTACTATTTTGAGCTCTTAAATTTTAAGTTATAATATTTGTTCGTAATACGTGCCGAAGGGAACCCCAAATTACATTATTTTTTCGTTTGATTAAGGATATTTCCATGCAAGTCATTCGTCTAACTTTTCTTAAAGGATGGAATGTAATTTTTATTTTTAACTCAATTACGTTACGTGTATGTGAAAAATGAAAAAAAAAAAACTGACGTAAATGACAACTTCAATTATATTATCAAGAATTATACTAAAGCTAGTACACATATATATACGAACCGTTAGTCGATAGATAATATTTTTACAAATAAGTTTGGGTAAGCAAATTTATGAATTGATGTTGTACTTTTATTAGTAAATAAAATTTGTATTGAAAATGATTATGAATTTGTTTCAATGATTTTATCTCTCACCAAACTAATAAGTGGAGTAAAAGGTTTAAATTAATAAAGGATTGAAGCGTAACGCAAAGGAGAAACGAAACTGAAGGAAGAAGAGAAGAAAATTGTCCTTTGCTTCTTTTATACGTTGATGCGAATGACATATCTGAGAATTAAAATGGTATGTATAGAAATAAAATAATACATGTGCGAATTCAAAATACATTTTAAAATTGTAGAGACTTATATTTTTCAAACTATGGCCACTTGAGTAATTAAACCTTATAAAAACTGTTGCTGCTTTTATTCATTAAATTTTCTTTTTAGACATCAAGATTGTACGTTGAAAGTATCTATGACTTTTTTTACAGACATTTAATTACTTGTAATTAGCTTTAGGGGTAATAGCTATACGGTTGTGCAAAAAGTCGTACGCGTATAATAATGTAGCACTGTATTCCAGGAAAAATTATATGATTTTTATAATAAGAATAGTTTAAAATTTTATTTTGCGTCTTAAATCGTTATAATATTGAATTCAAATTCTACAAGAAGTTGAATTTAACGATGATCGTGGTGGATAAATTTCATTAAATCTTAAAAATGTAACTTGTGAGATCATAAAAATCGGTTTAATTTAAAACCGTAACTTAATTTGGTGCAGACATGGCCGCAAATATATCCAAAAAGAAAGCAGGCATAATACGGTAAAGCGAAACCGCGAGTGAAAAGAGGAAGGAAATCACCAGTTCAAACACTGGGTACGGGGTGACGTGTCGAATACGATATAAATATCGTACAGTTTCGCCATTTTTGACTCATAGTCCACACCCGGTAGGGCGGGAACCCCAATTTTCAGTGGAGCAGAAAAGAACTACCTCAAGCTCATGCCTGTAAGTACCTCTCCCTCTCCACCTTCTCTCTCACTCTCTCCTCTCTCTAGGGTTTCACTTTCCATATCTTCTTCCTCTTTCTTCGTTTCCTCCTTTGCAGGAACCAATCATGAATATGCGCCATGGCACCAAGGTTTGGGTTCACGACAGAGATTCCGCTTGGATTCCTGCTGAAGTACTCGAATCTTCAGGAAAGAATGTTACCGTTGCCACCGCTTCTGGGAATAAGGTGAGATTTTATTCCTGCCTAATATCCGCTGCTCGCTATTGTGAATGCTGGTGCATAATTTGGATGATGAATTTGTGAGGTGTGTTGTTATTGTTGTTGATGAAGGTTATTGCTCTTTTGGAGAACGTGTTTCCCAGGGATGCGGACGAAGACGAGCATGGAGGAGTCGAAGATATGACGAGATTGGCTTACTTGAATGAGCCAGGGGTGTTGTACAATCTCCGGAAAAGATATGTGCTGAATGATATATATGTGAGTTCTAGTGAAGGGATTATTGGTATCTAGGTGGACAGTTCATGTTCTTAATCTTAATCTTCATTTGTTTGATGACGAGATGAACGTGAGTCTATTGTTGTGTTATTGCTCTGTGTGAAATTGAATAGGTCCAAGGGCTTTTGGTTAGCCGTGTTGGCATTAGGGATTAGCACATCAGTGAAATGATATCCAATATTTTTGTACAATATGATCAATGTAAGATTGGTCATTAGAGTTTAATTGAATTTCATTGAGTGTAAATTTTTTTACATTGTCATCTAATCATGTGTTGCTGTGTATGGTAATTAGTCTATACACTCACTCACGATCATCAATTACAAATTCGCATATGATAATTTTGCTAACTTTTGCAGTATCTAAAATATTTAGCACTGGTATTTGAAAATATATAAGTGCACGTGCTTTGTTGTCACTTTCTATTTATGCATGAAGGTAAACAATCAGTGTTTTAATTTATGAGGGCTTTTACAGTAGTTTATTTCAGTTGCAATACCTACTTGTCCCGGTAGCGAATACTGATAAAAGAATTAATACATAATTAGTAGCATCTTCTTAATATATCAATGTGATCTATATACATATACATATTTATTTATCCTCCAACACACACACACACACACACACATATATACTTTAAAATTTTTTGGGGGGGACTGTTTTGCTTATCCTTCACATTGCATTGTGTACTATTTTATGCTTTTTCCATGACTTGTTTTTCTTTGTTAGACTTATACAGGGAGCATTTTAATAGCTGTTAATCCATTCACAAAGCTTCCTCATTTGTATGATATCCATATGATGGAACAGTATAAGGGAGCTCCATTTGGTGAGCTTAGTCCACATGTATTTGCTGTTGCTGATGCTTCTTATAGGTTAGTAAGTATTTGGTCTTGCTTATTAATTGTTTTTTCATATTTATTACTTGCCTTTTCATATTGCAAAGTGGTAAGTTTTTTGTTGGGCATGATTTAGAGCTATGATGAATGGAGGTCAAAGCCAATCTATCTTGGTTAGCGGTGAAAGTGGTGCTGGGAAAACTGAGACCACAAAATTGATTATGCAATATCTTACCTTTGTTGGTGGACGTGCTGGTGGTGATGATAGAACAGTTGAACAACAAGTCCTTGAAGTTAGCTATTTTTTAATTCAATTGATCACAAGTTTGACAATTAATTTACTTCTAACATCCATTTAGTCATCAATAATAAATGCTAATTTCACATTTTACTTGATTCAGTCGAATCCACTCTTAGAGGCATTTGGCAATGCAAGGACTGTCAGGAATGACAATTCAAGGTGAACTTGGTTCTTTATAGTTTGTACATCTTCTGCCAATCTAAAAAATAAGCTTATAATTTTTCTTTGGTCTGTCTTACGATAATTTGTTTATCCTCTCATTAACTAAAGCATGCTATGTCAAGACAAAATCATGTCTCTTTAATCCACTGTCCCATCCATCCAAAACCATAGTTGACTTTATAGAAACAAAGTTATGTATTTAAAAAGTGCCATTTTCATGGAGTGCCAGTTATTTTAGAGACCTGAATTTGCTAGCATTGTGAATGGTGACTTATACTTTATCTTGTCGCCTAGACGTTATCAAATAAATTTTGCAATGAAATAATGCAATGCTAGAGTTGACCTAAGTCGTGTCCTTGAGGAGAATTGGTCAATGTTGTTTCAATTTTACTTTCCACTTGTCAAATGTTAGGAGATATGGGTTTTTTAGAATTTAGAGTGCTAGAAATGTAAATGAAAACAATGAAATCTATTACCTATGAAAAACAGTAAACTATCCTATGAAAAATTGTAAATCAAAGCTTCTAAATGAAGCAGCATAAACCTAATATGTGAAAGCAACAAAAGGAAATCTATAAAGTACATTGAATTTTAAAGAAAAGCCTGTAAACTTACTCTAGAAAAGCATGTAAATTGAAAATAGTAGAGAATTCATCAAAACTAAAATCTACAAAGTAATTAAAGTTTGTAAAACTTTAGAGGAACATGTTGCAAGAAATTGAAATTGAAAAACAGAATTGAATTGAAGATTTGAAAGGAAAAAAAACAATAGTGAAGAAAAATTAAGGAAATCTATATGAAACAAATGTTGATTCTCCAATCATAACTTGATCTATCATTGATTTCTAGAATTTGTCTTGTAATCACAAAAACAAACTCACAATAGTTCTAAACCATTACAATCTCATTAAAGTAAGTAAATACAACTCAATTCTCAAATCAAGCAATCACTTAAACCTAGAAATTGGATTATGGTGTAAAATAAGACATTCAATCAATTAACCTCTATTACATTGATTGTAATAGATTATAATCGCTTACAATCGTTAAGAACAAAAACGAACTAGAACATGATTAAAGTGTGAAAATCAGAAAAATATAAAGAAACACAAGTAAAAATGGAAGTTAGAATGTGTAAAACGAAAATTAAACTAAAGAAGTAAAGGAAGAATAAGCAAATTTGATCCAAAGCATCTTGAATTGATAAACTTGAAGGAATTATTCGTACAAGAACATTGAGAATTGGATTTGGAAGCCAAGTATCACAAAGGAGAGAAATCTAGTTCTAAGAATTGAAATTCTGAAAATGAAACTTATTTTTTTCTTTTGGCCTTCTAGAACCTATTTATACAATAAAAAACTTGTACAAAGTGTGCAAGGCCTATTCAAAGACTTATAGATACATATTACATCAATTAAAGCTTGAACCGCGTTTATGTAAATGTCAGATTCGCTTGGGGACATTATGCTTCGCTCAACGACTGGCGGTGTAGTTAGTTACTTAAAGAACAACGTTCTTGTTCAGCGAAATACTTTCTCATTCCTATAAAAACAAATAATTAATTAGTTAAAATATATAATTTAGATAAAAATTTAGATACAAAGATATTTATTTTCTTATGAAATATATATTGATATTTAATAATTAATTAAAGAATTATATTAAATATATAAAATATAATAATAATATTAATAATAATAATAATATTAAAATATGTTCACCAGTTACTGTATTGGGGGAATAGATAAACTAAGCTAAGCTATTTGAATGATTCATTCTCAACCTGTTAATGTTCAGCCAAGCTTGTTTGTTTAATTAAATAATAAAATCAAGCTTGATATTAGGCTAGATTATTTCAATGTGCTAAGCCCAAACTTCACAAGTTTGTCATTATGAGTAGCTTGTGTGTATGTATATATCATTAAAAAATATAAATACTTAGATTTGACAATATCATACTTACATTTTTAGTAAATATTTCTTTTTATATTTTTATCTAGTACTAAAAATTAAAATGTTCAATTTAATAAATTTTGACAAGTTAAAAAATAATTAAAGGTAAATTTTCACAACTTAAAAATATAAGGTTATAAATGAATTAGAAGAGCCAATTCTAGCCTTAGCTTATATAAACAAGCCAAGTCCAACATTTTGTTTGACTCATTAAAATAAATAAGCCAATCTTGAGCCACCCAGTTTTTTCATAGGTTAAGCCTAAATTTCAAGTGCTTGGCTCTGTTCAGTTTGACTTGTCTACACCCACAGATTGCACCACTGTTGCAGAAAATCCTAAAATATGCAAGTGAGAAAAGACTCCTGTGGCATTGTAGAATATTGATTCTATTGTATCCTAGGAATTAGATTTAGAAGGACTGAAAATAGGAGTTGTGATATTGATGTTTGGGATTAAAATCTTTAAGTTGGTAAAATGGAAGAATGCTACTTAGGTTCGTCAGTTTGTAAGATAATTTTACTTTTTAAATATGTGCATATGATGAATCATCAGATATTTTAACAGGGTTTTACTTTTTAATGCAACAGTAATTAGAGTTTAGCTTGTCAAACACTCTCTCATTGAAATTGTTCTTGCTCATTGCCTCATCATTTTCACTTTCCTGATTGCAGCCGTTTTGGGAAGTTTGTTGAAATTCAATTTGATTCAAATGGTAAAATATCTGGTGCTGCTATTCGAACTTACTTACTAGAAAGATCACGAGTAGTGCAGATAACGGATCCAGAAAGAAATTATCACTGCTTTTATCAATTATGTGCATCTGAAAGGGTATTCAGTCTCTGGTGAAGTATTTATTCTATTATATATTTTAGGTGTTAATATTCTGCAAACAGATATGTTTTGCGCTGTGCATGTGCAGGTTACTGTTTTCAGTGTATCATGTTATTTTTATGCTGTTATTGGAATGCCTCATTTTTAGGATGTGGAGAAGTATAAGTTGGGACATCCAAGCCACTTCCACTATTTGAATCAAAGTAAAGTCTATGAATTAGATGGGATAAGCAGTGCTGAAGAGTACATGAAGACTAGGAGAGCAATGGATATTGTTGGCATAAGTCACGATGATCAGGTTTGATGATACTACCCATTAGTGTTTGCTTTGTTCTAGGTTATTGTGGTTAGTTTGGTTGATATGCTACCCTTTGCTTACTGTTATCCTTTCTTTTTATTATTAGGAAGCCATATTTTGCACCTTAGCTGCGATTTTACACTTGGGTAACATTGAATTTTCTCCTGGAAAAGAGCATGACTCATCAGTATTAAAAGATGATAAATCAAGATTTCATTTGCAGATGGCTGCCAATCTTTTCAGGTAGGTTTGTTTGGAATTTAACTTAGATGAATTATTTTACTTGGCTTAATTGATTACATTACTCGAATTTGCATTTAACTTCCAATTTAATTTATTTTTTAAATGTTCATGATATTTCTACATATAAGATATAGTATGACTATATTGGCTGCATGAATAGTGTATAAACATGACAGGGAAGTCAGGGGATAATATGGTTTTTGTACAACTGTCAGTGCAACAATGACTAGGAAATGCCAAGGTGTATAGTGAATACAGTTTTCAACTACTATTGGGTATTGACTTTGCTAAGATATGTAGTATTAAGTCTTCAGAATTGTAATCTCCAAGAAAGAAACCAATAATTAGCATTGGATTCTGTAGTCAGTGAGAGACTGGATTCTGTCTGAACTCTGCTACTAGTGGAAATTATCTTTGTATCTTATTGATAAAAATAACAAAACAAGGTGGATAGCTGGTTACTTGGTTATTTTCCTTAACATGTAATAACTATATATGATTTTTATGTAAATTTTTATTTTTCATCCTTTTTGTTAAACTTAATGGAATGGCTACAAATCTTCCATCTCTAGGTGTGATCTGAACTTACTGCTTGCAACATTATGTACCCGATCAATACAAACCCGAGAAGGAAATATTGTCAAAGCTCTTGATTGTAACGCCGCTGTTGCTGGCCGCGATGCTTTGGCGAAAACTGTCTATGCTCGTTTATTTGACTGGTATGCTATGTTTAATTTCAATGTAGAGTTATAAGCATTCTTTTTATCATGTGCATATTAGGGTGAATACTAATTATTGTTGTTGTGACAGGCTTGTGGATAAGATCAATAGTTCTGTGGGCCAAGATATCAATTCCCAGATGCAAATTGGAGTTTTGGATATATATGGTTTTGAGTGTTTTAAGGATAATAGGTAATTTGTTATGAAATAAATATCTCTGTAGTAGGCATATTTTAGTTTTTAAATTATATGCACATTGGAAAGTTGAAGCGAGTGGGTTAACTGCATTTGAAGTATTGAATATATCCTCGTAGAAAAAATGAAATGTGATAACTTTGAGTGTTTTGTGAATACTTTTTCACTTGTATAGCACTCTTGTAAATTTTAGCACTTCCACTGACAGAAAAAATGATTTATGGTTTGACATCTGAGTCTGACTAGTACGAACAATTGATTTATTTTCCCTGTAGAGTTTTGATTATTAAATTGTATTTTTTGCTGTTTTGATTTCAATTTGTAACTTTGTCAACATTAATCTTTTTCTTGATCCAATGATTTACTTCAACAGCTTTGAGCAATTCTGCATCAATTTTGCAAATGAAAAGCTTCAGCAACATTTTAATCAGGTATGCAAGTTTGTTATTAGATGCTAGTTTGCTTTCACCAAGGTAGTGGCCTTTTGCTTGGTATAATTTGTTGAAAGCTAAAAAAGCCCGAGTCAAAAGTTGGGAATTCAAAACTGAAAGTTATCAAGTTAATGATTTGATTGAAAATATTTGGTATAATTAATTAATCAATAGTTTATACATATAATATGCATGAAAGGAATTTTTATAAATAATGAAAGGGTAATAAACAGCAATAAAAAATGTAATTTTTATAACTATAAGAGACAATATTGGAAAAAATGAGCTAGTTTTTTTATGCTTAAATTAAGGGTTCATGAAGAAGAAATTTTAAAATAATCACTTCTTTAAGAAGCAGATAGGACTTGCTTATTAAAAAAAAGAAAATTGCATATTAAAAAGAAAAGATTAGACAAAGACATAAAAATAAATGTGCTTGTTTTATTAACAGAAGCACTTTTCTTTAAAATAAACACAAACAAACTCGCCCAATATCATGCAACTTGTAGCTTATAAGTTACTGCTTTTATGAGGTCTTGTTTGGTGGACAGGATGAGATAAGATACGATAGGATGTAAACCCAAGTAAGAGTGTAACAAAGTCTTATATTATTTCAATGTTGATGCACACCAAATAATTGTTAGATAATATATTTCTTTTTTCTATGTTATGTTTAAGGTGGATAAGATGAAATTATGATATGAAATAATATGTATATATGTGTGTATGACAATATTACTCTATCTTCATAATTGCATAGTATATTTTTAAAATTGAACTTCAAATATTTTTTTATTGTTATTTTTTTAAAAAAATTATAGAAATTATATAGACAAAATATTTAATATCCCTTTTAAAGTTTTTACTTAGTATCGTTTTCTAAATTATAAAATTTATATAAAAAATTAACTAAAAGATAAATGACAAAATTGAAATTTGAGATTTTATAATAAATTGTTAAGAAGAGGATGAAAAATAACATACCTGTATCAACAAATGTTATAATAGTATTTATTTGATTCAATTTTAAAATATTAATTAGTAATTATAATAATTCATGTCAAATTTTATTAGTATATGTGTGTGCCTTTCTAGGACTGTCTTAATGGACCAATGCTGTTTGACCTTGAGCCATTGCCCATCTTCTTAGTGGACTGGCTCGGCCTGGTCTACTTAAAGAAGGATAGAAAAACATCTAGCTTGGCCCGATCCACCAGAGGTTGGTGGATTAAATTGTCTGGTTTGCTTAAATTTAAAAAGGGGTAAAACATGTTTTATATTCAATAATTATGACAAATATTTGTTTTTAGTACAATTAAAATTTTTTGTTTGTTTTTCATACATAACTAAATATTTGGTTAAGTTTTTAATCATACCCTTTTAAGGAGGTTGTTAGTTTTATGCTAGATGGACCATTAAATGATGTGTATGTTAATGTCTATGTTTAAGTGCCACATGAGAAAAAAATAGGACTTTTATATTATTTAAAAAATTGATCACAGAAAGCAAGTGTAAATTAGGATATGCACAACAAGCCGAGACAAATGAAACCAAAATAACACTAATGGATTTTTTTAAGGGTGATAATTGAAAATTTATCGTAGTAATTATTAAAGTATGGAGATCAAATAAAATATTTTAGCTATACTAAAAACAAATAATTGTCGTAGTTATTGTATGAAGAATAGATATTATTTTAATTATATTAAAAACAAATATCTATCATAGCTTTTGTACGGAAAACGTACTTACCCTTTAAAAAAATAGGTTTAGACAACAGAAAACAATGGAAGCATGGAGTTGCAAACAAGGGATCACGCATATAATACAAATATCGGATAATGCATATCCAATACGATGATAAATTTCGTTGTAGAACAAAACAGGATACGGTACACATAAGATTTTTATTTTATTTTTTTAAAAATTTATGAAACATAATATATATATATATATATATATATATATATATATATATATATATATATATATATATATATATATATATATATATATATATAACTACCACTGTGCAAATCCAAATTTAAAATCACATTTCTTAGATAGTGTGGAAATAAAAAATATAAGTCACTGTCATCATAAAATATTTTTATTATTTACATGTATGAATAACAATGTCAATCTTATTAATTTCTTAAAATAGTTGATAAGAACAATTTTTTCTTTGGTTTATGAAAAATAATTATTATATGTTTTTATTTTAACATACATATATGTGAAACTTTTATTGAATTTCAATGATTTAAAAATTTGGACATTCAATTGATATATATGGTAAAATGTATTATATGGAAAACAAATAAAAGTGTTGAATATAGGGAAAAACTGTATAGGGTTAATTTCCCTTATGTATTTACCACACATAGGGCAGTGTATTTATAATAAAGAAAGGTACTCCTCAAAAGAGTAACAGAATACAAATAGGGTAAATAAAAAGATATTATTTGATATTGTGATTAACAATATCTAACAATATCTCAACAATATCAAACAATATCTAATCATATCTAACACTCCCCTCAAGCTGGAGCATACAAATCGTATGTGCCTAGCTTGGTACAAAGATAATCCATCCTAGGTCCCCGTAAAGACTTAGTGAAAATATCTGCTAATTGATCACATGAGTTAACGAACTCGGTCTTGATGTCTCCGGACATAATCTTTTCCCGAATAAAATGGCAGATCAATCTCAATGTGTTTAGTCCTCTCATGAAAGACGGGATTAGAGCTTATATGGAGAGCGGCTGATTGTCACACACTAGTGTCATTTGAGTGACATCTCCAAATTGTAGCTCTTTAAGCAATTGCTTGAGCCAAATAAGTTCACAGGTAGCTGAGGCCATAGCTCTATACTCGCTTCTGCACCTGGATCTTGCCACAACACTTTGTTTCTTACTTTTCCATGAGATCAAGTTACCACCAATGGAAACACAATACCCGGATGTAGATCTTCTATCGGAGGGAGATCTCGCCCAATCAACATCCGAATAGCAGACAACTCTTGTATGATTATGGGAGTCATACACCAAACCTTTTCCAGGAGACTTTTTGATGTACTTCAATATACGGATGATCGCATTCCAATGATCTTGACAAGGAGAATTGAGGAATTGACTCACCACACCGATCTGCAAAGGAAATGTCGGGCGAGTAACTGTAAGATAATTTAATTTTCCAACTAATCTTCTATACTTGTTTAGGATCCGACATTGGCTCCCCCGATTTGGCAAGAGTTTGGTATTAGGATCCATGGGTGTGTCAACAGACTTTGAATTCATCAACCCAGTTTCCTCCAAAATATCCAATGCATACTTTCTTTGAGATATAACAATGCCATCGGTAGATTGTGCTACCTCAATACCCAAGAAATATCCGAGTTTGCCAAGATCTTTGGTTTGAAAATGGTGGCAAAGGTGTTGTTTCATCCGAGAGATGCCATGATGGTCACTACTTGTAAGAACAATGTCATCGACATACACTATCAAATAGATACATCCAAGCATTCGAGTGACGGTAAAAGATTGAGTGGTCTCGCCTCACTTCTAGTCATGCCAAATTGTTGAACAACGTCGCTAAATTTTCCAAACCAGGCCCTAGGAGACTGTTTTAGGCCATATAAAGATTTGCGAAGACGACATACCAATCCAGAAGACTCCTCCGAGCAACAAATCCGGAGGTTGCTCCATATAAATCTCTTCTTGCAAATCGCCATTTAAGAAAGCATTTTTGACATCCAAGTTGATAAAGAGGCCATTGTTGAATAGCGGCCATGGCAATGAATAAACGAACGAAGCCATCTTTGCCACTCGGAGAGAAAGTATCACCATAATCCAACCCAAAAATTTGGGTATAGCCTTTGGCTACAAGGCGAGCTTTGAGGCGATCAATAGTACCATCGGGACCAACCTTGATAGCGAAGACCCACCCGCAACCAACAACAGATTTTCCGGATGGTAATAGGACAAGCGTCCGGGTTCCACTAGTCCGAAGAGCACCGAGTTCATCTAGCATGGCCTGACGCCAACCAGGGTGGGCTAAGGCTTCGAGACGGATTTAGGAATAGACACGTAAGAAATAGACGAGAGACAGGTATAAAATGGTGAAGAAATTCGATGATAACTTAAAGCAGTATAATGTGGAGAAGGATTACGAGTAGAACGCGTACCTTTACGAAGGGCAATAGGAAGGTCGGACTCGTGGACTGAACCGGAGGAGGCGAGTATTTGACACCGGGAGTGAGTCATGTGGCGTTTGTTGTGGGCGAGGTCTGCGACTATAAACCCGAAGGGGTGGTGGAGGAGGAGGCGCTAATGGTGGATGGTCCTCAACATAAGGATCAATGAGAACAGGAATGGGAACTGTAGCGAGATGGAGACTCAGCAGGTAGGGAAGGGTCCTTAAAGTAAAAGGAAAACTCATTGAAGGTGACATCGGCAGACACAAAATAGCGATTAAGAGAAGGAGAAAAACACTTGTATCCTTTTTGGGATCGAGTAAATCCTAAGAAAACACATTTGTGTGATCGAGGAGATAACTTATCATGACCAGGATCAAAATTGTGGACAAAACAGGTAGACCCAAAAACCTTCGAGAGGTAAAGGATGGAGAGTGTCATGAGGAAATAAAATAGAATGGGGAATTTTGTTATCTAAAACCGAAGAGGGCATACGATTAATAAGATAACGGGCATTAAGAACAAGCATCACCCCAAAAATGTTGAGGAACCTCACCATGAATTAAAAGAGTACGGGTTGTTTCAATAAGGTGTCTATTCTTGCGCTCGACCACCCCATTTTGTTGAGGGGTATAAGCACAGGAAGTTTGATGAAGAATGCCATGAGAAGCCATAAATTGTTTAAACGAGTTTGAAAGATATTCACGGCCATTATCACTTCGAAAAGTTTGAATAGAGACACCAAATTGATTTTTAATTTCATGATAAAAGTTTTGGAATATAGAAAACAACTCGTAACGATTTTTCATTAAAAATAACCAAGTACAACGAGAGAAATCATCCATAAAAGTAACAAAATATTGAAAACCTAAATTAGACTTAACACGACTCGGGTCCCCAAATGTCGAGTAAACTAAGGCAAAGGGGGATGAAGCACGCTGGGAAACACTACGAGAAAAGGAAGTACGACTATGTTTGCCTAACCGACAGGACTCACACACCAAATTGGACAACCGGGATAAGCTGGGAACAAGTTGCTGTAATTTGCGCAGACTCGGGGTGACCAAGCCGAGCATGAAGGAGAGAAGGAGACTCCATAACCGTGCCAACATGTGGAGAAGGTTGAAGATAATAAAGTCCATGTGACTCACATCCGGTGCCAATCACTCTTTGCGAGCTCCGGTCCCGTAGGGAAACGAAGTTTTGGTAAAAGAGATAACACAATCAAGAGATCGAGTTAGACGGCTAATGGATAATAAGTTAAAGGGGGACCCGGTACATACAAAACATTATCAATGGACAACGAGGGAAAAAGAGTAACCGTTCCAACACCATGAGCTAAAGTTGTAGACCCATTAGCCATTGTAACGGAGGGTAAATTATGAGAAGAAGTGAAAGAGGAAAATAAGGATTTGTTACCAAGTGATGTGATCGGTGGCGCTCGAGTCAAGAACCCAAGGGCCAATAGAAGAAGAGTGAGTCGGACCAAGCAAAAGATGTACCTGTGTGGGCAACGAAGTAGTGGAACCGGAGGGCTTTCGATCCTCATACCATTGAAGAAAATCATTGAAGATAGCGGATTTGTCTGAAGGTACAGACGAAGGAGGATCCACGACAGAGGATTGTGCGGAAGAATCGGTCCGAGCAACTGCAGCGAGATCGGCGAGGATAACCATGTAAAGCATAACATTTGTCAATTTTGTGGCCTAGTTTGCCACAATGGTCACACTTGACACGCCCTTTGCCTGGCTTGTGAGAGCGATTACGATCATCACGGTGAGAGGCCAAGGCATATGAATCATTAGAAACAACAGGGGGAATATTGAGAGGTTTACATGGCACCCGCAAAAGGGAGGAACTGGTAGCGGTAAAACTGGGTGTAACAGGGGAACCCAAAATCTGGTCACGAACAGGGGCATATTTATCAACAAGTCCGTGTAACATCAAAACCATGAAAAACTTTGATCGTTGCTCTAATTCTTGGGCAGGAGTCGAGGCAGGGGGTAATAACTCATTAAATTCATGGAGAAGAGCATGGATCTTACCCACATAATCCGCCACAGGATCCTTATCTCGAGGAGCAATAACATCAAGAAGATTGTAACAAACACCATAAAGACGTTGAGTGTCATTGGTGTATAATAATTTGGCTTGTTCCCAAACGTCATAACATGTGCCATACGATCGAAAAATTTGTTTTAAAGAAGATTGGATGGTATTCTTGAGAACCATACATATATGAGCATCAACTTTCTTCCAACGGACACGATCATTGGAAGGAACATCATCTACCTTGGTAGTAAGATGATCAACATACCCCGACTCTCAAGCCAAAGTCTAATATCGGATGCCCAAGTTGCATAATTCGTACCATCTAATTTATCAATGGGTAAATTCACATTGACATAATTAGTAAAAACAGATTGCTCGGACCCACCGGAGCTGACAGAGGTAACTTCAGAATTGGAAGTGGCAGCGGAAGATGCCATGGAGGAAGAGAGAGAAAAACCCTAAAACACCAAAGAGGTCCGATTGGAGCAGCGAGAACAGATCCAGAGAGAGGAGAAGGAGGCGACGCCGGCGCAAAGATCGGCGGCCTGAACGGCGGCGAGACGCGCCGCCACGCGCGGCGGAACGGGAGAAGGTGGCGCGGCTTCGGGAGGCGCGTGAAGGAGCGTGGCTGCTCCGATGACCGCGAAACTTCCACGGTGGAGGTCGCACGGAGGAGGCGAGCAAAACCCTGTGCTCGGTGGTCCGAACTGTTACTCTGGCGACGGCGGCGGCGGCGGCGGCGGACGTCGGTGGTGGCGGCGACAACTGCAGGTTCAGTGGCAGAGCCGAAAAAAAATCCCAAGAGACCTTAAGCTCTTGATACCATGTTGAATATAGGGAAAAACTGTATAGGGTTAATTTCCCTTATGTATTTACCACACATAGGGCAGTGTATTTATAATAAAGAAAGGTACTCCTCAAAAGAGTAACAGAATACAAATAGGGTAAATAAAAAGATATTATTTGATATTGTGATTAACAATATCTAACAATATCTCAACAATATCAAACAATATCTAATCATATCTAACAAAAAGTATTGATACTTCATAGGTATGGATATTTCTATGATAAGTATCAATGAAGTATTGGTGAAGTATTTGACATGATACGTATTGGAGACATATACATGAAGCAAATTGAAGTATCGATGCTTCATATGCAGGGGCTAGACGTGGGACTTGTCGGCTTGAGAGGAGGAGGGGGTAGTCATTGTGGAAGGTCACTTGTTGCTGAAGCTGTTGTTGTGGAAGGTCATTGCAAAAGGTTGTCATTGCTTATTGGGGCATGTGTGGTGGAAACTTTGTTAGGGTTCTTTGTTTTCAAGAGAGATGAGGGTAAGGGAGTGTGAAGGAGTGAAAGAAAGTGTTGAGTGAGGAGGAGAGGAAGGCTGTGCTGGGTTGAATGATGGGTAGAGTTGGGTTGGGCGGGACATGGGGTATTGTTGAGTGAGAGGAGGGTGTTCATAGTAAAACATGATAAGGAGTTTATTTTAGGGTTAGATAGGTGGGCAGTGGATAGCCTAGCCCAACCTGGACAGGCCATGTTGTCAATTTTGACCCATTGTAAAATTCATCAATTTTTTGGCCCGCCTGTCCAAATATGTAGTGACTTGGGTTGGCATGCGGGTTGGCCCACTTAGACAGCTCTATGGATTACTTACTTTATATTAATTTTTTATATTGTATATATTATATATAATTATTGTAATATATAAATCTGTTGTGCACACTATCCTATGCTGCTCTTTCCTAATCCAACTCTTTCTATAGTCTAAAAATCACACATGACCATATGTAGTAGGATAATGTAATTAGATACTGTCAGTGTACCAAACGACTCATCAAAACAAAATAGTACATAACTTTTTCAAAATAGCTTCGCATGAAACACCTGTAGTAGCTTATTTTTGTGGGAAATATGCTAGTTGACTGATTAGAAGCCTACTCAATTATCTATCCAAACACACAACGCCTAGGTGTCTGAATATGAACGTGATTTTCTTCAATTTTTAAAATATTCTCATAACTTATCTGTGGCTTGTCATTTCTTCCAGCATGTTTTCAAGATGGAGCAGGAAGAATACAGCAAAGAAGAAATTAACTGGAGTTACATTGAATTTATTGACAACCAAGATGTTTTAGATTTGATTGAAAAGGTTTCTGCAAAATCCTTTCTTGGCTGGAGGTTTTCTATTCTATGTTTCTATGTTCTCATGTATCATTCATATAAAGTAGATTGTTGTTTCATGCCTAATATGTGGCAAGGATAGTTTTTTTTTTCTGGAACATTGATGGATAAAGATTTGTGAACTTGCTATGTCTTTTGTCATTTTCTTTAATTAGGCTGCAATACTGAAATTGGAAGAAGAATTTGCATTAGTATTAGAAATTGATAAACCAAGCATGAACAGAGAGAATTCTAATTTTATTTATGAGAGATAAAAACTGAATTAAATTGAGTAGTCTCCATTTACAGTGGACCAGAAGAACTGATGCTAATAAAGCTGTAAGTCTATTTAACTTGTCAGTTACAATTGTCTTTAAGTGACTAGCAGTTGAAGTCACAAAAGTATAGTCTACCACTATTACATATGGCTGGTTGATCAACCAGCCCTAGGATACAGGTGGTATGTTTCTTTTTGTCTTATTCTGTGCTTCTGGTCCAATGTTTGGATCTCTATCATATATATATATATATATATATATATATATATATATATATATGTATGTATGTATGTATGTATGTATATGATTTTCACATAATGTTGGGAATAAGTATTGGACTGGGTTTTTTTTAAAGAATTAGTTGGTAAGATCTGCATATTAGGGTTCACAGAATTTCAATCATACGAAATGAATATTGTGTAGCTTCCATTGGAAATTAAATTCTGTTGCTTTCATCATTGTTATGTACAAGTCATTTTTCCTCTAAATTTTAGTTTCTTATGTACTTGATGCATTCTTTTGCAGAAGCCCATTGGTATCATTGCTCTGTTAGATGAAGCTTGGTACAATTTGATTTCTTTAACCTGAATTGGTCTGTAATTATTTGTGTTACCCTGTTACATATTATCTTTAATCTTGAATATGTCTCCTTTCAGCATGTTTCCAAAATCAACACATGAAACATTCTCTACAAAATTGTTTAAACACTTCCTATCACACCCTAGGTTAGAAAAGGAGAAGTTTTCAGAAACAGATTTCACCCTTTCTCATTATGCTGGAAAGGTAATTTAATAGTGCAGTACTTTTGTTTTGAAAATTAAATATTTTGACAGTATCTCATCCAATGCTTTTATTCAGGTCACTTACCATACAGACACCTTCTTAGACAAAAACCGTGATTATGTAGTTGTAGAACATTGTAATCTGCTATCGTCTTCAAAATTCCCCTTTGTGTCGGCCCTTTTTCCTTTGCTAACAGAGGAATCTTCAAGGTCATCTTACAAGTTTTCTTCTGTGGCTTCCAGATTTAAGGTATGAATATCTATTTCCTTTTGTGAGTTACTGAACTTAAGGGGAATCATTATTATGAACAAATAGTATAGGAGACTAAGTATTTGAACATTAATTTTGTGATGTTGATCATGTTCTGTTTACTGTCCTGCGTGTGACATTGTTTGATGGGGACTTCAGCAACAACTTCAAGCACTCATGGAAACACTTAATACAACCCAGCCTCATTACATTCGGTGTGTCAAGCCTAATTCTTTGAATCGACCACAAAAGTTTGAGAATACTAGTGTCATACACCAATTACGATGTGGGGTCAGTAGTTAGATACTCTAACTCCTTTACTCTTTACTCTTCAACTATAGTCATGAATAAACATGTTGCCAGTATGCCAATTATTAAATTGTTTCCTTGATTGCTGTTTGCTGATTACCGTCAGTCAAAGCAGTTGTTTTCAGTTTTACCAAATATTACTGTACAGTAGAAGAATAGGTTACTTTTTGTGGTTTTCTTTTTAATGGTGAATATCTTGATTACTAGAGTTTCATATTGAAAACATTACATTTTTCATTGTCCAAGTCTTATACAAAATATTCTCTTAGTTTGTTTTGTCAGATTTAACAGTTTGTCAATGAGGGCAGCTTTTGTAAATTCTCCCTCTTTATTCTGTTTTCAGTGGGTTGAATGAAATGAAGAACTCCATTCTCTGTTTCATTCATTCTTTCTAAAATTCTCTAAGAACACTCAGTTTGATTTATTGTTTTAACTGAATATCTTTATTTTTTTTCCCTCTTATTTATATTTTCTACTATTATTTTTTTTCCTATGAATATAAATTGATAGACCTAGATGCATCTACATATGTTCATGCATTCAAAAATTAGTCTGTTTGATCCAGTTTTTCATACTAATAAGTCTGCCATAATTATCTTGTTTTGTCTTGTCTAAATTTACATCCTAGAATTGTCACATTTAGTAACATTTTTTCTGTGTTATATTTTATTTAGGGTGTCCTTGAGGCTGTAAGAATAAGTCTGGCAGGTTACCCCACTCGAAGGATTTATTCAGAGTTTGTAGATCGCTTTGGATTAATAGCTCCCGAATTTATGGATGGAAGGTGAATTTTGTTAAATTCATAGAACAGTTTAACTCTAATTACATGATTCTTTACTGATTTCTCTTTTTGAAAGTGAAGTGGGAAGCTTTGAATTACTCCCATAAAACCTGCAATTGCTTCTCTTGTTTATTCCTAGATTGGCTGGTTTATTTGGTTATTAAAAAATTAGTGCAAAAGTTGTTCTACTTATTAACTTGGCCATATCATGGACCAGTTCTATTATCTGCTTGAAATAGCCGACTTGGTCTGGTTATAAAAATATTGCTCATGATAAATACAAGTTCATTATTGGTGGTTTTAATTTACTGAACCAAATGAGAATTGAAAAGTAAGTTGGTTTTGCATCTTATTTAACTTCGTGATTATTCCTTTTCATCTTATTTACATCTATTATTGTGCATGAATTGGACTGTTTGTATTACTATACATGAAATTTTAGTAATATGAATGCAAGTGCAGCAATACAGGTTTCTTATTTGATATTTATTTCACATTTCGTCAATGTTTTGCTTACACTTTTTGTGCTGACAGTTACGATGATAAAGCTGTAACTCTGAAAATATTGCAAAAGCTAAAGCTTGAGAATTTTCAGGTGTGCTTCTTTGGGAACATGCTTGCTTCTTTGGTGTAAAAGCATAAATTTATGTTGGGGCTTCTTTAATACTTTTTAAATCTTTGTTACTATTCAGTTAGGTAGGGCCAAAGTATTTCTCAGGGCTGGTCAAATTTGCATTTTAGACTCTAGACGTGCGGAAGTTTTGGACAATGCTGCAAAGTGTATTCAGCGGCGACTGCGAACATTTATTGCACACAGGGATTTCATCTCAATTCGAGCTGCTGCACTTTCTCTTCAAGCATGCTGCAGGGGTCAGTTTTATTTATGTTTATCTAAAATTCCCCTTTAAATATTTTTTAAAACTTATTTTCAATAAATCTTTTTCGGTAGTGAATTTTTATGGAACATAATGCATTTCTTTCCAGCTTAAAATAGTGCCTGATTTGTATTGCATGTGCCATCGACCAGTTTAGAACTTCATGAACTCAATGATAATATTTATTGCATATGCTATGCTGATCTAGGATCTGTATGTGTGTAGGATTTGGCTCCCTCCAAAGTGATGAGGGTGCAGCAGCAACAGCTATTACCACTCAGAATTATATATACTTGTCTTTTATAAATATTAATTAGAAAGTCAATAATGGTTGTTTTCATATCTTCGTAGCTTTTTTTTTTTTTTACATGGGCATGTGTTGAATCACAATCTCAATAATTGATTTTCTAATCAATGATTATAACTATACTTTATCTCCGAAGTACACCTCGCTTTATAGTAATCCAATCAGTAATTTCATGGGTTAGGTTATACCACTTTTATTATTAATTGTCTTGATCCTCTTCAGTTTTTTTTTTCTTATAAGGTTGCATTAGCCGAAAGATATATGCTTTGAGACGGGAGAAAGCAGCAGCTATCTTGATTCAGAAATATCTCCGTATGTGTCTGATGAGGCATACTTATGTGAAATTATGTTATTCTTCTATTATTGTACAATCCAATGTTCGTGGTTTCACAACTCGTCAAAGGTTCTTGCACAGAAAGGAGCACAAAGCTGCCACTTCTATTCAGGTATTTTATCAAATAGATGGAGTTGTAACATGACTTTTAAAATGTAAAAAGCAATAGTGTTTTATTAGAATGGAGCACAAAGCTGCTGCTTGTATCATTTTAATAGATTTTATTTTTGCATATTATGTTTATAGCATTGACTTATGCTTGTGTGTAAGTTTAACCTTTGTTTAAAATATTATTGTGTAGAATTTCCAATTTCATCTCTCATGAATGCATGTTTATAGATGTTAATGCATTATTTTCTTTTTTAATTGTTCCCTGCATTACTTTCAATTGCTTACCATTTTTATGTGGTTGGCAAGATGAAATATGATGTATTTTGTTTATAATATGGAACGTTTATATGTAGGCTTATTGGAGGATGTGCAAGGTTCGATATGCGTTCCTAAAACATCAAAATTCAATTGTAGCCATACAATGCCTTTGGCGGCGTAGACAGGCAAAAAGAGAGCTTCGTAGACTTAAACAAGTAAGGTTTTCTTTCTTTTTTCCAGGGGGGAGGGGAGGGGAGAATGCATTAGAAGTTGTTCTCACTACTTAATTTTTTATTTATTTATCCTTTTTAGGAGGCTAATGAAGCTGGAGCCTTGCGTTTAGCTAAGAATAAACTTGAGAAACAATTGGAAGAGTTTACATGGCGGTTGCATCTTGAGAAAAAAATGAGGGTATTACATCCAAAAGTTAATATATGTTTTGGTGTGGATGTGCTCACATTTGATTCTTTGTATATATGGATAAGTATTTTGCGACATGATATTTTGTTGCTGCCCCTCACATTCTATTTTAAGTTTTCCTTTAGCTAATGTCATGAATATGTTGTTTTTTTGGTATTGAAATGATTTGAATACAAACTGCTGACTTAAGATTTTATAGTGTAATATTGTTTCTGCTTTATACATTGGTATTGTTTTCTCATACATTGCTCATTATTATTCTCATGGTATTTTTGTCGTTTGTATGTTTTAAAAGGAATGTTTGTATGTTTTAAAAGGAATGTTCATATCTTCAGAAGTGTTCTCATGACTGATAGAATTGTGCATTTGGTTTCCCTTTGGTATTCAAGATGTGGCTTATTTCAGGGATAAGTATTTTGGAGATAAAAAAATTAGCAACTCTTGTACTTTTTTGTCCTTTAGTTTGATATGAATATTATTTTTAATCAATTGTTAGAATTGCTTGAATTTAGGGATGTCAAAACGAGTTAGGCTTGGCAGGCTGGCCCTTTTATCCTGCCTAACTTGCTATAAAAAAAAATTTATATATTAAAATAAAAATAAAAATAAAAAGAATTATAATTAAAAATATTATATCTTTTTGTGTTGAGTTATTAAAATATGTAAATATATTATAATATTATAATTTAAATTATAAAAACTAATTAATTAAATTTAAATTATTGATTATAATTAGTTATTTTGACATATAAATATAATATTTTTTCAATTTATCTAATAAAAGTAATAATTAATAAATAAAAATTAAAAAATTATTCATATAATTATAGATATATATTTTTTTAAAAATACATATAAAAAATTTTATTTCAGAAAAAAATATTGACAAGCTAGTCCATCAGTCTGCCCTTTGGTGGGATAGGCTGGGGTCTATGGTCTGTCCTAATTGTGGCCATCCCTACTTGAATTACAATTTGATTGGCTTGATTCCTCATGATTTTGCAAGCCAATGCTTTGTATTTTGTGATTAATCCTAGATTTATGCAATATATTGGTTAATGTTTTCAGTTTTGATATGAATGATATTAATAAATGATTAAACAATTCGTTGCAACAAATTATTTGAAAATTTAGTATTTTAAATTTTGAAATTAAAGGGAACTGAAGGAGTGGTGTTAAATGCAATTTATTTGATTATTCCATTGTTGTATTTTCATCCCTGTAAAGCTGGGACTTCGTATACTTAATCACCCTCATTTGTTTGAAACGAAGGCTTCAACTAAATTGCCTTCACTCCATATCCACCTTATTTGACACTATTTTTTTTCCTGCAATATTCTGGAAGGGGAATTCCTCCATCATTTTGTTGTTTTATCATTGTAACTAATAGAATTTCTTTTATTAAAACAAGTGTCCTTATACACAACTGTCATATTTTACTGTAAAATATTGGTTATGTTTTTAAATTTTCTACCATTTAATTTAATTTGTGGTGTGTGAATTTTAGACCAATAGTGCATACCTGTTGATCACGTCATTTTGATTATATTAAAGATGGAGTTTGATTTATGCAAGTGTGATTTGGCAAACTTGTGATAGTGTATTTTTCATTGTTATGCAGATTTCTAATGAAGAGGCTAAGCATGTTGAGGTTTCCAAGCTACAGAAGATGGTAGAGGCTCTAAATCTTGAATTAGATGCAGCTAAACTGGCAACAATTAATGAGTGCAACAGAAATGCAGTCTTGCAAAACCAGTTGCAATTATTAGGAAAGGAAAAATCTGCTTTAGAAAGAGATCTAATTGCAATGGATGAAGTGAGAAAGGAAAATGCCCAATTAAAGGTGCTTCATCTTAATTAGATGTTTTCCATTGAGTGTTTGATTTTGACAATACATAAGAATTTTCCATTATTCTTGACATGTAATTTGTTTGCCAAGATTTTCTATTTCTTTGTGTCTAGAATCTAGCTTGAATTACTTTATAAATCTGTGTTGGCATTGGTCCACTGCAATGAGTTATCCTTTTAATTTGCATGATGTATTCAACTTGGGTTAGAGATACCTGTGCTATACAATGCCTTAGCTTGGCATGTTACCCTGATTAAAGGCCTAAGAACTGTTGTCGTTTTATAAGTCATGTTTTGAGGCCTTGCTTGGCCTGAAAGCCTATTGAAGAGCTCTATTTATTTATAATAAAACCCATTATCATGTGATAGTTATGGGATAGCTAGTTAATGATATGGTTTTTGGGCAATAAATATCATGTGGTCTGTATCTCCATTCTTCTGAATAAATTATTAATTTCAATTCCAGGATAAGGTATGGTGGGTTTGTGCACTGTCTACCCTTAAAACTCACGGGGCTCTTGCTTAAAGGGTTGTTACATATGAAATCGTATATTTTCTTTCACTTAATAGTTTAAGCTTTTAGAATGAATGGTTCACAACATTTTTCATCCCTAACTTTGTATTTTTGTCTGCTTTCTCTGATAAAGTTTGTTACATAGGTTGCTTGTCTCATATGTGTAGGCTTCATTGGATGCTTTTGAAAAGAAGAGCACAACTTTGGAGCTTGAGCTTGTTGGTGCTCAGAATGACCATGACAAAACCATTGAGAAAATGAGGGAGTTTGAACATAAGTGTTCTCAACTTGGGCAAGATGTGAAAAGGTGCCTCGTCTGCTTCATTTCTCCATTTTAGAAATTGACATAATATCTTCCCATTTCAATGGTTCTTTGCTTTTCTTTATCGTAGAGTTTTGTTAAAAGTTTGATGGTTCTTCAGTAGTTCAGTTTAATTTGTTTGTTATTCTGATTTTTGCACTTGTATTTTACTTTGAACGTAGGCTTCAGGAAAAGCTATCAAGTTTAGAGGATGAAAATCACGAGCTTCGTCAGAAAGCCTTAACTGTATCTCCTAAGATTAACCATCGAGGTTTAACAAAGTCATTTTCAGAAGTAAGTTTCCTAATGCATATTAATTTGATAACAATCATCATTTGTAGAAATTGCTTTGCATTATTCATTGTTAACTTGTACCTATGGGTTTCCATTTTCCGTACAGCCAATATATTTAAATGTTTCAAATTTTGAAAAAATTAGATTGCGGGCTTGTGACAAATCTATTTAATTTACTTTCTGAAACAGAAATACTCAAGTGCAATAGTCCCTCGCACTGAGCAAAAGCCCACATTTGTAAGATGCTACATTTCTGGTCTGTTGAAAATTATTAATGAGCACAATTAATATTCATTTTTCATTGGCTCCAATTTGATGCAGGAATCGCCCACACCTACAAAAATTATTCCCCATTTTACGCATGGAAGTTTGTCAGACTCTCGTAGATCAAAATTAACAGCAGAGAGACACCAGGTTTTATTTGTGCTTCAGCACTCTTGTGTTGAAATTTCAAATGACTGCTTTAATTTTTATCTTTATGTTGCTATACGCAATGGAGTTTATATTTATTGAAAACTAGAAAGCAGAAAAATGTTATAAGGGATGAACCAAATTTTGTTGTTTCTTAATGGAGAATTGTTACAGAACTATTTTTATAAAAGAATCGTTCTAATTACAGTTGTACACAATCTAACTAACTTGTAGGAAACTACTTTTAAAGAAAGTTGTTAAGAACTTCTCTGTTTATAATATATTCATACAATATTTATTTCAATGTTCTAAGAAGAGTCAATGTGGTTACTGGGATGAACAAGGTTCTAGGACCGAGATTGCTATTGCTCATTTTTTTTTTCATTTAATAAGAAGGTGAAAGGGGTGGGACACACTATAAATGAAATTATTGTCAATGTTCATTAACGTTTTCCTTTTTCAACTTAAGCTATATTGGGATTGGGACTGATTTTCTGTTTCTTTGTTGGCTCATCCACAAAACTATAATTATTTGTTACCACAAAGAAAAGAACAGCTAAGCTTTAAGCATGTATGTGAGTGGTGTAATGAAATTGTTGAGGGTACAAATACTTAAGTATGATGAGGGAGATGAAGTATAACTCAATTTTCAGAATTTTAGCTTTTCTGGAGATTAGATATTTTGAGGTGAAACATTTTTCAGATGCAGTTAGTACTTAACAGAAAATTGAACGAAGACTCAGCTTAACTGTCTTGAAGTGTTGTGACTGTGGACCACTCCATGGTACAGTGTCGCAGTGTGAGGGGTAATGTGAATTGCGGCCATTGTGATCTCTATGGACTGAGAAGAAACTCTGTTTTTTGCCCCCTAAATGATGACATGTGGTGCTGTTTAATGTGCAATCTTGGGGTTTTGCCCCTCTATTTTGTTTATCCTATTTTGTCGCTTGCACTCCACTTGAAAGATAATCAACAGAGGCATCTTCTCTCATTATGCAAACTATTGCTCCTAGCTGTGTTTCAAGCCAAACTCTGGAACATTGTTCTCTGGTCTCTCTCTGTTCACATCCTTTTGGTCTATTCTGTTCACATCAAAAGGATTTTTGTTTTGTTTCAGATAATTTCTTTCACATGTCTCTTGAAGACTTCAGTTGTGTTTTGTTCTCTCATTTGCAACCTTTACGAAGAGACATCTGGTGCTGGTTTGGGTTACACTATCACTGATTACGATGATGATCACCACTTGAAGACCTTTCCCAATAATTTTATTGGTGGATGCAGATTTGAGAATTTTGGTTGGAGCAAGTATCATTTGTTATAGTGGTTTTATTGTTCTTCCTATCCTTTCCTTATCTAGTTATCCCTAAACAAAATGAAAGACAAGGAAGTGTAAGACTCCATTGACATTGCGTGGATAAAACACTAATATAACTAAAATAAATTTAAGGTCTATATTATCATTAGATTCTTATATCTCAACATAATCATCAAAAGCTAGGATTGACTCTGCATTTTACCATACATTGTGCCGAATCAGCTTATTGATACCATGTGTTGTGCAGGATAATAATGAACTCCTCTCTAGATGTATCAAAGAGGATTTGGGGTTCAAAAATGGTAAACCACTGGCAGCTTGTATCATATACAAATGTCTTCATCATTGGCATGCCTTTGAATCTGAACGCACAGCCATATTTGATCACATTGTCGATGGAATTAATGATGTCCTAAAGGTAAAGTACTGTAGTTGAATTGTAGGTTGCTTGTGTAGTTTTCACGTGAGATTTATTAATTGGAGTGTCAACTGTTTCAGGTTAGAGATGATGACATTGTCTTGCCGTATTGGCTGTCCAATACATCTGCACTTCTATGCCTCTTGCAAAGGAACTTGCATTCAAATGGCTTTTTAACAGCCACTGCTCAACGTTATGCCAGATCATCTGGCTTGACTAGTCGAATAGGACATGTGAGTTATCAAGTTTGTATATTGATATCAGATTTTTTTTTCCCCTCACTCGTGCATTGTAAATGTTTTTCTTCTATCATGTCGGTCATGATTGACTTGGTTCAGACAATTGCAGTTCTCTGAGGGGATACATACACCGAATAGCTGAATAGATAGTACACTTTCACAATTTCATATAACCTTTCCCTTAAAAAACGTCAGATGCTGAGCAGAAACTGTTGCCATTGACAGAAATGTAGCAGTAGATGAACAAAAATGTAGAAACAAATGGATTAGACATATCTGGAATATGCGTTGTAGGGTGTCGAGAATTTGGACAGTGGGCCCAAATGTTTGTCTTAGTGCTTCTTTTTCCCCACTTTTCGTAGTTTGATGGGCTTGTATTTTGAGTCTAGTTTACCTTCTTGTTTTATTTGTTTTTTAAATAAGAATATAATATAATAAATGAACTAAATATATAAACTAAATTATAATAGTAATGAAATATAATAAACTATTTAGTACTACTGTACTAGTGATAAAAAACTAATAAAATATAACGTATAATTTTGAATTTTAATAATCTTTTATGTTATGAGCTTATGAGTTATTGTGATTAGAAAATTTAAATTTTTGCTTTATGTTTTGATGAAGAGGTTACCTTCCTATTATCTATTTTTATTTATGCATATGTTGTATATATAAGTAATTTAGGTAGGAATGTAGGATCTTGGTTACGAGTTTTCACCACCCTGCCAATCCTTAGTGTGTGAAGTTTAAAATCAATGTTTGTCAAAAAGTATCAGGATTACTTGTTTTCTGTTAGGCTATATGAAATAATTGTCGAATTATCTAATCATGCATTTTGTATTCACTCTTCCATTCTCATTTTATAATTTTCCCTCTTTATTATATTGCACGTTGGTTCTGTGATGAAGTTCATGTGCTGTATTGCACGTTCCTCCTCTCAGTTACTAGCCAATAATCTAAAATACCCCATGTCATTAACCAACTGTCCCAAAACCTCTAGTGGTTAGGTGAAGATGCATAAATTCTTTTTTGTAAAATCTCTAAAATTCTACTGTCTTTTCTGAACAGCTTTGATTGTGGACATTGGTATAACCAAATCATCATTTTCGTTTACAAAACGAACAACTACAAATTTCCTTCCCAGTACTAGTCTTATGCCGTGATTATGCTGTTTAAATTTCTTCCAGGATGATTCTATGCAGATCATGGAGTCATTGAGTGATCGACATTGTAGTATTATACTATCTTCATAGACAGAAAGCCTGTAACTTTATCAACCCTTGTTGCTAATGCGTTCTTTCTGTAGATTTCTCTTTTAACAAGCTTCTGCTCATTTGATGATAGCTGCTAGGAGAAGCTCAAAAATGCAGAAAGTAGAGAACAACCTATTTTATTATTGTTTAGAAATGTTTGATGATATCATTTTGTTGTATCTTCAACTTGCAATTACTATTCTAGGAAATACATAAATACCAATTACTGAATTCTCTTAAAGGTTTTGTTGATTGTTGCATTGTTTTTCTGTTGATTTATTTGGTTTTGTCGCCATGAGTTTTTTTCCCGTTCAGATTTTGCATTTCACCCTAGTTGGTGGTCTCCCAGTACCTGCCTTTTTATCTACCCTTTATTCAGTTTGATTTGATGCCATTTTCAGAAACTGAGGTCTCCATTGAAGCTTATTGGATATGATGATAGTACAGTACATGTGGAAGCAAGATATCCAGCTATTCTTTTTAAACAACAACTAACTGCTTGTGTAGAGAAGATTTTTGGCCTTATACGTGATAATTTGAAAAAGGAGCTTTCTCCACTTTTGGCATCATGTATTCAGGTGGTATTTCTTACTCCTAGCTAATATTTTGGGGATTCAAGCACTATGTCACTAAATTTGCCCAGTCATATTGTGTGAATCTGTTAGGAACAACTAATTAGACAGAAAAAGAAAAGAAACTTTCTTTATTGAATAGAATGAAAAGAACAAGAAATAGGAGTGCACTCTCCTCCAAGGGTTTCCCCTTCACAAAGGATTTCTCCTTTTACAAAGAGCTAATACCCAATTTACAAAATATATCCCTCTTCTTTTATCCTTCACACCCTATTTATATCTAAACAACACTTTATGCAACTAACTCACTAATATGCTAACTATCTTGCTAACTTCTCCTTCATTTTATACCCTAACAGAATAATTGATATTTTATTCTTGATTCCGTTATAGTATTGAGTTTTAAATCCTGGAGATGGTGCGTGGGACCAGCCCTAAAAATGCTGTAGTGGTATAGCTGCTTTGGAATTTTTTTATTTAGTTTATATAATGTATACTGTACATATAAAATCTAAAAAATGATAAAAATTACTCAAATACATCGATAGTTAATAATAATAAGTCGTAAGTGTCATTAAGCATACAAGTAAATACCAACAAGAGTCAAATGTAACTTACAAGATTCCTTAAATAGGAATTATTTATTAACATCTTCTAAATCCAAGTCATCAAATTTCTCTTATATACGTTTATAAATTTCATTTTTGGAAATTGAAATCCCACATAATAGCCCACCCCAAAACGTACTAGTTCATGAAATATCTCAAATGTGTTAAATCGATGTTATTATAGTGGACTTAAAGCCAAGATACTATATGTTCCTAGAGGTAACGGCTAACGGCAATTTTTTTGGAATCAAAACGCCATTTGGTCTTTTGACAGCCAATACACTAAACTACTAACCAGTAGCATGCATAGGCTTCTCCCCACCATTATAGCATACTATTTAAAACCCTGATTCTAAGAAGTTATTTCTGATTCTGAATGCTAGGAAGCGCAGACTTAATGAAGTCCAAACTAATGAATTCTATTATGTGCTTTGCATTGATTTAGACTTTGCTTCATAAACTTCATGTTTGCACTTGGTTTCAATCAATTATTTTCTTTCATTTAGCATCCTTGTATAATGGCTTATAGTTTATAAAGGAATGTAAAGAAACAATTGTGTTTATTGAAGAGTTGTTTTTAGTTGCTTGTACAAGGAAACAAATTTGATTTTGATGCGTAACTTTTTTCTTGTGACTACCTTGCTTGTACAAAGAGACAATTTTGTTTATTCAAGGGTTGTTTTTATTTTGTTGTACACGAAAAAACACTTTGATTTTGATGGTTAACTTTTTCTTGTGGCTATGTACTGCTGTGAGAACATTAGAATTGGAATAAACTTTATTTCGAGAGATACTTTTATTGCCTAATGATTTTCCAACCTCCATTTGGGAACCAATTTCATCCATGACTTGCATTGATGATCTTATTGCTTTGTAGATTGTTGTCTTTTAGCAACTTCTATATATTTTTCCTTTTCATACTATTATGTTAATAATACAAAAATATTTGTAGTTCTAAATAAGTTTATCATTTATTCATGTATCCTTATAGCTTTTGATAGTCTTTTCTGTTTTATGAAGTCTAGACTGTGATAATAATTTTACATTAAATGGAACTTAGATCTTAGTGCTCCTTTCTGAAGACTTGATATATACTAAAACATAAAGGTGTTGTATGATTCATGTAGTCAAATCCCAGTTCGTGGGAATGTGCTTTGATTCTTATCAAGCTTTAATAATAGCACATTGCAAAATCGTTTTTCTTATTATATATTGTACTGTTTAGGCACCTAAAACAGGACGGATGCTAGGTGGTAAATCATCTAAATCTCCTGGTGGGCTTCCTCCACAATCACCTGTTGCTCAATGGGACAACATCATCAAATTCTTGGATTCACTCATGAGCCACATGACTGCAAATCATGTATGTTATTTATTGTATTATTATTTTATTTTGTCATTATTTGATGTGCCTATTTTTTTCCAGTCTGGTCTTGTAAGCATTTGATTGGTCATTGAGACAAGAGAACGGAACAATTTCCTTGTTTGAACCATGGTTATCAAAAACAAACTGGACCAACTGATAACTGGCCTAGTATCCTGTTCAAAAGAACAACAAAACTATCTTGTGAAAGAACAGAACCATGACTGGTAAAACCAATCTTCAATCAGGCAAACTGGTGGTTCAACCAGTTTAATTAGTTCTTCAAAACACTTGTTTTTATTTTAAACATGTCTAACATGTTTGAATATGGAATCAACCTCAATTAATGTTATGATGACTGGAAGTTATATTTGTAGATGTTACGCTAATGAAAATTATTTTTTTGTTGAACTTACATGTTGTCATTTAATTTTTACATTATGTAATATTTGAATGCTAGTGTTACAAGTACTTAAGAGTAAAAAAAGAAGAAAAAGATATACTTTAGAGGACTTAATCACACCCCTCATATGATTCATTTATTTATAGTGATAAAGTACAGATACAATGAGTAGATGGAAAGCCAAGGGACAAAAGTTGATGTAGAAACCTAGGTGCAAATATATACACAACTCATAAATTAATAATTCCAACACTCTCCCTCAAGCTGGAGCATACAAATTGTATGTAATAAACTTGGAACAAATGAAATCAATTAGAGGATCCCTTAATGATTTTGTTAACACATACAAGTTGATCATTAGATCCAATAAACTCCGTACAAATTTCTGTAGTCACCAACTTTTTCTGAACGGAATGATAGTTAATCTTAATGTGTTCTGTTCTTTCATCGAATATTAGATTAGAGGCAATGTGAAGCGTAACTTGATTATTATAATACATTTTCATGATCTGAATCTCACAGAATTTGAGCTCTTGAATGACTTAATATTAAAAGGAGAGAAGTAACTTTAGAGGGGTTAATCACACCATTTTCATGATCCTATATATATAGATTTTGATAGGTACAACTCATAAATTACATTTAAATTCAACTATTACCAATCTGTATTAATTCAAACAACCGCATGTAAATACTTCTAACAACCACCTAACTATAGTAATTCTAACACTCCCCCTCAAACTGAAGCATATAAATTGTTTGGAGCAACATAATTGAATCCGGGGTCCCCTTAAGAATTTGGTTAGCACATCTGCAAGTTGATCATTAGAAGCAACATACTTCGTACATATCTCTTTTGACAACAACTTCTCTCGAGTAAAATGACAGTCAATCTCTATATGCTTAGTTTTCTCATAAAATACTGGATTAGAAACAATGTGGAGAGCAACTTGGTTATCACAATACATCTTCATTTTATGGATATTACGGAAGTTGAGTTTTCGAAGGAATTGTTTCACCCATATAAGTTCACAAGTAAGAGAAGCCATTGCTCGGTATTTAGCTTCTGCAGTAGATTGGGCTACTACATTATGTTTCTTACTTTTCCAAAAAAGAGAAATTAGAAAAGAAGTACTTTTTGGCATTGTCACTTATAAGAATTTTAATCATTTTACCAAATTGATTTTTAACTTCATTAAAAAAGGAGATATAAATGGATAACAGTTCAGAACGATCTTTTATCAAATACACCCAATTATACCTGTAATATTCATCAATAAATATTAAAAATATTTTAACCCAAATGATGAGACACGACTTAGACCCTAAATATCCGAATGGATAATAGAAAAAACATAATTATATCTTGATTCAGATTTTTTTTTTTTTTTTTTTTTTGAATAAGAAGCTCTTGACATGTTTTCCTAGTTGACATGACTTACATTCTAAAGTTTGAATACTACTAATTTCAGGGATTAATTTTTTTAATTTTGATAAGTGGGGATGACCCAACTGATCATGTAACACCTCTATATTAATGTCCTTCTCTAATATGACATCCTGTACCACGTTCCTGCATGACAAAAGAATCAACATCATAAGTTATTGAACAATTGAAGGACTTGGGTAATTGACTTATGAAATAAGATTGAAGGGACAAGAAGGAACAAAAAGAACAAATTTTAAATTTAAGGAAGGAGAAAGAGAGACTTGACCGACTCTTTGGGATGCAACTTTAGAACCATTAGCTAAAGTTATGCAATGATGACTTTTCGAAAAGGATAGGGATGAAAACAAAGATGCATTACCAAAAATGTGATCAGATGCACCTGAGTCAATGATCCATAAATTTTTACTTTCTATAGATTGTGAGATACAAGCTATTGATGAACTAGGAGTTGTAGATGATTGTGCCAAGTTGTTGGATTTCAACCTTAGAGATACTCTTGATATTCTTCATTAAAAAAATTTGGTTCAACAACATCAGTTTTAGAGATATGGGCAAACTTGTCGGGAAAACCATGCAAAGCGAAACAATTCTCTTTAACATGACCCATCTTTTTACAATATGAGCATCAAGGACGACCTCGACTACCACGTCCTCCTCTAGCATGGCATCCTCTTTCATGTGTGGGAACCATGATAGAAGATTCCATAGGCTTGTGGACATTTTTACTTGAAAAGTAAGAACACGAAGAAGACGAGTGTCGGGCTTTCCATAGATGGGACTTCATGCCCTGTTAGTAGTTGATCTCTAACATGTTCGAAGTCAAGATGCATGGCACGAAGTATCATCACCATATAAAATTTATCTAATTTCTTCTTGATTTCTTCTAATGACTCCACTTCCAAAAACATTTTTAACTCTTCAACAGCAGATTGAGCTTCACTCATGGAGGATATCATATCATGATCAAATTGTTTAAGGGAGGCAAGTTTATTTGCAACGTCATACAGGTAATTCTTTTCCATTGTTCAGCTTTATCAAGAGGCACCATACTTGCATATTGTTCAAGGTGGTCATGGAGACCTTGACCAAGGAACCACATTTCAACAGAAACAAACCAAGAGAGATAATTTTTTCATTCAATTTCTTAGAAGTGACGCTAGGAGTGTCTGAGAAAGAGATAACAGGTCATGAACGCATGTTTGCTAGAATTTTTATAGGAGACACTAGGCATAATGAAGAGATACAACGGCAACAGAGATGAGTGGTGACTGGCAGTCAGAGGTCGGAGGCTGCGGTTGGCAGCAACTGAGACCAACAGAGTAGGATTAACCCGCTTTGATACCAACTTAATATTAAAAAGAGAGAATTATTTTTAGAGGGGTTAATCACACCACTCTCATGATCCCATATATATAGGTTCAGATAGGTACAACTCATAAATTACATTTAAATTCAACTACTACTAATATATATTAATTCAAACAGCCACTTGTAATACTGTGAAAATCCACCTAATTATAGTAATTCTAATAGAAGGAATTGTTTCACTCACATTAGTTTGCAAGTGAGAGATGTCATTGCCCTATATTTAGCTTCTACAGTTGATCAGACCATTACATTTTGTTTCTGGTTTTTCCAGGAAATAATATTTCCTCTAAGGAAAACCCAATATTTGGTAGTAGATTGTCTATTAGAAGGGAATCCAACTCAATCAGTATCACAATATCCAAATATTTTAGTGTTGTCTTTATCTTGATATAACAAACCTTGTCCTATAGTCTTTTTTAGATACCTCAAGATATGGATGATGACATTGCAATGGTCAATGCAAGGAGCTTGCGTGATCTGGCTAACAAAACCAATTGCAAAAGACAAATCAAGTCTAAAAATGGGATTGATAAGTTTTCCAATTAGTCTTTTGTATCAGAGAACAATTCAACTTGTTTCATCATTTGTTTTTTATTTGGATCCATAAGACTGTAGTTGGTTTACAGGCAATCATACCTATCTCTCTTAGAATATCTAATATATTCTTCCTTTGAGATATCACAACACCTTCTCTTGATTGAACTACTTCAATTCCCATAAAGTATTTGAGACTTTCAAGATCTTTGGTTCAAAAATAATTGCTCAAGTGTTCCTTTAGCTGAGATATTTTAGCAACATCACTTCCTATAATAACTATATCATTAACATATGTTATTAAGTAAACACATTTATCTAGAGAAATATGACAATGAAAGACTCAATGATCTGCTTCGCTTTGTTTTAGACCGAAAGCTTGCACAATGTCGCTAAATTTTCTAAACCAAGCTTGAGGAGATTGTTTGAGACCATATAGGGAGCGATGTAACTTATAAACAAACCTTGACTCTCCTTGAGTAGCAAATCCTGGAGGTTGCTCCATATAGATCTCTTCTTCAAGATCGTCATGAAAGCACTTTTGATATCTAACTGATGAAGTGACCAATGACAAAGTATCGCTATAATTAAGATCATAAATTTGAGTGTATCCTTTAGAAACTAAGTTTTCTTTGAGATGATCAACTTCATCATTTGAGGCAACTTTAATAGCATAAATCCAACAACAGTCGTTGTTTTCTTATCAGGTTTGGGTTTCAAGTACCATGTGTGATTCTGATTAAGAGTTTGCATTTCAACAATCATGACTTGGTGCCATCTAGGGTGATCATGTGTTTCATTCGCATTTTTTGGAATAGTAATGGAAGACACTGATGATAGAAATGAATAATAAGAATGAGACAACCTATGATAGCTAAGAAAATTATAAATAGGATGAGGATTACGAGTAGAAAGAATACATTTTCCGATGATGATGGATAGGTTTGAATCATCAAGTTGAGGAACTTGCAATATGAGGAGACGGTAAAGGACTAGAAAGAGAGGTCTTACCTTGGAGCGTCGCATAGGTCATTTGGTTCTGACGTTGGTAAGTAAAGAGAGGAGGTGGTGCTAATTCAGGGGGAATGGATGACAAGTCTGGGATCATCTGAGACACGAGGAACAATTAATTCAATTAATGGAATATGTACAATCTCCTTAATGGAAGTAACATCGTGAACAAGCGGATGGAAAAAAGGAGTCTATTCAAAGAAAGTGGCTTTGATAGACATGTATTATTTCTTTGTTTTAGGAGAGTAATATTGATATGCTTTTTGAAGTTAAGAGTACCTTAAGAAGACACATTTGATAGCATAGACAGAAAGTTTATCTATTCCTGGAGATAAATCATGAACAAAACATACACAATCAAACACATGAGGAGAGATATGAAAGAGATGTTTTCTGGGGAAAAAAATGGAATAAGGAATCATATTATTGAGAAAAGAGTATGACATTTTATTAATAAGAAAACAAGTAGTTAGACTAACATCACCCCATTGATGGACTGCTAGAGGAGTGTGAGGACTGGTGGATTGGTGTAGAATGCCATGCGAATTTAGAACTGCAGAGAAATACTCTTTGTCATTGTCACTTCTTAAGATTTTAATTACTTGACTAGATTGATTTTTTATTTCATTCAAGAAGAATGTAAAAATGGGCAACAATTTTAAATGATCTTTCATGAGATAAATCCACATACATCTAGAATATTCATTAATACAAGTAACAAAATATCTGAAACTAAAAGATGAAAAATAATTGGGCCTCCAATATCAGAATGAATAATAGAAAAAACATAATTGCATCTTGGTTCAGATTTTTTTGAAAAAGATTATCTAACATGTTTGCCTAATTGGCATACTCACATTCTAACATTTGTTTCAGGAACCAACCAATTTTTTTAATTTTGACAAGCTGGGATAACCTAAACAATCATATAACAGTTTCGGGTTTTGAGATACAAAACAATACATAGGTGGACTAGATCCAAAATAGTATAAAATTCTAGATTCATGTCTTTATCCAATTAGTCATCCCATACCACATTCTAGTATAACAAAAAGAATTGACATCAAAGGTTATTGAATGGTTCAAAGATTTGGTTAATTAGCTTAATGAAGTAAGATTAAAAGGACAACAAAGTACAAACAAAACAAATTTTAAATTTAAAAAATGTGAAAGGGAAACTTTACCCACTCCTTTGGAAGGAGCTTTAGAATCATTGACTAAGGTAATGGAATGAGGATTCTTGGGAAAGAGAAGGGATGAGAACAAGGATGAAGGATGCATTACCAAAAATTTGATAAGCACCTAAAGTCTATTGTCCATGGATTTTGCCTTTCCACATATGTAAAATGCAAACTGTTGATGGATTGAAACTTAATGATTGTGCTAAGTTCTTGGATTTAACCCTCATATACTCTTAGTACTCTTCATCAGAGAACTTGTGCTCAATAGCTTCAGCCTTAGAGATATTGACTGTCTTGTTGGGAAAATTATGCAGTCCAAAACAGTTCTCTTGTACATGATCTATCTTCTTATAATATGCACATTAAGGGTGTCCCTAACTTCCCTTTCCTCCCTTAGCATTATGTCCTCCTCTAACATTGTGTCCTCTTCCACGAGTAGAGATTATAATAGCGGATTCCACAAGTTCTTGGATGTTCTTGTTTTGAATTGAGGGAACGTCAAAGAAGCCTGGTTGTCAAGTTATTCATGAAGGGGACCTCTTGTCTAGTTAAAAGTTGATTTATGACATGTTCAAAGTCAGGATGTATGACACGAAGAATCATTACCATATAAAACTCATCCAAATTTTTCTTTGTTTTTTCTAATGAATCATTCTCTAGGAACATCTTTAGTTTTTCATTAGTAGACTGAGCTTCACTCATGAACGACATCATGTCATGATTTGACTGTTTAAGAGAAGCAAGCCAATTGATAGAATCGTAGAGACGTTGCATGTTTTAAATGCTCTAAGGGTACTTAATAACTTTGGTTCTATTGAACGACATAGTAAGGTACAAAGTTGAAAATCAATTTGCTTCCATTTTTCAGTTTTATCATGTGATACAGAAGTCTCATTGTTTTCAAGATATCATGAATACCTTTGCCAATGAACCACATTGCAATTGAGGCAAACTAAAATAGATAAATTTTTTTCTATTCATTTTTTAGATGTAATGGAAGAAGTCCCAACTAAGAACACAAAGGGTCTAGAGGACATTTTGTTGGACACTATTGAGACTAAGATCTTCAAATGGAGGTTTAGACCCAAGAGAGTAGTTAAAATGGTTCCAAAGAAGGTAAGACATGCACGGAGACCATCAAGTCGGAAAAGAGAATTCAGGGCTTGGAGAGAATCAAGGAGGTCCGACAACAAGTGCATAGAAGACCTGTAAAGAGAAGACGTGTGTGGCGGAGAATCATAGTACTAAATTGTCAGGGGTGATCGTCGCTCGAGGAGACGATCTAGATCTTGATGGTCACCGAAGAAAGCTGGACGGCAACCAGTGTATGGACAGTGGCCGAAGAAGATGATAGCGACGTACTTTTCATCGGAGGAGACTCTAGACTAGCAGAGCAAAACTAACCTGCCCTGATACCAACTTAAGAGTAAAAGAAGACAAATATATGCTTTAGAGGACTTAATCACACCTCTTATATGACTCATTTATTTATAGTGATAAAGTACAAATATAATGAATAGATAGGAAACCAAGAGACTAAAGTTGATCTATAAACCTAGGTGCAGAGATAGATACAACTTATAGGTTAATAATTCCAACACAAATTTTGCCATTTACAAGTGTTTTTTATTACTGGTTGAATAATGGTTATCTGTTATCGGACCAATGCTCTTACCCATTTAATGACCAGTTTGGTTTCCGATATATCTATCTTTTGGTGTCTTTGTCATATTTAAAGAGATTGACATGTAATGTTTCTTGTTCCCTTTGTTGTTGTTGCCTCTTCTTTAGTGCTTGACGATTTCTTGTTCTCTTTTTGTATCTTACTATATCAATAAATTCTTTACTTGTCTAAAAATAAATGATGTTATAGGAAGAGTTGTATGAAATGGGGATGTATAAGTGTTACATACTATGGTTTTTTAATATCTCTTTTATGTAATAATATCTCAGGGAGAGATTGTTCCAATGCTTACATAACAGTTATGCCACCAGAACCTTGACTTATTAGTCATATAATAGTTTCCTGTGTTTAGTTGTGGCATTATAATAGTTGAAGATTCAGTTTTGAAACTTTGGTGTGGCTAGATGAAATATTGTAATGCTTTGAAAGCAGAAATATCAAGTGCTTCTTTTCTTATGCACTTTATATTGTCAAAATAAGTAGAGTCAAAATCCATTTCTATTAGAAAATTAATGAGCATTGATAATTTATGGTTATGAATTTAGCTGGCTGTTTGTTTTGATAAGTATCTACCATTCAATATGATCTATTTGTTTCCCTTAATCTTTTCTTACCGAAGGCTTTGTGTTCAGGTACGGTCCTTTTTCATTCGCAAGCTAGTGACTCAGGTTTTTTCCTTCATCAATATTACACTATTCAACAGGTAAAACCCCATATTTACCAGATGATTGATGATTTTTTTTTCTTTTGCCTAAAATCAGTAACTTGCTTTGGTTATTGAATTTATTTCCTGTAGTACAGTTTTTTATTTTAATTTAGTTTCCCCATAATATCTTTTAGCCTTCTGTTGCGACGTGAATGCTGTACTTTCTCAAATGGTGAATATATAAAATCTGGGCTTGCAGAACTGGAGAAATGGATTGCTAATGCAAATGAGGAGGTAAACTGAGCTTGCTTTAATTCATGATTTCAGTTTTAAGGTTTAACTAGGTACTTCCGAAATTTAGTATGCAGGAACATCCTGGCACGAGCTGAATTATATAAGACAAGCTGTTGGGTTTCTGGTACAAGCACTACCTTAGTTACACTTTTTTTCTCAAATAGCACTGCTATACCATATTTATTTTCGTTTGTTTGAATTTCACAGGTAATACATCAGAAGAGAAAAAAGTCATTGGAAGAAATTCGACAGGATCTTTGTCCGGTATTATTAACATTATATTGTTCTAAATATATTGTCCTAAATGATTGCAACATCTCTTTTATCACACTTCAATACTGTATAGATTTTCAATCTCAAATGTTTTTTTAAATTCTGTTGTTCCGTGAATACGCCTGAGAAACTGAAAGTACAATTACAGCAATTAATGACCCTGGCCCATGCTCTTGATTGTTGTTTTCTCTCTGATTTTATAATTTGGGTGTTGTGAAAACTCTTCTTTTCAAGTTAGGTGAAGAAATTTCGATGGTATAAAAATGCCTATGCGAAAGTCAATATTTGCTGCTATGTAATTGATACATTTATTTCTTAAATTATTAGTTTATTTCAAGAAAACATGTGGAGTATTTTTAGCCCGACGTATCTAATAATACCAGGGTAACAGTTGAATTGTCAATCCACTGATTTGGGAGGAACTTGCGTCCTTAATTATTTTGTCATTTATTATGCCTGTTTTATTTTTGTTTCATGTGTATATCTGGTTGTTTTACCAGCATCACAGGTGCATACTATTTAAATAAAGCTTAACCTCTTTCTAATTCACTTTAACAGGCATTAACAGTGAGACAAATTTATCGAATCAGTACTATGTACTGGGACGACAAGTATAATACCCATAGTGTGTCCAACGAGGCAAGATGTGTTTTGAATTGATTTAAAATACGTTTATGATGTGGTAGTTTCCCTGGAGTTCTAAACTACATATGGTGAACAGGTAGTTAGTGAAATGAAGGACATTCTGAGCAAGGACAATCAGAGTTTGACCTCTAATTCATTCTTGTTGGATGATGATATGAGGTATTTTTCTTTCAACCACCAAAGTTCTTCAGTTTGTAGTTTTAGCAAGCGATTGGTGTTCTTAATATTCCCATGCTGCAAAGCAAAGTTGATTTCTAAGATGTGTTTACTTATAATTTTGGATTTGGTAATAAACTAATAACCTATAATATAATTTTGAAACAAAGCAAAATCTAGTAGCTTAATTTGACAATTGTCATGAATCACGTTTAAGTTAAATTGCATTGCATACTTAATTCTTAGTTGGATTGACAGAGAACAATCGTTTCCAGTCACTGATGTGTAGAATTATCTCTGCTTACTCATTAACATAAATCTCTGATTCTTTTGAGATTTCCTTTGGTAAAATGTTTTCATAGGGCCTATAATATATTGGAAATAACATTTGCTTTGACACCCCACTCTAAACCTTCAATTTTTGGTGCAGCATTCCTTTTTCTGCTGAAGATATAGATATGGCAATCCCTGCTATAAATGCTGATGATATTGATCCTCCAGCATTTTTGTGCGAATATCCCTGTGCCCAGTTTCTTGTTTTACATGAGAAGTAATTGATCACACTACAATTGGAAGATCGTTTGTTGAAACTGAGCTTACATATTTAATCCCTGGAACTAAATGCCTGCACAGCCAAGTCGGAAATGTTTCCCCATTCAAATGTACAGCAAGCTTAGTGGTCATCAGATTTATTGGTCTCGTCTATGAATGGATTTGCTACTCATGATATTAATTACTGATAACCGGTCGAAGAATGTGGTTTGATTTATAATTTCTCCTCGAATTACAGTTAAACCAGTAAACTGTAATTATCTAAAGATAGGATGACGGATGACGGATGACAGTGAAGGCTAGACGTGCTGCTTCTATTATCGTGCAGCTCATCTTCACACCTGTATTTTTCATTTATGTTGTAATCTATGTAGGTATGCAATTGTAATCAGAGTCTTGGGCAAAGAAATTAAAAATTTTATTGATGTAAAAATGCTGAATCTCAGCCTTCCGAGTTACATTTTTTTATTCTTTTAAACTGTCATTTTTTTATAACTTCGGCCTTGAAACTTGAATTGTTTAATTTTGGAAGTACCGCACAGTTTTGATGGGGATTTGAAAACAGATAACCACTTTTTATCCGTGGTTGACACAGCGAAGATCCCAAGATGTAACCACCATTGAATAACGACATCAACGATCGATACCTGTTGAAGTCTAGTTGGGTGAAAAATATAACTGATAAGCATATCATTATTTCAATCACATATACCTGGTTATAACGTGATCTTCGTCACCAACACAATCACACATTTTATCAAAAAACATACATCCAATTAATTAAAACGACGAAGACAGACAACATAAACAGTAAAAACTCAAACCGTATGAAACATATCCACCACCAGCAACTCAAACCATAAGAAAACTTGTCAACATACACTGTAAAGTCGACAAATACAACCACAACTGCACTGCACAATTGAATTCATTCACAACAAAGCACCCCCGTTATAGTATTAATAAAGACGTTGATACAACAAACAGAAATGCAAACCACCACAAACCCTAACAAACCACAGCACGACATAATGACTGTTGTTGAACGGACCTCAAAGCTTTCAAATAAGTTCTTCCTCACAGCCAACCGATTGACTGTCAAGGCACTACAACTAAAAGGAAAAGAAAATGTGCTCTGTTAAACCACCCAAACAGTCACTATACTCACCCCACCATTAAGATATCAATACTGTTGAAATGAAAAAATAAAACATACCGGTGAAAGGAGACCAAATGGACACAAGCACGGTGAAAACAGGGTGAATAAAATCGTTATTGAGAAAGAAAATGAACAAGAAGATGCATCTGAGATGAAACTAAGAACACACTGTGAAGAAAAATGAAAGGGGAAGTGTCAATGAAGAAGCAATGGAAGCTATTGCACCCTGAGAGGAAATCCGATCAACATCAGAAGAGAGACCATTGTCGGAGAAAATGAAGCACATGAATAGTTTTAATTTTTACTTCTTTCCCTGTTCTTCATTTATTTTTCATTTTCAATCTCACGTAACCGTTGAAACTTTTAAAAATTGTCACAAGAGGTGTCGTTTGGAGGGTTAATTTTTTGAGATGTACGTGTATCATCGGCCATGTTGCATCACCATCCAAGAAAGCAAGGTGAAGCACAATCCATGAATACCTTTTATATTTAATATTAAATAATTCAGAAAAATATGTGTGCAGTTTTTCTCTTTAGTTTAATTTGAATCAACTTTTAGTTGATTTTTTTAGAGGCAGTAAGTTTGTTGATTTTTTTTTTTAAAGTTCGATTTTGATCTTTCTTAAAACATTTGTTAATATCAATTTTTAAAGTCAACTTCAAGTAATTAAAAATACAATAACTTTTATATCAAAAAGAAAATATGCTTTACATAAAAAATACAATAAATATTTTTTTTAAATGAGTCTTAATATCAATCGTTATATACATAATGAATTATAATCACTCTATAATAAAAATGCTCACTATTTGGGAGTACAATAACAATAATAAAATTTGAGCTACTCATATGAATTTGTAAATCCCATGTACATTGACCAATTAAAGAAATGGTGAGTAATTATGTGTCAAATCCATATTTATTTATATTATTTTCGTTTTTAATCAATTATAGGTTATAAAAAGAAGTGGAGAAAGTGTTCTTCATCTGATTTAAAAAATTCCCCCTTCTCAAACTACGGATAAAAAGTGAGATTATATACATCTATTTTAATTAAACAGACTGATTTATTGTACTATATATATAATTAACTTCAACTCACATTTTATTTGTGAAAAATCATTGATTACTTGGATGGAGACATTGTCGCACTTTTTTTCCCTTTTTTTTTTTTTTTTGAGAAAATCACAATAAGGAAATTAGGATGGAGAGGAGATTGACTTGATTATTAAACAAAATAGATAATTTATTATTAAAACGTTAACATTATCAAGCTAATATATAACATAATTAATGATGAAAATGCCCACGCCACATGGCTCATATATGTTTCTTTCTTAATTCTTATGCATCGTCTATTATTTACTCGTAACAAGGACAAAGGTACAACCTAATTAATTAAGAGAGACAGAAAAGTAAGGTATTATTACAAGGCTTATCTATAATCTATATACAAAGATTGGAAGATGAAAATCAATGCAAAGATGCAAGCTTAGCCAGAACTCCAGCAGCTAGAGAATTGACGTAGGTGCATGGCTCAGTGTAGGGTGACTCCCAACGTTTATCCTTGAACTTGTCCATGCGGTCAGGTCCACCCATAATGGCACCAGTCAGTTCATGGGGGTTAGGTTCATCTCTATTGAGCCATTTTGAGAAGCTCTCGCCACAAGACAGCTCTACACCCTTTTCCAGTTTAGGCACCGAAGCACCTCTGTGGTGAGCTTGCGTTGGTGGGTTCTTTCCAAATCCTACCATGTACGATCTTCCTTCAGGGTTTTTCCCAAGAAGGTAATCCATCTGTGCCAAATATTGCAAAAATCAATTAGTCTCTGTCTGTGTTTTCAAGTGCATTTATGTAATACCAATCTTCAAATAGTATGCATGCATCTGTACTAACTTGTTTCTTAGCAAAATCAAGAAGATGGGAAGAGCTAAATTTCTTGTCTCCACAAACGACTTTCGAGTTATACTTGGCAAGCAAATCACTATATACACAAAACAAGAAAGCACTGCTCGTGGCATACTGCGAGTTTGCTCCGTCTCTTAAATGAATATAGCCTCCTGCAATACAGCATTATTTATGACTCACTGTAAGCTCACATGCATGTAATGTATATTGATTTGGTCACTGATTTGTTAACTTTTAATAGTGCAAACACACAAAGAAGGAAGAGATTACTAACCAGGAGACATTGTAATCTGGTGGTAAGGACTATCAGGGAGGACAGAGCATATGAAACTTTCGGCATGGTTTCTGAATATTTGGAACCTCTCTTCACCTTGGAAATATAACTGGCAAACAAATTTATTGATTAGGACTATCAGAAAGGATATTCATGAGAAAGTAAGAAGGTTCTAATGAGAGAAAATTAAACCTGGCTAAGAAGGACTTGAGCTCCAGCATATTTAAGGTCCCAACTAAATTCTGCTACACTAGCACTTATGGATTCTTCTAGTATGTACTTCAAATACGTTGATTTCCTCGTAGCCATGAATAGCCATGTTGCTGCCCACATCAGTTCGTCCTGCATTCCACACCAACGCCATTCATTCATTACCTTAATTTGTAGTAATAATTAAAACTTCATAGTTCAGGAGAAGTTGTCACATCGTCCACACTATCATCATGTTTATTTCTTTCAGTACGTAAAAAATAGTGAGAACTACTGTGTGTTTTCTTCTTCATAATTGTGAGATAAAGCTTAGATGAGAAACTATTACATTATAGCCGGAATAAGAGCAGTAGAAGGGACACTCTCCATCATAGGTTCCTTTATGCGATTTGGCCATTTGGAAAAGCTACAACAAATGTGGAAGATAGAAAATTAGGGTATCAGATTTTAATGCACCCAAAAGTAGACATAAATATTTCGTGCATATATATATGTATATATGTAAACGTGCCAATTTAGCTTTGTTGAGAAGACGACGAGCATATTTATTATCTTTGTGCCTAAAAACAATGGAAGAAGCAGCCATTGCAGCTGCAGTTTCAGCTGCAATTTCACTCCCGGGTGTGCCATCACCAATCATCTTAACCGTTCTCTTTGTCTTCATATGTTCTGGTGGAAGCCAACAATTGTGATCCTCTTCCGCGTCCCCTACCTACACATAAACACACGTATATATTATAATGGTTTATTTTAAAGATATAATAACTGAAGCTTGCTATTACAAAGAAGGGAAATTTATGGTAGCAAATGAAAGAATGACACCACCTCCACGTATAATCTTTTTTGTCGAGAACTAGCTTTGAGAAAATAATCGGTACCCCAACGAATGGCATCGCGAAGATTATTCAACTCTTCTGCTTCTTTAAATTCTGACCTGTAAAAAATAGCAGCCCATGCTAGCGTAGTAACGGTGAAAGCCATGGGGAGACCATATTTCACGTTGTCCCCTGCATCATAGTATCCCCCGACCAGGTCCACCTGCATGCATGCATGTAAATATATAGATGATATTGTTTGTTAATTTGTGTACATGTTTGCAGAGAAATTATTATATAATTCTGGAGTACAATCGATCTTCATTAAGATTATGGTTATGGATTGTTTTTCAAATTATATATATGATAATTTATTGTGTTTTGTTAAGAAAAAAAGATAGAAAGAATACATGAACGAGTTTTCCATCGTCGAGTGCTGAGTCTCCTCTCCAAGGCACCCTGTTATCTTCGGGGAGCTTCCCTGAACGTTGTGCCTCAAGGAAGATAAGGGACTTGGTGAGAGCCTCCTTGTAATTTAAACCGCCATTAACATGCATCATATTTCCTTCAAACAAAGTAAGCCATGCTACAATGATGGCCAAATACACTTGTCTATTACCCATGAAGCCAATAATTTAAATTTAGAAACTGGAGGTGTGTGGGGAAAGAGGAGAGAGTGAGGTGTTTGTAAGAGGGGAAGGAGACAAGAGAGTTTATAGAGAAATGAAAAGAATAGGTTATGTTGATTGTTGGAATGTTGTTTCAATTTGTCTCCCAAAGGTTGTAACAGTTAATTGCTTTCATTTGGGTGTTCGTTTCTTTAGTTGTTCCTTGCAAAATGGAATGTTGTTTCTTTGTTTTGTGAATTTCCATCCTCCATTTTTGAAACCGCTACTATTCTTGGCATGCGGTGTGGGTTGGTAAGTTATCTCATTAACAAAGTGGAGAAGAAACCAAAGATAAAATTGGTCAATGAAGATGCACCCCTTATTCCCTCTTGCTTTTACTTTCTATCAACCAACATAACAAAACGATCTTACCTTGCTTGTGTAACCCAACGTTTCTTGGATCAACTTCAACTGAATATATATGTTCTCTCAACACTATTATATATTTTTTTTTTCCAATTAACTAATCAGAATAATTACTAAAAAATCACTAACTTTTTTTACATGGTATTAAATAATATTTATATTCTTCACACATTCTAATTAAATTTTGTCACATTATATTCGTTGACACCTAAAGTTATCCTTACTAATTTTGGTTGCAATTGACAGATTTTATATTTTCCCTCACAATGAGAACAATTCAAATTTTTAAAATATGTATTAATACAACCTTTGTTGTATTAATGAATCGTGCCAGAAATGGACGTGTGAAAAGGAAAACTCCAAACAGAAATGTGAATCCAAATAAAAAAACATCAAATTAACATGCATGCTGAACTTACATACACCCATACAAATAGGCAAAACCTCATCAACACTTAATGAACATAAATAAAGGATATGAAATATATCATTAGTGACTTTTAATCAATGAAAAGATAATCACAATGCATTATGTCATCTCTGAAAATTTGAGGCAGAACTAATTATCCTTCTAAAGATGGATGTGGTGTGTGATAAAGAATTCAGAAAGGCTTTCACTATCCACCCAGGATTTACTTGACATAAAATCAACAAATGGATTTTATATTGTTGTATACCTGACCTCTAATATACCCAAAATCAGATGACCTTTTCAATGTAAAAGTATATCATATCCCTCTTAAACACTCTCTTGCATGGTCATAATAAACCAGCTTCAAAGAGATTCCTCCGTCTCAAAGTCTCATCAACAAGCTTGAATGTCTTCTTCACAAGCTTCTGATCAAGGGCAGTGGTCCGGTAGATCTTGAAGACGCGATCTACGCGGTCAGGAGCAGTGCTCTGGAAATACAATTCCTCGAACTTCTTCTTCACAAACCTGAAGACATAGTTATCCAAGTAAATCAATGCTTAAGTTACATAAAAACTTCATCATCTAGCACTTGAAACTATCTTTAGATACTAAGTATAAAAAATGTAAATGGCCAAATTTGGAATCTTTCACTAGTCAAAACTCAGAATCAACTACTTTGCCATCAGCAACACCCTTTATTCCCTGAGGTATAGAGAAGTTGCTTACTCGTACGCATGTTCAATCTCTTGCTTCCCTGTTGAAATTGGCTGGTAATCTTTGAACCACTCACATACATTGAGCGGAACCTGCACAATGCAAGGTATTAAACTGAAATGATCATACACTCCACCAATGACAATGTGTAATCATCTGGATGGTTCTTACTTTCAGGATCTTCTTTTCAAATATGTCAAACTTGTTTAAAAATAACATGAAGGATGTTTTCTGTCCACAAAAGATCAGACCGTCATTATTCACTAAGATATATACAAATGTTAAGTGTCATATAATAAAGGAAACGGCCAATGCAAATTTAGTTATCACACTTTAAAAGAAGAATAGAAAACCTCAAAACACGGTTGCTTCAGGACCCACTCAAAAAGTTCCTTAGTCTCCATCATTCTGTTCTTGTTTTCATCCTCATACAGTGTTTGATCGTACCTGGTAAATGTTAAGCCAATACTTTTGTAAATCATCAAGCATTTCGAAGTGTTAAGACAAAAAATAATATAGGAAGTGCTTCATTAGAAATCAATGTGGATGTGCTGCTGGACTGTGACCTTTTAATTTGGTGGGCAAAACAATCGAAACAGATATGCAGATTAGAAATCAAGATACGTTTTTCAAGATTTATACATTTTAGTAGTCCAAATAATTTTTATCACCATCATTACTATGAACCATATTAAGACATGCAACCAAATAGCAGACCATACTCGCTAATTGCAGCACAGAATATTACAGCTGTAACTCCTTCGAAAAGATGGATCCATTTTCTCCTCTCATTTCTCTGGCCACCAACATCAAAGAGTCTATAGACTTCACCACTTCTCTTGTTTTCTCCAACAGGACTGTCAAAATAGCAGAATCATACTAATGAATTTGGTCTACACAGTAAATCATATTGAAGATGTAGATGCATAACCACCATTTATCTTGTTTGAATCTTTAACCACGCTATTTGTATCTTCAAACAACACATAATGATTGAAAAAATTCAGTTGAACAGAATAAATGTTGAAAAGAGGAGCCTACCCTGCTTCAAGTAATACATGTGGTTTGACGTACCCAATTACACAAGATAGGAAAAACATGACTTATTCCTCCTTCCAGATTAAATGACAAACTAATTTGGAAAACCATAAAAAAAATAGTTGTGAACAAATTTTAGGTCACTTACAAGTTTTAACTATTTAGATGTTATAATATTTGGGAAGGTGGATATGATTGACACTTGACAGTCATAATGGATAGTAACATATAGCAGATGAAAATGGAACATACGTAACAAAAAAAACACAGCGATCACATGAGGACAAAATAAAAATTAAAATAAGTAGTTAAATGTGAGAAGTACCTGATCCCCCACAAAAAAAATAAAATGAAATAAAAAGACAAGGTGACAAGAAAAATGAATTGTGCCAATTGCTACAACAAAATCTGTTGTGAATTGAAGAACAAAAGGAGAATGGGGAGATTAATAGCATTTATCCGTATCGTTTCAGTACAAAAGCTATGTCAATTCAGGATGTTCACCTGAATTGGATCTCAACAACACCAGTTGTACGAACTCTTGCATACAAAACATCCTCCTGTAGTTGTCAAATTGAGTGAGAAATATTGAGAGAACCATAACTTTACCTTCAGAACTGAGGGTCCATAAATGAAAACAAAAGCAAAGACACAGTGAGCTTCTTACAGCATATGCTGTATTCGGTGTTCTGAATTAGCATATGATATCAAAACTCACAACATAATAGTTGTCCATTCTAGACAATAAGCTGATATTCGGATGCATAGAAGAAGAACAGCAACGCCATCCAGGACAGAATTTAGAGATAGAAAGAAAACACATGATCACTTGATTTATTTATTTTAAAAAAATAAAACCAGCACAACCTTAGTAAATAGCAACTAATATTTCAAAATTGATGATTAGTAACAAATAGAAATGCTACAGACAGTAACCTATGCATGTAGAAATAATTTGTACCCTTGTTATTGAAACAATTACAAAATAAAAACACAACACCCTCTACGAAGAAAGAATTTAAATTTATAATATTCAGAAATTTGGAATTGGCTTTTGTATCTTTATACAGAACAAAATAATGTTAGCTTTGGATACCTTCGTTGGAACATAATTTGCATCAGACAACCTCTCCAAATTTTCCATGAAATAATGGGTACAATCTGGAACTTGGAGTTCATTAGCACGGGCATATGTTTCCTACAGCAAGTAGAACATATGGGACACACATTCTAGGTATGGATTAAGGTTAAAGCAATCAAATGGGTGCAATGTGGACACCTGAATTGCAGCATCCTCCCACAGAGTCTCTATTTCCTGTGCAAGCTCCTTGGTAAGACGGGGGTAATCTAGCCGGCCTCCTATTTCTGAGAGCTTGTCACCAATGTCCTGCCAGAAAAATTAAGCTCATGTTGAATTAAGAAGCCTTTGGCATATAGTGTTGACAGAGCAACAGATCCCTCCAGAAGAAAGGAAACTATATACAATTGATCATTTTACTGTAGCCTTTGTAAAAAAAAAAAACTTAGTAACGAAGTACCAGACCATAAACTACATAACTAATATTAAGCAACCATATTGGGGAATAAAAGATGTGGTAATAGTGATTTACCTGGTTTTCATTAGATATCACGTACTTCGAAGAATCAGCGTCATTCTGCGCCAACTCTTTTGACCCATCATGCAGTACCTATTTAAACACGTCAAGTACAAACTAAGGATTACAGTTTTCCCGTCTATCTCTGCTGAACTCAACTCACATAAAACATTTTTTTCAAACTACAAACAGTGGACACTTCAACTATGTATTTTTAAGAGTAAAATAATCAACACACCCTTTCAAGTATTGCATACTTTTATTGTCTGATACACATTAGCATGAATGACTGGTATGTAGCTTTTTAGCTCAGCCTCGTCAAAGCCAGTTTGAAACAAAAGTTTTATCTGCATATTATAAAAAAATAAGTAAATATCAATAATCTAGAAATAATATACACTATCATAAGCAGTGCAGAAGATGCAATTGCTTGCCTGCTTAAAGATTGTAGACTTCCCAGACTCTCCAGATCCTAAACAGAGATATTGGCATTTGACACAGGTAAGTGCAGAAATGAAATTACAAAAGCAAACAGGCTATTAAGAGATTGCGGTACATATTATTCCTTCAAACTCTGGGGAGCTCAATCATGTTCACATTTATGCTAAATTCCAACTATTCCTACGAAGGAAAGCCACCCTAGTAAAACACACCTAATAGCAGAAGTTTCTGAATATGCTTTTCAGCCTTAGTTTCTAACTCGATTCTTCTTTCAATTTCGGCGTCCTGCAAATACATGCCACATTCGTCAAAAAAAAGCCTAATTAAACAATATTATTTCTAATTTAACAAGTACCAAATTTCTCAAGGACAAGAGACCTGAGCATTTTCTTCAGCATCAGCATCACGAAAACGTCGACTTCTGCTGCAGACTAAACCCATATTTTCTGTAACCAAGAAGCTGCATTAGTCAAGTTCCACCAGAAATCAGCATTTCAATGCCCTCATTAGTTAGAATCATACATATTGCAGAATTTAGAGGAGCTTATTTGGAACTTATGGGAGTAGCTTATTATGAACTTCCTATAAACACTATTCAACTAATTTTATTAAGCTTGCTTCAGGGTAAAACGGAACAACATAAACTCTTTTTAACTAATTATATTATGATTCACTATCAAGATTATAAGCAAGTTGCCACTAGACAAGAGCTTATTGACTGATCACTTGATTAAGGTGTTTACTCAACCACACCCTCTATGAACTGAGTTCAAACAACAAGAGGACTAAAGCAGACCAAACAAACACAAGCAGGCCCCCCCATCTCAGAGGAATATCTAAAGTCAGCCATAAGCTAATACTTCACGCAACTTGCAATAATATATATGCAAATAATAGATTCTCAATCCACAGAATAAGACATCTGAATAAATCAAAACAAGCCTCGAGGGCACAGGCACAGCTGGATAGCAGGAGTAGGTTGAAACAAACTCTGAATAATCGCTTTAGCTAGACTAGTGTCCGGCCCACACAACAGATCTGAAGTTAATGATTATTCTGAGCAAGTTATTCGGCCAAAATGCTAGATTAACAACATTGGAATATTCTACTCCTCGCATATGGGAAACGATGGTATGTGGTGATCACCTACAACTTGGATTTATTTATTATTTTGATGATTTTTTTTTACATACCTATAAGTGGAATTTTGTCAAATGGATAAACCCCATCACCAGATACATAGAGCAAAATTAAGGACAATTAAGATACCCATGACTGTTACAAAGAATTGCAATTTCTGCTTTGAGCAGAATCAATTAATCATCAAGTTATCAATTCATGTATAGGGGCAGGAAAGGGTCCTTTTTCTAGTTTATTTTTCAGGTAATTATTTCTTGCTTTGAATGCTGATTCCCTCCGCACTAAAAATGAAAGTTTAGCAGTCGAAGTACCGTGAAAAAGCAAAGCAGCATGCAGGGTACAATCAACCCATCATCAAAGTTTTCACCAGAAAGAGAATATAGTCGAAGATGGTACAGAAAATCAACTGTTAAAAAACTACACAAAAAGTGGAGAAAAAAGGAGAATATTTTCGCATCTCGATCTGCATATGGAACCTCAACACAGAGATCTCCTGAGCCAAAAACCACCCTAGGAAAACTATAAAAAAAAAAAAAAAAAAAAAAAGATCTTGGGGGAGAGAGATTGGGAATGCAACAGAAGAAAGAGTTGTTACCTGAAAAGAAGCAAAAGGGTCTCTTTTGCAGAGATGTGGAGGTGGAATATGCCCCTTGATTTGGAGGATACGTTAAGTGTGAAGTGTGAAGCGAAATTAGAAAGCAACAAGTTCAGTCTGTGTTCTTCTGTGTGGAGGAAGATATATAGTATAGTATTCAAGTTCTATACAAGTACTAGTATAGTAACACAACAATAATAATTGTTGTTTAGTTTAAGGTAATGATAATGACAATAAAGTCTGGATTATAATATCGTCGTTATAACATAATGGGATTAGGAAGACTGTGACCAATGAATGCCCTAAGTGTATATGATGAAATAAAAATAAAAATGGTGAGGAAGAAAGAGAGAATCGTAGAAGGGGGAAGAAAAATAGAGATCAATTAATTAGTTCAAAACAAAAACAAAAGAGCGCCGAAAGCTGTGAGAGGGTTCTTGGTTGTTCCTGCACCCTTTGGTCGGGTCAAAGTTTAGTTTAGAAAAGACAGAAGAAGGCAGCAACAGGCACAGCAATGGCACTTTTTTTATGTCTTCTTGGGAAAATACACACACTGTCACTGGCCCTCTTCTCTCTCCACCTGCCACTCTCAACTCCAACATCTTAACGCAGACCAAGTAGCATCATCACTATACATTATTTTCATATTTTTTATTTCATCACCACAAATATTCACCATTCATAAAAGAATAAACTTAAACTAACATTTCCAAAAACTAGTATTTATTAAGTGAAATTACTGTATGTGAAAACAACCCTTTAACCAAATATAGTTACAATTAATAAAGTGATATTATATTTGAACGTGGAAGAAAGAGGCTGTAGATGAGAGATGGTGTGGTACTTATCCATCAGATTCCAAGTATGAAATTGCATGAGTGAGTGACAGAGTGAGTGATTGACCAGTTTGACTGAAGAGAAAAAGGCAGAAGGAGATTTGTTGGTGGGATGAAAATTGTTTGCAGGATTTCATTTGATAGTGTTGAGATGAGATGAGAAAAAGGAGAGAGAAGAGAATTGTGATTGGATTCCATGTCTGTTGGCGGTCAAAGGAGACAGGAAAGGACACATCTGCATTCCGCATCAGTATCTACGTGTGTTTGGTTTAGATGTTATTGTATGGTATGGCATAGTACACTACTTCCCACTTCCAACTTCAGTTTCCCACTCCTTCAACCTCATCTTTCACTCTTACCCTCTCTTCACTAAAATATGTATTATATTATTTTAATACATACAACTTAAAAATATATTTTTTTTAATTAAATGGGTAAAAAACCTACCATATAAAAATAGTATGTATTACAAAATATTTTTTTTATTTTTATTTGATGAATTAAAAAAATACTCAAGAAAGGGAAAAGAATGGGACAATCTGCCTTTCTCCACTTTTTTTTTAATATTTTTTATTATAATATACCATATATTGTGATTAATTACACTGCCTTTGTTTTCATTGATTTAGAAAGAAAATAATTGAGAAAGATAATGGAATTAATAAATGATAGTACAATAAAATATTCTCATCTGATTAATCCAAATCATTTTCCATATTATCCTTAATTATATTATTTAAATGGTAACACTTTGATATTTATTGACTTATCAAATAATTCAATACTAATTTATTTAAAGTAATTAAAGTTATGAATTAAAACGTAATTGTTCATTAAAGTTATCAATTATATTAGTTATACAATAAATTACAACGATATACTCTATAGTATTTTTCCTTTATCTCTTTTATATCACATCAATCATCTTATCCCATATCTTATCATATGCTCTCTTTCACCAACACTAATGTTATCTTATATACTTTTTTCTTTTCTTCTCTTGTCTCTCTTTATTTCATGCTATTTTTAACAGGGACAATTTCTTCAAATTTAATTAACAGTCAATTAGTACATTTTATATTGTGCAAAGTGATCTCTTTCCTAATTTAGTATAACACGGAAACATATTTGATCCACTAAATATGCCTATATCAGTTTAATAGATCAATAATATAAGTTATAATTAGTTTAACCTCTGCTTTAAATTTATTTTATTTTTAATAGTATGGATAATACATATTGCACTAAGTTTATAATTAACTTGTGTAAAATGTTCAAACTTAATTAATTATTCCTAATTAAGTGCATAAATTAACTAAATAAAAATATTCAAACTGAATATTTTTTAAAATTTAGTTCCTTAAAAATTCAGTTGCATTAAAATTTAGATGAAAGATTTAATTTTCATTTTACTTTTATTTAACTCCACTTAAATTAGTTACCTCATAAACCAAGTATCATGTGAAAATATATATCTTAGAATAGTTTTAAATTAGTTCATAATTAATCCATTATGTTTTCTTCTAACAAAAGGACACAGTTTTTACTACATAACAATTAAATAATGAATTTTTATATTTAAAGTGAGGAAATGAGATATTTTTTCTCCCCTTCAAGCCTTATACATGTAAATGCTCAGAATGGGGGGAAATTTTAAATTTTTTTTTATCGTAACAAGAAGTATTTTTTACACTAGTAAGTCCCACTAAAAATACTTTTAACTATTCGAAAATGCAAAAGTGAAATATACACGTGTGAACTCAAATATAATATAAAAGCAACTTTTATCAATTTCCAAAATTTAAATAAATGATGCATCTGTAATATATGAGTTATTTCTGACAATTTTTAAAAAATTAAGTAAAAAAATCACATTTGAAGCTCTAAACAAATGTAAATATGCATTGTATCTAAACGTATCCTTTTCACTTTATTTAAAATGAGAATAAAAAAATTATTCAATTTATCAATTCTCATAGATAAATTTATTCAACTAGATGAACTAATCAACGTGGTTTAAAAATGATTAAGTAGATTAAATTTGACGACACCAATTTAATAAGTTAAATGTGAGAGAGGAGAGATAAAATTATATATATATTTGAACCTAACCTTGTTTTTTTACTTTATCCTAAAACAAAATTTTGAAATAAAAGCATTTTAATAGAAGTAATTAAAATTCTTTAAAATCCTTATACATTATACCAACCCACTGTTTATTGATTAATACAACTGAACTCTATTTTGTTTTCATACAAACTTATATGACATTATGTTGATTGCATTGTAATCATCTGTCTACCAAGTCGGTTTGATCCATGATATTGCTGAAACGTTGGTCATAAATAATATTAATTATTACTAAGGATAATTATCATTAAATAGACTAAAAAAATATCTCAAAAAAATTGACCATGCAAGCAAAATATGCAGTGGACAATGCTAAAAATACATTCAAGGTTTGTCCTGTAAGAAATCTAGGATAATCTTGTTGAATTCTTCTGGCTTTTCCATTTGAGGCACATGGGATGCATCCTTTATCAATTCTAATTTTGCATTTTTACCTATCACCCTGCATGACCAACACTATAAAGGAACTGGATTTGGAACATAGAAGAAAAAACCGGATATTTGAAGGAAAAACAAAAGCGCATAGAGTTAGAACATATACTCTTTGAGTTCATGGGCCAATCGCACGGGAAATATCCGGTCTTGTTCCCCCCACAGTATGAGAACCTCCTGAATACGAACAAAAATGAATCAGTCACACCACAATCAAGATATTTTGAATAATTTTCAATTATTTATTTATATCCGAAACATTAGTCCCATAAACCAAATGTAAAACTAAGCTTGCCTGTTGAAGCGGTGAAATGTTAGAAGTATTATCCCTTCCCAGGGTTATCCCTTTTAGAATCTCCAATTTTCTCTCCTTATTCTCTCCGTATAATTCCTAGAAATCATGAAACGAATGAAGGAAATGGGGTTGAAGAAAAAGAAAAGGAGAAGCTGGTAGAAAGATAGATAGGTACACGGATGAAGGCTTTGAGGAGAAAATCAGGGACCATGTGGGGAGGCTTGTGGATGGAGAGGGACATCAGTTTGCGCAAATGTTGTGGGGAATCAGGCAACATGAGATCTTCAATGTTGTCCAATTGAGAACTTCGGACCATGTCGATGTTGCTATTCAGTGTCATGTTAACACCGGAGCTGGCAATGACCACTTTCTGAACCCTCCCTTCGCCCATCATCATGGCCAAATTGTAAGCGACCATCCCCCCATAGCTCGTGCCAACCACGTGCAACTTCTCCACCTCCAATTTATCCAGAAGCTTCCACAGTGACTTCGCCTGAAACACCTCGCTCCTCTCGCTCGAAATCGTACTCGACCCTCCGAAGAATATCAGGTCCGGAACGTACACGTTGAAGTGTGGGGCCAGGGGTCTCACTTGTCTCCGCCACTGCCACGTCGCCTCCGGCCCAAACCCGTGGATCAGAACCAGAGAGGGCTTCTGGGCCGCCTTCATTCTTGGGCCCCAGAAGTGCATCGTGGTTTCCTCGTCCAGGCTCAGGGCCTGCGACCAGAGGCCCGCGCTCGTGAAGCAGCGTCGAATGTACTTGCTGTACATGGACACGAAGCTGAATGACGAAGGCATCTTGTATTGCTTTATTAATTTGTTTGATCCCTCTTTGGAGCTCCAAGATCGATTAGTATTTATATTGGTTGGGTTAAAGAGAGTGCCCCACTTTTTTCTCCGTCATCATAGTTCGGCATTTTTTAGGAGCGAGTCATAAAGATTGTTGTGTGGGAAAATGATAAATTTTAGAGAGGATAAATTTATTGATGACCTTATTTTGGTCTCATTTGCTTTGCCGTTTAAATAGTTTGTTACGCGTGTACCATCGCAATCTTGTATCAATGTCGAGAAATCTTTCCCAGTCATCCTTGTGGATTCACCAACTAACTTTTCGGGGGTGGTTATACTTACACATCCCTGGAAAGCTGCAACTTGCAAGTCAACTTTTGCATGAAATTATATTATTTTAAAAATAATAATTAATTTTGATATCCTTATTTGTAAGAATAATAAATAATGATACTTTAGTAATTATAAATAGATATATGTTTTATTTTAATTCTTACAAACATTTTTTTTTCATTTTACTCCCATCCTAAATTTTAATGTGACATTTTTTATATTATTATTATTATTAAGTTGATAATATCATGAGATATATATTACCTTTAAATTTAATAAAGTTAATACAAGAACTAAAAAACAAAAAATTATGACTCAATAATTTATTTGAACGATGGAAACACCGTCCAAAACTCGCACCAAACACCTAGATTTGTGATTCATTAATACGGTTTATTGGCCTTTATTGAAACTATACTGAAGCTGTGAATATTTAATGCTACAACACTCCTCCATTTTTAGTATGAGTTTGTGCAAATATATAAAAAATTAAGGTTAAATGACTGTTTTTTTTTTTTTAAGTTCGTTCAACTTTAGTAATCACTTTAAAGTTGTCTTAATTATTTTTAAAGTAACTATTTTAAGATCAATACGTAATAATTTATACAACATAAATACTAGGGCTTCCAATGTATTTTAATTAATAATATAAAAAGATGTTAAAAATTAAACTTATTACTATTTTATATATTTTAATTAAATTCTACATTTAATTATTAAAATAATGATGTAGACAAAGCATGCCCTTAATGTATGTTACAGTGCTCATAAAAAAATTACTCAAGAATGGCCTTGCAAGAAATTAAGGAGAATGTTGTTGAATTCCCCTGGCTTTTCCATTTGAGGCACATGGGATGCCTCCTTAATCAATTTCAATCTAGCCTTCTCACTGATTATCCTGCAATATGTTCATTAAAAGAACACAATCATCTTCAGAGAGAGAATATCTAACAGTTCTCACCATTTAACAATGTACTATTAATGTTGTTAATTCAATCATAAGAGGTGTCTGAAAGTTAAAAAATAGTATATACAAAATCATTATATATATATATATATATATATATATATATATATATCAATTAGATTTGGAACATAGAAGAAAAAATAAAATCATATTTTAAATAAGAAAAACGAAGAATTCGTACTCTTTGAGTTCGCGGGCCAATTGGACGGGAAATATTTGGTCTTGCTCCCCCCACACTATGAGAACCTCCTGAGTGAGTAACACCAATATAACTCAGTCGCAGTAACAATCCAATGTCATATTTTTTTTACTTACTATTATGTAATGTATGTATTGGGCAAGGTGCTTACTTGTTGAAGAGGTGAAACTTTTGAAGTATCATCCTTTCCAATGGTTAACCCTCTCAGAAGCTCCTTTTTCTCCTTCCTATTCTCACTGTATAATTTCTACAAAACGTAAAAATGTATTGTAAAAATCTTAATTCCAAACATTCAGAGAAATTTGTTTATCTAATTATAAGGGGTTAACTCTATAACCCATGAACCTTCAATTATAATTCGAAAGAACAAAATTCACGAGTTTTCCAATTCAATGAACCCGATCAAGTTCAACCTATGTTAAAAACACTACAAGTATGTTACTGTATCACACATTCACTCTATCAAATTCAGTGTTAAATTCATAATACATACTGTATATATCATCAGTAATTGTTTATATATGATTTTCTTTTACAACAACCTAACATGTTTGAATTCTCTGCACTAACAATTAAGTGTATAGACTCTAGTAAAGTTAAATTCTTCCACCACTTACTAAGTCTTGACTTGTGTAAAGACGGTATTGGGGGTTCTGGTGAAGAACTGTCGTTCTACTTTCAAATTTACAGAGAGAAAAGTTGGAAAAGACAAACAGAGAGAGATAGAGAGAGAGAGAGAGAGAGAAAACGTACATGTAAGAAATCGGAGAGTAAAAATTGGGGCAAGAATTGGGGAGACTTGTGGATGGAGAGGGAAATCAATATTCGCAAGTGTTGCGGCGTGGAAGGCAACATGAGGTCCTCAATGTTGTCCAATTGAGCCCTCTGAACCAATGCCACGTTGTTACCAAGTGTCATGTTAACACCGGAGCTAGCAATGACCACTTTCTGAACCCTCTCTTCCCCCAACATCTTGGCCAAATTGTAAGCCACCATGCCTCCATAGCTCGTTCCCACCACCTGGAACTTCTCCACCTTCAATATATCCAGAAGCTTCCCCACCGACGCTGCCTGAAACGTTTCGCTCCTCTCGCTCGATTTGGTGGTGGACCCTCCGAAGAAAATCAAGTCCGGAACGTAAACGTTGAAGTGAGGGGTTAAGAACTGGACCTGTTGGCGCCACTGCCATATGGCCGCAGGCCCAAATCCGTGGATGAGAACGACAGAAGGCTTTTGGGACGTTGGATTGGTGGGGGCCCAAAAGTGAAGTGTGGTTTGGTGATCGATGTGGAGCGTGTGCGAGGAGAGGCCCGCGCCCGTGAAGCATCGTCGGAGGTAGAGGCCGTAAACGGAGACAAGGCTTAGAAATGGGGGAAGCATCATGAACTGAAAATTGGTACCTTGTGGTTGAACATTTCAAATAAAAGATAGTATTTATCGATTGGATCACGTCAGTGGAAGATTCTAGCCTGTACTGTGCAATCTTTTTTTCTTTTGTTTGGTGGGTGTATGAACATGACTCAGCTTATTCAGCATGAGAATGAAAAATCATTGGGTTGAGAATAAAAAATTGATTATGTCGTTCTCTATGTTTGATGTGCATGTACCATCATAATAATCTTCTAACTAACTATAATCATTCCCCAGAAAATGTCTCTTCCATCATCACCACGGATGGAATAAAATAAAACACAAATTTCAAATTGTTTTTATTTTTCCTTTTCATTGCATGGCACGTGAAGGCAAATTTTGTTCCCAATAAACCTAATACCAGTGACAATTTTCTATCTAAATATTTTCTAAATTATTTAACCAACCAAATTTTATTTTATTTTCAATTCAGAATTTAGGTTTTGAAATGTTGAATTCTGATCATCCAATTCTGCATTCTGAACATTGTTTTTGTTGTTTTTAAACGTTTTAAAATAATATAAATAAAATGTTTTTATTTATTTATTATCAGATATTTTATTATATTATTTAACTCACTAACTAATTGTTGATAATTTAAATTGAATTTAAAATTAATTGTTATTAATATTAAATTGTTAATGCCAATATTGAATATTTAATTCATGTCAAATTTTAAAAACTTTAATGATTAATATTATTAACTTAAATTTATTTCAATATAAAATATTAATTTCGAAATTAAATTTACAACATTAATGACAATTTGAATGATATATATAAATTAGTAAAATTGAAACTTTTTTATTATTAACATACAAAATTTAGTAATTTATTATCATTAACATTAATTAAATTTTATTAAAAGAATGTATAAACATTCTAAAAATATTGTAAAATGTTCAATTTTATAAATTAAATCGTTTAATATTGATATTATTATCATTACTAAATTCATAAATTTATTAGCGATAATAAAATCTAAACAATCAATTTACAATAGTCAATTAAAGTTTATTCAATTAATAATAAATATTTACTATTTAAGTATTTGTAATTTTAATGTCCAAATTAATACTAATGTTATTTGATATTTTATTTTCTTATTTCCACAAATAATATCTTTAATTATATTTTAATATTAATTTTATTAATAGATAATATAGCCAACATTTAAATTTAATTTTAGTTTTATTAAATCATCAATAGTACTAAATAATAATAATAATCAATTTTAAGTTTAAAAAAATAATTATTCTATAAATTAATTAATATAATATAATATTACAACTTTTTAAATATATATTTAATACTTTTGATGAGAATTATATTTTAATTTTTTTAAACCATTAAAAAAAAAGAGCAAAACTGAAGTAAAAGATTAATTTCTGAAGAGACGGAGTTCCAATCTTCTTCTCAGATAACGACGAGCAAGTTGAGGTTGAGAATTTGATGGGAACCAAACTCTGACACAAAGGGTAAATATTTGACAAAGAGGCTTTTTGGATATTTTTTCAATTCAATTGAATTTAATTGCATGGCACCAGCGTCACCCAAGAAACCCTCACACCAAACCCCCACATTTATAACTCAATAAAACGGTGGCGTACGCATTTATTGTATAACATTTTCAAACTACATACTAGCATTATATTTCTTTTTAGACTTAAATATATTTACTTTTATAATTTAAAAATAATGAAATTAAAAAAAAAATTGTACATGTTATATAATTTCATTAAACAGAAAGATGCATAAAAGATTTTAAAAAACTTAATAATACTAATA